GTGGCGTACCCAATATGCCAAATACTAGTAACCATGATGGGTCTCATTCTCCTAACCCTGAAAGGGCCTTAAATATGGCACTTTTTAAAATCTCAGGGCTAGGACGAAGGAGATGTTACTGGGGCCTGCTCCAGGCAATCGACGAACAACAGGATGGTCGTGATCCTGATCGTGATTCAATATTCCAACACCAGTTCCAACACCACTGCTCCTTCCCACTACCATTATCTTCAATTTTCCCAACCACCCCTTAAGCCTGACCCCAGAGCAGGCCCTCAACAATTTACTTTATATTGCTTGTTATCAATAATTTGATAAAAGTCGGGAGGGATACTGGGAACATTGGTGGTGGAGAATGGGCACTGGTGGAGGGATGGGTACTCGGTCATTGTCTGACTGAAATGCAATCATGAAAGTTTGTGAGTCTGTAACAGTACCTCATGGTGATTCATTAAAAAATATTTTAAAAAATGATAAAAAAAATCAAAAATGTTTCTTTAGAAAAAATGTAGTGAAGACTGTTGTATCTCTCTGTGGAGCCTTTAAGCCCTTGTAGGAGAGAGTACTAAGACGTTGTTACAGTTACGCCTTCTGTGCTGGTATTTGTTAACTGAGCCTGGTTGCCTTCCACCTTACATCTCACCCATCTGGTGTGCAGTTGTGAAGTTTCAGACGCTTGCTCCAGGAAGTTCATCATTTTTAATGGGAAATACAGTTGGAGTTAAATTTTTACCTGGGTGGTGGGGAAAAGCTCTTTATTATTATTATTATTATTATTATTATTATCATTAAGACATGAAATGAGGGGCTGGAGCAATAGCACAGCAGGTAGGGCATTTGCCTTGCACGTGGCCGACCCGGGCTCGATTCCCAACATCCCATATAGTCCCCTGAGTACCTCCAGGAGTGATTCCTGAGTGCATGGGCCAGGAGTGGCCCCTGTGCATCGCCAGATATGACCCAAACAACAACAAAAAAGACATGAAGTGATTATTTATGCAAAATTCTGTGATGTCCAAAAACACTCCTCTCAAAGGCGGCCTTTAGGATCAGGACTGGTTCATGATGATCAGTTTGGGGTTTTAAAAGCGGCTCGGTGACGGAAGGCTTTAAGAGATGTATTTATAGTTGTTCTCTTGCCGTTTCTGGCATCAGCCTACAAATTCCAATTAAGAATGAAGAAAATGTGAGGAACGGTGATTCTCATCAGTTAGTGTTTTGAAAAGTGGGCTAATTATAGCCATCGTTTGGCATTGTCTAAATGAGAAGTCGTGGCTCAGAGCATCTAGCACGGTGCCTGGGAACGGAGAGAATTCTTGCGAGGGAGATAATTTACCCTATTTTAACAGCTGTGCCTGGATTTAAGACATTTTCATACTGTGATAGCCGCTTGATATAGTTAGAAATGACATATCTGAATAATTAATATCATCTGTCAGTATTAAAGGATCAAAGAGTCACTCTTGACAAAACCTAGGTTCTGTCATGTGAACTTTGCAGATCTGCAAAAGTTCATGGCTAGATTTTCTTTACATTTGTTAGATGAGGAAAATGAAACCTCGAAAATCATGTTGTCCAGAGCCTGAGCGATAGCACAGGGGGTAGGGTGCTTGCCTTGCCCCGGGGCGACTGAGTTTGATCCCTGGCATCCCTTATGGTCCCCTGAGCACTGCCAGGAGTGATTCCTGAGTGGAGAGCCAGGAGTAATCCCCAAAGACTGCCAGGTGTGGCCCTACAGCAAAACAAAACAAAACCAAACAAAAACAATCATTAAAAAATCACGTTGTTCAAAGTTGTCTCTGTAAGCGCAACCTATTTTGAACAAGGACACCTAACTTCAGAACTAAGACGGAATCGAGAATGCAAATGTATGATACCGATGAATAAATCTTATTATCTCATTCTTACTTTGGACAACCTGGCAGGCTACCGAATGTAACCTGCCCACGCGGCAGAGTCTGGCAAACTCCCCGTGGCGTACCCAAAATGCCAAATACCAGTAACCATGATGGGTCTCATTCTCCTAAAGAGCCTTGAATATGGCACTTTTTAAAAATCTCAGGGCTAGGACGAAGGAGACGTTACTGGGGCCTGCTCGAGGCAATCGACGAACAACAGGATGATCGTGATCCTGATCATGATGAATGAATATCCGGGGAAAAGTCCTTTCTTAGAGTACGGATACTCGGACTAAGCTCCAGAAGGAATCCCCGTGCTCTGTGCTGCTTCCCGTTTCAGCTTCCTGCTCCTGGAGGTTCTTAACCAAATGCTCGAGAGCACGCAGGAGAGAAGAGCCTGGGAGCAGAGCAGGGGCAGAAACTCTCGGTGTTCCGGGCAGACTCGCCCACAGACCGTCCCACCCACTCCATCGCGGGCTCTGCACGCCGTCGGGCACAGCTGAGAAAGTGAGAGCCGAGTCCGTTGGGGAGGAAGGACGAGACTGCTGGGGAAAGGGAGAAGGAGCAGGTTCTCGGGCCGGTGCATGATGCAACCTGGCGGGGACAGGAAACGGTGGGGAAACCCGGGCGGCCCTTGAAAGCGCGGGCAGCTGTCAAGGCGGAAGTGCACACGGCGTGACCGCAGGCGTGGGAGGGTGGCGGGGCCGAGGCCAAGAGCAGAACGCAGCCTGCCAAGGGTGAACAGCACCACACGGGGCCGCACCGCGGGGTCAGCCCACGGCCAAGCATGGAAGCGTCGCTGCGCGTGGCCACGCCGAGAGCCCGGGCAGGTTCGGGACCCGAGCACTGTGCGGGGAGCTCCGGCTCCAAAATGTCAAAGAGAGCGACTGTCGAGAGAGCAAGTCCACGGCCGGGCAAGTCCCCAGGAAACACGCGGCCTCCGGAAAGAGTGCTCATGTTTACAGCAGCGAAAGAGGCAAAGGCAAAAGGGAAGAACAGGCCAAAGGCCTGCCAACGGCTGAATCCGCTAAACACGTGTCCTACAGGGTGAAGAACATGTGTCCTGTAGGGTACACATACGGCCGGCAGGGTAAGCATGCATCCTACAGGGTGAGCGAGTGTTGTGCAGGATAAACAACATGTGTCCTACAGGGCAAACATGCATGTTACAGGATAACTGTGTGATATAGAGGATAAGCATGTGTCCTACAGGCCCGTGCTGCTCAGTTGTGCTCTGGTCAGTGGCCGCCGGAAGGGTCCTCGTGGGCCTCGTGGGCCTCGTGAGAGCCGAGGCTGGAGCGCTTGTCAGAATCGCCTCTGCGTTTCTCAGAACATAACCCCCATGTGGCCAAGAACGGATGACGCGGGAGCACAGTGGAATATCACTCAGCTGTGAAAGGGAGGGAAGCACTGATTGGTGCAGAGCCAGGAGTCAGTCCCGAGCAAAGCCCGGGGTGGCCCCCAAACAAACAGACAATGAAAGGAAAGCAAGCAGATGATGGCCGGGGTGCGGCCCAGCCGGGAGCTGCTGACCTTGCGTCTGTGAGACCCTGGGCTCGATCCCTGACATGGGGGGGGAAAATCACACTAAGAAGCAAAGTGAAACCCAAGCCCACAACAAGCCAGGCAGCCAGCGATGAGACCCCGTGGGCAGGATTTCAGGCTGGGGACTGTTCCTCAGAGAAAGGGGAGATCACAGGGAGGACAGCGCAGACCACGGCCGGCCCAAACGGGCTGACCCTCGCGGTGACTCTCTCTGGGGGACAACCAGACTCGTTTCAAATAGTTTCTGGCGATGGTCACGCTCACCTGTGAATACACCAGGGAAGCCAACACGCTGAGCTGCACAATTTCACTCGGCAAGTGGTGTGTTATGCGACTTCCCCATCCATAGAACCGCCACACACACACACACACACACACACACACGCACACAACAGAGGAAACGTGGCAAAGTCAGGCCTCAAGCGAAAAGGCCACCCCGTGGACAAGAAGTCCAGGGCAAAGTGGCAGGGCAAGGCCCTCGTGTGAGGCAGAGACTGGGAAGGAAGGCGGCTAAGGACGGCTGCTGTGGGCGGTGGAAGATTCCAGAACGCTGATGTGCTTCCGATGATGGTCTTTAACTTGGCGTTGCTGGGCCCTGAGGCGGGCCTTCACCCATCCCTTAGCTCCTGCGGGAGAGCCGGCCTCACCCCCGGGCGCCTCCCCCTCCCCGTTTGCCTCAGGTTTGCCTGTGGTTTGCTCTCGGCTTCAGGCCCGGACAATGCAGGCCTCGAGAAGCGCGATGAGCCAAACTGGCCGGCAGGGCCGGAACTGAGACCTGTCGTTAGAAAACAGGCCAAACGCTAGCCCTCGAGAGGCAGCTCAGAGTGACCGGCCCCTCGCTTGAACCATTTTTGTTTACGTTTTTCTTTTTTTAATTTTTTTTTTTTGTGCTGGGGGTTGAGCCCAGGCCTTGAGCCTGAAGAAACGGTGCAACTGAAAACGAGAGCTTTAACACAGTGAACCAAGAGCTGGTCCCAGGTGACTGAGGACGACACGGTGAGTGTGTGTGGGGGCGGCTTCGAGGCTGGGGCACGGCCAGGCCTGGATGTGCATTCGAATCTGCTGTCTACGTGATCCGTCACTAGCAGAACTCCGAGAGAAACAAAAAAGGAAGGTTTGGAGAGATGCTAAGAAAATGTGACTTTTATTATCAATATATACACCACAAAAGAGACACGGTTTTGATTCCTTCGAAATTAAAATTCGGATCGTTTGCCAGTTTTCCCGGTGGAGACTGAATCCCGACCTCTGTGTCTGGTGACCAGCAGTGACCCACCGGTACCGGGACGCCTGGGTGGGATGGGGTCAGCATGTAATGACGGTGTCTTGGCGCTCACAAAATAAATTAAGAGGAAGAGAAGCATTATTAGGAGAGAGTGAAGGCACAGGCACCACATGATTAAAACAACCAACCAACCAAACAAACAAATCATTCCTTCACGTGGGAAAAGCCGCAGGTGCGTTCTTTCGCCCGCTTCACTGGGTGGCGAGTGGAGGGCGCCCCGCCAGGACTCGGCGGCTCCGGCTCCAGGGCGGCGGGGGCCGGGCTGGAGGGACGCGCGTCAGAAGAAACTGGTCTTCAGCTTGATGGTCGGCGCGGAGTGGATGGTCGGGGCGGGTTGGCGGGCGGCCGCCTTGGCCTGGCTGGCCTGGCTGGCCCGCACGGCGGTCTCCAGGCGCGACTTGAGGTCGGGCGCGGCCCCCACGACGGCCTTGAAGGCGTGCGGGTAGAGGGGCCCGATGCGCATCAGGTTCTGCAGCGCAAACTCGTGGAGCTCCCGGGAAGCCGCGCCGGCCGCCGCGAAGGCCCCTTCGTCCAGCAGGTACGAGATCAGCGTGGGGACCAGGAGCGCGAGGAGCTGGACCCCTGCAGGACAGAGGGACGGTCAGAGACCGGCGCGGGAGTCAGGGTGGGCAGCGCCCGGCACGTCTGCAGGATTCCCTCCTGCCCCCCTTCTTTTCTCCGTCCTGGGGGGCGGGAGGGGGGCTTCGGGCTGGGCTCAGGGCTCTGTGCTCGGTCCGGCTCCTGGCGGGGACCAGGGACCAGGGGGGGGGGGGGGCTGGCTGCGTGCAAGGCAACTGCGTCTCCACGTTACTATCTCTCTGCCCCCAGCCCCACATTTACTATTTAAAAAAACTATTATTTTTTAAATAAAAGATCATTTTTAATTTGCTATTTTTTAAAGATTCACACCAGGCATTTCATTATTTGCAGAGAAATGCAACTCTTGGGATTGGAGCAACAGCACAGCGGGGAGGGCGTTTGCCTTGCACGTGGCTGACCCGGGTTCGATTCCCAGCATCCCATATGGTCCCCTGAGCACCGCCAGGGGTAATTCCTGAGTGCAGAGCCAGGAGGAACCCCTGAGCATCGCCAGGTGTGAACCAAAAAGAGAGAGAAAAAAGAAGAAACAAACATGAATCATGGGTCCGAGAGACAGTAGAGTGGGGAGGGCATTTACCTTGCACATGGCCGACCCGGGATTGATCCCCGGCATCCCATATGGTCCCCTGAGCACTGCATGCAGAGCCAGAGAAACCCCTCAGGGTTGCTGGCTGTGGCCCCAACACAAATTCAGACCTTTACTTCAAAAAGTAGATTTTGACAAGAACTGACGTACGGTTCTGCTCCTCGCCCAGAGCGACCAACGTTTCCAGAACTTTGATTCCTTCCTGAACAGCCAGGAGCTCGGTGTGGCTGGCCGGTCTGTTCCTCTCCACGGCCTTGAGCTTCTCCACCACGATGGGCGCCAGGGAGTGGATGTAGGGGGTCGAGAGGGCGCGGTTGGAGTGCTGGAAGACGGAGGGCAGGAGCTGGAAGCACTTGGCCTGGACCTGGGGGGGGAGGACCGAGCGGCTGAGCACCTGCCGAGTCCCACCCCACGCCCGGAGCGTCCCGCGCGCAGAGGAGACGCCGCCAGACCACAGCAGGAGAGAACGCCAGCTAGAGAAAATGGACGGCATCAAGGCACTTTCAATAAACGCAGTGAAGCGGATTCCGTCCGCCAAACGGTTCTCGTATGTGAACGGCCAAATGATCACGCTTCCATAGTCCGAAGAGAGCGAAAGGAGCTAGAACCCAGGCGTTCTGCGGCTGGAGCGAGAGGACGGCGGGGAGGGTGTTTGTCTCACACGTGCCCAACCCGGGTTCGATCCCCGGCATCCCATGGGGTCCCCCGAGCACCACCAGGAGTGATTCCTGAGTGCAGAGCCAGGAGGAACCCCTAAGCGTCACCGGGTGTGACCCATAAACTAAAAAAAAAGAAGAAAAAGAAATCAGGCATTCTAAGTTGTATTTCTTTTTTTTTAATTTGGGGTGGGGGAAGGATGGACCACACCAGGCAGTGCTCAGGGCTCACTCCTGGCCCTACACCCAGAGATCACTCCTGGTGGTGCGTGGGGGACCTATGGGTGCCGGGAATCGAGCGTGGGTTGGCCACATGCAAGGCCAATGCCCTCCCCACTGTGTGATCCTCTGGCCCTACAGATTACTTTTCTTTCTTTTGTCTTAGGGGTTCCAGGACTGGAATGCACAGCTCTTTCTTTAAGAAACATGTTTAATTAATGTATCTAGCAAGGAAGGTTGGGCTGGAGCCATAGCACAGCGGGTAGGGTTTTGCCTTGCACGTGGCCGACCTGGGTTCAATTCCTCCATCCCTCTTGGAGAGCTCGGCAAGCTACCAAGAGTATCCTGCCCGCACGGCAGAGCCTGGCAAGCTCCCCATGGCGTATTCATATGCCCAAAACAGTAACAAGTCTCACAATGGACACATTACTGGTGCCCGCTTGAGCAAATCGATGAACAAGGGGAGGACAGCAAGGAAGGTTAGGATGTGAATGATTTCAAACAAAGTCTATAAATGTCTAAAGGCACGTGACTCGGGTATCTCCAGCCCTGTGGGTCCCCATTTTAATTTTCCAGGTCTAGAAAGGAAAGTCTCATTCATTCATTTTTTTTTTTTTTTTGCTTTTTTGGGTCACTCCTGGTGATGCTCAGGGGTTACTCCTGGCTCTCTACTCAGGAGTTACTCCTGGCGGTGCTCAGGGGACCATATGGGATGCTGGGAATCGAACCCGGGTCTGCTGCGTGCAAGGCAAATGCCCTACCCGCTGTGCTATCACTCCAGCCCCACATTCATTCTTTTTTGATTAGTAAAACTTTATATTAGTAAGAATAAAATGAAAACGAGGGGGCAGGCAGGCAGGAAGGGTCCCTGATACCTGTCAAAAGCAGTGGAACACACACCATCCATGCCGACGTCAGGTGTAGGATGACATTGCTTTGTCCTTTCTCCCTTTCTCCACAAGGAGCTTAGATTTATCTGGTTACACCCATCACAGTGCTCCCGAGGCACTTCCATCCCATTGTGTTTATCTGTAAACAGTCTTCCCTATGCTCTCCTCCCCACCCAGTTAATCAGCTTTCCCCCTAATCAGACTGTCAACTTGTAAGGCTAGATTCCTCAGAAATCTGATTTTATATGTATGAGTGAAATATTGCCTTTCTCCTCTCCTTATGTCTTATGAACAGTTTACTTTAAAGCAAACCTTTTAGAAAGCATGCCCTTTTTGTATAGATACAGGAAGACCGTTAATATTATGCTTGTAATTTAGGATTTAAATGTTATTCACTCCTGGGCATCTGCTTTCTCGACTTAAGCCTCAGTTGCCCTTAGTTCCTAACACCCCAAATGCAGGGTCCCGACGAGGGACTGAATGGACCCAGGGCAAGCGGTGAGCTACCCTGGCAGCGAAATGGGCCAGGCCAAGGTGCCACGATTCTTAACTATAAGTTAAGAGTTTGATCATAGACAAATGCTGTCATGATCCAAAGGTAACGACGAGACTAGGATCCTGCTAGGGGTGGGAAAGACTATCTGGCCTGAAAACTGTAGTCTTGAGATCGAGAGGGCCCTAGGAGGGCAATTCTATAAGTTTAAGGTATTTCTTACTGTGTCCATACAAAACAATTCATGTTATGAATGCTTATACATTTGTTGGACAAGAAGAGGAGAAACACACCCAGGGGAATCCGCTCTAGGGTGGATTGATCTGATAATGAGGATCTTTAGGAGCGGATGTCCCCAAGGGAAAGAATTCTGCCCCTGTCGATTGTGATTGCACCTATGTGTAATTGTTACCCCAATCCCTCATGCGGGGGGATAGAATGAGACTGTAAGAATGGACAAGGGGAGGCAGAGGAGAGAGACCGGAGCAGACGGAGAGAGGATTGGAATAAACTGCAACTGACATCAACCAGCCTGGCCCTCGTTTCCTTCCTCCGCCTGCCCATCGCCATCGACCTCCCCAGACTACCGAACGTGGGCGGCGGGACAGACAGAGCCGCCGCCGCTGCTCTGCTCCGTTTTTGAGTTTACACAGCCAGGAAACCAACGCCTCGGCTTCTTGTTTTTTTTTTTGCCACATCTGGTGACGCTCAGGGCTCACTCCTGGCCCTACACTCAGCGATCACTTCTGGTGGCCTGGGGGCCCACATGGGAGCTGGGGATCGAACCCGGTTTGCGGCATGCAAGGCAAGCACCCCACTTGCTGCGCTGTCGCTCTGGCCCGGGGGGTGTTTTCGGAAAATATATTTCTCGGGCCAGGGTAAACCCCAAGCATCACTGATGTGGCTGACCATCCCCAGACCCAAACCCAAATCCCCTAAAACAACCACCTCCCGGATGGGCGGGAGGCAGAGTCCGGGGCTTAAGGCACTTGCCTTGTGCGTGGCCGATACCACGCATGACCCGCGAGCATCTCCAGGGCTGATCCCTGGTCAGAGTCGGGAGGCGGCCCTGCGTACCACCAGGTGTGGCCCCTAACTAAACACACATCAAAAGACAAAAACTCAAGGTGAGATAAACGATCTTCACACACTTCGGATCATTTTTAGCGGATTACTCATAACACGCCATACAAGACAGATTACTTAGGGTCTGCCTTGGGGGCAGGCTTGCGTGGTGGTGGGAAATTTCGAAACATGGTGGTGGGAAGATGTAATGGTGGTGGGATTGGTGTTGGGATATTGAATGTAATAAAGTACTGTGAACAACTTTATAAAAATAAAAGTCACGATCACGATCACGACCGTCCTGTTGTTCGTCGATTCCCTCGAGCAGGCCCCAGTAACATCTCCTTCGTCCTAGCCCTGAGATTTTTTAAAAAGTGCCATATTCAAGGCTCTTTCAGGGTCAGGAGAATGAGACCCATCGTTGTTACTGGTCTTTGGCATATTGGGTACGCCGCGGGGAGCTGGCCAGACTCTGCCGTGTGGGCAGGTTACATTCGGTAGTCTGAATGTAAATAAAAAATAAAAATAAAAAATAAAAGTTAAAAAAAAAAGACAAAAACCCCACAAACCCAACACATCTCTGAGACAGGGTGGGGTTTAAAGTGCTGAGGTGGGCGCAGAAGCTGCCGGAGCCCTTGTGCTGCTGGCGCCCACATGGCCGAGCACATGTGTTGCCCGCATCCCTGCTCTTGGGACGGGGACTTTCCTGCTTTCCCGTCCAACGCTGGGATGTGTGCAGGGCTCTCTCCGCCCTGGGAGAAGCCCGGGTTCTCTCTCGAGCGTGTTTCTCTCCACTCTCTCCCACCTTCTCTCCCTCCTTCCCTTCAAGACCTCCAAATAAAACCTGTTTTACTTAAAAAAAAAAAAGGCGCAGAGGTGTTTACGTGGCCGTCCTGGTTTTGTCTTGGCTGAGTGGGAGTCAAGATCCTGATTTTGGGGGGCTGGTGCAATAGCACAGTGGGGAGGGCATTTGCCTTGCACACAGCTGACCTGGGTTCGATCCCATATGGGATCCCATATGGTCCCCGAGCACCGCCAGGAGTGATTCCTGAGTGCATGAGCCAGGAGTAAGCCCTGAGCATCGCCGGGTGTGACCCAAAAACCAAAAAAAAAAAAAAAAAAAAGATCCTGCTTCTAGGCTGAAGTGATAGTCCCATGGGTGGGGCATTTGCCTTGCACGCAGCTGACCCGGGTTCGATTCCCACCATCCCATATGGTCCCCCAAGCTCCGCCAGCAGTAATTCCTGAGTGCAGAGCCAGGAGTAAGCCTGGAGCATCGCTGGGTGTGACCCAAAAAGCAAAAGAAAAAGCAAAAAGAAAGATCCTGCTTCTGTGCTCAGGGTAGGCCGTGTGGGGCTGCGGATGGAACCCGGGCTGGCCCTGGGGGAGGCGAGTGCCCGGCCGGCTGTCCTGTCCTCCAGCCCCAGAACATCTAAGTATCAGAGAACTGACCCCAAGACCATCAACCCTGCATGTGCCCCTCCGCACTGCCCACCGCCCGCTCCGGCATCGCGCCTTCCTGCCAGCTGCCGTGTTGATCAATCCGGAAACCCCCTTACCCACGGGTCACAGGAGTTGAGCGCGTTTTTGAATCTGCTCATGCAGCCAGCCTGCAGGCTCGGGACTCCGATCACCTCGCTGCCCGCTGACCACAGGAACAGGGCGATGGCCGTGAGCATGCTGACCTCGTCGGGGGCAGACACGGAGTCCTCTGAAACCAAGAGACAACGGAATCCTGAGCAGCAGGAAAAGCGACAGCGTGGTGCCAACGGGGCTGGAACGTTCTTTCTGTTTGTTTGGTCTTATTTGTTTTTGGGTGTTTTGGGGCCATACCTGGTGGTGCTCAGGGGTTACTCCCACACTCAGGGGTCACTCCTGGTGGGCTCGGGGGCCCCTAGTGGGTGCTGGGGATCCAGCCTGGGTCAGCCGTGCGCAAGGCCAGTGCCCTGCCCACTGTGCTATACGCCCCACACTGCCGCAGCCCCCAGAACCTTCAGGGGAGGGATGTGCGTGTCGGTCACCACTGCTCCCCCCAGCACGGGGCTACCGGGAGAGAGCCCCCAACTTCCTGTTCGCTAGATGACACATTAAGTTCTAAAACAGAGCGATTGCCCCAGTAACTGCTATGGGAGGATTGAAATATTATGTAGAATGTTACATGTCTACAGAAGTTACAGGTTATTCAACTTCTTTTGCTGTGGGGACTCTCGGTCCAGACCCCACAGTGCTCCGCCATCACTCCCAGCAGTACCTGGGGACCTTGGGGAACTGGAGATGAGGCCGGGAGAGAGCAGGGAACCATGGTCCTAGCCCTTGCTCTCTCTCTCCAAGTCTAAACTGTTTTTTGGGCTGGAGAGATAGTACAGCGGGAAGCCTGTCTTTCAACTAGCACCCCAAAGGGGCCTCCGGAGCACTGCCAGGAGTGATTCCTGAGCACAGAGCCAGGAGTCAGCCCTGAGCACTGATGGGTGTGGCGTGAAAACAGAACCAAACCCTTGGGGGCCGGATCAACAGTGCTGCAGGGAGGGCATTTGCTTTGCTTGTGGCCGACCCGGGTTCCGTCCCAAGCACCCCAGATTATGGTTCCCCAAGCCCTCCGGGAGTGACCCCTGAGCGCAGAGCCCCACCAGGTATGGCCCAGAGCCAAAAGTAAATAAATCGTTCAGAATTTCCCCTCTCTCTATTTTGTAAATTCAAACTCCGTGAAGTGTGTGTATACTTACAGATCATACAGACTTTTTTTTTGGAGGGGTCATACCCAGCAATGCACAGGGGTCACTCCTGGTTCTCCACTCAGGAATTACTCTTGGTGGTGCTCAGGGGACCATACGGGATGACGGAACTCGAACCTGGGTCGGCCGCGTGCAAGGCAAACGCCCTCCCTGCTGTGCTATGGCTCCAGCCCCAGATTATACAGACATTTGATGTACATATTTGATACGCTCCCCTTATCTCCTAAGAGTACCAGCTTTCATACAACAGAATGGGATGGGACCCTGGTCAGCCACATGCAAGGCAAGCGCCCTGCCCACTGCACCACCTCTCTGGCCCCCCGCCCTGCCCACTGCACCACCTCTCTGGCCCCCTGCCCTGCCCACTGCACCATCTCTCTGGCCCCCGCCCTGCTCACTACACTGTCTCTCCAACCACCCTAAATGTAGCTATTTATTTATTTATTTATTTTGGTTCCTGGGCCACACCAGGCAGCGCTCAGGGCTTCCTCCTGGCTCTGTGCTCAGGGTTGGCCCCTGGCAGGGAGTGGGGACCGCTTGGGTGCCGGGGATGGACCCAGTCGGCTCTGCGCAGGGCCAGCGGCCTCCCCCGTGCAGCCTCTGACCCGGCCGGGCTACCTGGCTGTGGGTTCTCCAGGATGCAGGCGAGGGTGCTCCGGATCAGCGCCGTCCACTGCCTCCGCGTGTCCTCGGTCCTGGCCAGCGAGAGCGTGACGATGCTCTTGAGGCCCTGCAGGGCCGCCGTGACCGGCAGGGGCACCTGGTTCTCCGCAGACTTCACGGCGGTGTCCTTCAGGGTCCTCGCCAGGAGGAACAGAATCGTGGGCAGGATCGTCAGGCACCCTGCGGGGAGACACGAGGCCCGTTTTGACAACGGGCAACAGTTCGATGTTCTTTCTCTTCGTTCCTTTCCTACAAACCGACAGGATGAAGACTCTCGTCCAACGTTCGGGAGGGAAAGTAAGTAGCAAGCCAACGAGCCAAAGGGGACAACGGTTCCTGCTTGCCCAAAACGTACTCGTTTCCATGACTCGCCCAAGGAATGTGCCACGGCCTTCACCAGGACACGGAGAAAGGAAGAGAGAAAGGAAACCGTCACCGTGTCCCTTCAGCAGCGCGCGAACAACCGAGGCACGCGCGGGGCCGTTCTCAGGCACAAAAGCCGTCTTGGCGTATCACGTTCGACCAGACCGTGGCCGCAGGATGAAAAAGACGGACACTGGCCGGGGAGGAAACACAAGACGCCTGGAGGCTGTTGCCAACTCGAAGGCCGTCCTCGGGAGTGGGGGGGTGCGGGGACACGACCTCTCCCACCCCCCCACTTCCAGAAGCCCAAAGGCCACGCCCAGTGGAATAGTTCACTGCCCAGTTAAATACTCTGGCTTTTCTGGAGCGACAACTCCAATCGACAGCACTGATATCCCCGTAGGAGCACAGACGCTCACCAATGCCGACAAACAGAAACCTTAGCACAGACGCTTAACTTGCAACAGCCGCTCAGCAAACGTTCAGACGAGAACTTCCTGTGCCCATGGGGATGCTCAACAATTTTCCCAAAGTTTCTTCTAGGAAGGGGCTGGAGCGATAGCACAGCGGGTAGGGCATTCGCCTTACAAGCGGCCAACATGGCCGACCCGAGTTCGATTCCTCCGCCCCTCTCGGAGAGCCCGGCAAGCTACCGAGAGTATTCGATATGCCAGACACAGTAACAACAAAGTCTCCCATGGAGACGTTACTGGGCCTGCTCGAGCAAATCAACGATCAACGGGAGGGCCTTTACCTTTTTACCTTCTTCTAGGAAAATGCTTTGGTCATCCCGTTAGCCATTTAATGGCGTTGAGCAACATAAACTCACCTGCCGTGGGCCCACGACGGGGCCCGCTGGGCGGGGGGCTGGGAAGATGGGGACGACGGTGGCAGGAAGGGGCAGTGGTGGCGGGACCACGCGCGGGAAGGTGGAGTGATCGCCCGTCACAGACGCCCCATGCACAGCTTTGTAAAGTGGTGATCAAACAAAGCGGGGGACAGAAAGGGACAGGGAGGCCGAGTCCAGCCTCCCAGCCCTTGGATGCCTCCGGGCACACACGGCCACGCACTGCCCCTGACCGAGGTCGCGTCCCCAGCTGCCGGGTACCCGCGTCTTGGCTCTATTCCTGCGTCCGCGAGAAGGCGGGGACGCGCGGCTTCCTCTCCGGCATCCTCAGGCCCCAGGGAGTAGAGCCTGGGGTGGCCACGGGCTCTCGGTGACCGCGCTCGCGCTGAGCCATCCCGGCCCTTGGCTCAGGTCTCAGCCAGGACCAGGGACCGATCCGAAAGCCGGTGCCCGTGATGCCACAGCACCCGCTCTCGGGGCCAGGGCGGGCGTGCACTCACCAGCCGGCGAGCAGAGGGACGGCAGGTCCGAGAGGATGGCGACGGTGGCGGCCACCAGGCGGGCGCTCTCCTCCGACAGCTGGGCCCTGGTGCCCGCGCGGCTCGGGGACGTCTTGGCGCTGAGCTGCGGCAGGTGCCGCACGAGGAGGAACATGAGCAGCTCCATGGTGGCGAACACGAGGGACTTGCCGGGCACGAGGCCCCCGCTGTCCCCGCCCTCCCCGAGCGAGGCGGCGTCTGGGTCGTCCTCACCTTGGGGGCGGGAACCGAAAGGGCCGTCGGTGAGCTGAGCGTCCCGGCCAGCCTCGAGAATCCCAACCCTGGGGCTGGAGCGACGGCACAGCGGGGAGGGTGTTTGCCTGGCACGTGGCCGACCTGGGTTCGATTCCCAGCATCCCGGACGGTCCACCAAGCACTGCCGGAGTAATTCTTGAGCGTAAAGCCAGGAGTAACCCCTGAGCATCGCTGGGTGTGACCCAAAAAGAAACAAAAAAAACCTCAAACCCTGAACACTGATCCTAGTCGGTGATGGAGCATCTGGCAGGGCTGCAGGTGCCGCCGTCACTCCAGGACGCTCTCGGCCTTCCCAGGACCTGGCCTTGTGCTCTCCATGGACAGAGCCCGGAGCCAAGGGCGCCAGCCCGGCCACGGGGGGTGGCCAGGGCCACTCTCAGGACGGGCCTGTGGACAGCACCGTGTGAGGGGCCAGTGGGTCCCGGCCGTCTGAGTTGCTTATTGGCCTTGAGTTGCCATTTCACTCGGGAAGAGCTCTGAGTGTTCATTTCTTGGCCACACGGGCAGTGCGCTGCGGGGCTGGGTACCCCAGGGTGCGGGTGGCCGTGCGCTGGGTGAGTGCCTCAGCCTTCTCTGTCCGTCTGCTACTTTGTCTTATGAACGTATTTTATAAGTGACACATATGTCTGGTGAAGCCATATGAAGTCTGGCTTTTGGGGTCACACCCAGCGATGCTCAGGGGTTACTCCTGGCTCTGCGCTCAGGAGTGAATGACTCCTGGCGGCGCTGAGGGACCCTCTGGGATGCTGGGAATAGAACCCGGGTCTGCCGAGTGCAAGGCAAACGCCCTCCCCGCTGTGCTATCACTCCAGCCCCAACCACATGAAGTCTCGAAGGTGAATAAAGTTGATCACAAGCAGCTTCGCTTGCGTTTTGTTCTGTTGCCACACACTGGCGATGCTCAGGGCTGACTCCTGGCTCTGCTCTCAGGGATCACGCCTGGCAGTGCTCGGGGGACCGTACGGGATGCCGGGGATGGAACCCGGGTCGGCCACGTGCAAGGCAAGTGCCCTCCCCTCATACTATCCCTCCAGCCTGATTCTCTCTCCTAGGGATCCCGACTGGCAGCTGCTAGGGCCACGAGGACCACCCAACTCCCGTGTGGTGAGGGGTCACGTAGTTCTGGGGCTGGCCGGGGGCTTCACGTGGGCCGGGCCCAGGCTCACCCATGTAAGCCGCCTCCGAGGCCCTTCATCTGGTGCCTCCGACAAGAGGAACATCACGTTCCGTCTTCCACAGGCCTGTCGCGACCCGTGGGCCCGTTTGCTCATCTTACACTTTTTTAAGATGAGCGAAATCTTAGCAACTTTTTTTTTAAAACTGAAGCGCGCGCATCGGCGGCCCCGGGCGTACTTAGCGCACTCCGCCGCTCCTGCCAGTGGTCCTGTGCGGCCCTGACGATCTGCTGTGCCACGGCCGTCACCAGCAGCTGCACCGACGGCGGGTTCCAGGTGAGCAGGAGGCGGTGCAGGGCACTCAGCAGCTCCACGCCGATGAGCTGTCGGGCAAGGTGAGGGCACGGTCAGCCTGCGGGCAGGGCACGGGCGCCATCCAGGAGGGCCCCGGCCAGCTGCAACCACGGCCTGGGACGTCTGCGGCCACAGGCCAGTCTCCTGCCGCCCGCTGCTCAGGGCTGCCCGGGGGCTGTTCTGTTGGTTCCGGGAACACGCCGGGCGCTGGGACCCCACCCTAGCACGCGTGCTCACTCGGCACACTCCAGGGCCTCTGCTCTCCCGGCCCCCCGGGTGCCCCTCTGCCCGCTGGGGGTCACCCCGCGGCTCTGACGCCCCCACCCCCCTCCCCAGGCCCCCGCACCCACTTTCTCGCGCCTCTGAGTCCATCGCTGGGCCCCCTGCACCCCGGAAGTCGGAGCTCCCTTTGCGGTCACTGAGAGACAGAGCCCAGGCGTTCCTCTCCCCACCTCAGGGGTCCGGCTCTGCCCTTCGCTGCCCTTGCCCACCCTCTCCTCTTCCTCGGCACCCGCCCTCCAGCCGCTCCTGTCCTGGTCCCTCTCGCCCGAGTCTGCCTCCTGCGGTTCTAGGGGCTGCACGAACCCCCCCAGGCTCCCGGGACATTTCTAAGGGGCCACAGGGAAACCCAACAGACGGTGACCCTGGCGTGAGGAGAAGAGGCCGGCGGGCCCGCGGCCGGGCAGAGGAAACGAGTCTGGGGATAAGCAACTGCTGCCCACACGGCTGATCCACTCGCTGACCTCCACCTGCATCTGAGTCAGGAATCGGCTGCTTTCTGTTTGTTCCTGAGGCACTGATCCCACTCAGTGCTCAGACTCGCCGAGGGACACGGGGTCCTGGGCACTGAGCCGGGCCTCCTGCACACACACAGAACATGTGCTCCGGCCCCCAGCCCGGCCCCCGCCTCCCTCTAACCCGTTTTCCCAGGCTAGTATCTTCGTTACCAATCTGGAGTCGTGGAAACGACACCACGGCTGACATCCGCTCTTATCTCTCGAAGGAAACCAATTCCCGGGAAGCTATCGAGCGACCAGTCATCCTGTGGCTATGATCCACCGACCAACTCAGCTGCCCACCTTCCCACCCACCCGTCCACACATCTACCCCCACCCAGTGGCGCTGCTGTTGCGGAAACGTCCGGCTGCCACCCAGTCCTACTGTCCAGTATTGCTGGAATAACCCAAACACAGTGGCCGCAGCTGCTCAGGTCGACTCCAGTGACGCACGTGAAGGGTCATGAAAATGTCCCATGTAAGGTAAAGGTAAAGGTAAAGGCCCTCCCGTTGATCGTCGATTTGCTCGAGCGGGCCCAGTAACGTCTCCATTGGAGACTTTGTTGTTACTGTGTCTGGCATATCGAATATTCTCGGTAGCTTGCCGGGCTCTCCGAGAGGGGTGGAGGATGTAACAGTTAGAGAAAGGCGATTCACCTGTTAGACTTGAACCCAGGGCACGGCCCACAAAAAAGACCGCCGAGTGAGGAAGAGGAATTTGCCATTTACATGGAACATTCCCAAGAGGGAGCGTGGCCGTGGGCCGCCCACGCCCGCCCGCCTGCCCCAGGGCGCTTGGCCCAGGCTCCAGGTCACGCCCCGAGTCTCGACCAGATGGCACGTCCCCGCATGCGGGACGCGGGAGCGCTGCCGTCAGAGCAGTCCGAGCGCAGCGCGCGAGCCCTACCTGGTCTTCGGCGATGTGGGCGCGCGCGTAGGGGGCCTCGAGCAGCGTGTGCAAGGCCTGCAGGCAGGCGGTGACGTGCTCCACGGGCTCCTCGGGTCTCGGGGAACAGAGGAACTGAATGCTCACGCCTGCGGGGACAGGGGCACCGAGTGCTCGCGCCGCGGGGCGGGAGGGGGACGCAGGGCCATGCAAGCGAGGGGTGCTCAGGGCGGGCGGGCCGGTCCCTCCCTCCTTCCTCTGTGGCTGCTCTGGGGGTCACACCCAGGCTGGCCGCGCAGGGCCACGGCCCCCGGGGATTTTGCAGGCGGGTGGGACATCTCCTCCCCTCCCCAACCCCCCATCGATGCAGCCGTGCTGGGGCCCGGCCTCGCCATCTCTCTCCCCGGCTCCCACTCGGGCCGGAGCCAGCTGAGGCGCAGGCCAGCAAGGGCCAGCACTGCCACTGGGCCCGGGAGGCAGGACCCGCCGGTGACTGGCCTGGCTGCCTTCGCGCCCTGCTGTGGGTCGGCCGCGCTGGGCCGAGCGGCCTCTTCCCGTGTGCTCCTGGCTCTGACCTGGCGGCTTGGCGGGTCTGGCTGAGGTGCCGCCCACGAGGCTGAGGCAGACGCCACTCCAGGGCCGCCACCAAGCGCCCCCTCCACCCTGCCTACGTGTGGCGTCGTACCGGCTCCCTCCGGACTCTGGGCTCAGGGACCCATCACCCCGGCTGCTGGGGTGGCACCCACGCAGTCCGCTCACGAGGGCAGCCCCCCACCCTCCCGCTCTCTCCCGGCTCCTGCGCTGTTTCGTGGCGCCCGCGTGAAGCCACGGAACATGCATGTGGCCTCGCTCGCATCTTCCCCCAAGACGGGTGTGTGTGGGGGGGGTGTTTCTGGGTCCTACCGAGGATCAGGTGCATCCGGTCCTTGTTGATGTCCGCCAGAGGCTTGCCGGGGGGCCCCGCTCCCGGGGGCGGGCGTTTCTGCGACCCCGCCGTGGCCGCCGCCTCGTCCATGCAGGAGAAGCCGGTGCTGTTCAGCCAGAGAGCCACGGCGTGCAGGATGGGCGCCCAGGAGTCGCGGTAGTGGAGCCGCGCCGTGTCGATGGTCTCGGGGGTGTAGAACGCTCCTCCTGGGAGAGCCGAGGGACGCCGGGCGTCACGTTTCGCTTCTGCTGGTTTTTTATGTGGGGGCCACGCCAATGCTGCGGTGGCTTACTCCGGACCCTGTGCCCAGGGGTCACTCCCTGAGTGGGCTCTCGGGGTCCAGGGGGGCCGGGGCGGCGGGGGATCAAACCCAGACCAGCCGACCAGTATTTTCCTCTTCTTTTTTGCGTTTTGGGTCCCATCTGGCAATGCTCAGGGCTTACTCCTGGCTCTGCACTCAGGAATCACTCCTGGCGGTGCTCGAGGGAGCATATGGGATGCTGGGATCGAACCCGGGCTGGCGTGTGCCAGATCAGCGCCTCTCCACGGTACTATCATTCCAGCCCCGTTATTCCCCATGAAGGTGCTCGTGCAGGACTCCGAGACCTCGGCTCCCACCTGCCTCGGTGGCACCTGCCTCGGTGGCCAACACCGCCAGGACGTGGGGGCCGGTGCTTCACGGGAAGGGGGGGAGGTCGCAGACTGGGGCCAACACCCAGAGCCAGTGACCCGCCTGCCAGGTCTCACACGGTGCCCCGCCCTGAGGCACCCCTACAGGTGGCCCGCCCAGTATTGCCTCTGCGGGGCCTGGACCACAGGGGGACACGGAACACAGGCAGAGCGGCCACAGGAACTGGGTGGGCCCCGCCGGAAGCGCACGCCTCCCCGTGCCGGGTCTGCGCCCCTCGATGCCCACGGTTGCCCCCACCCCCCACCCCGGCCTGTGCCCACCCCTCACACCCGCCGTGGCTCCCCCCCTCTCTCCCTGCCCCTCCCCCTTCCCGCCCTCACTGCCCAGCGGACGGCGCCCCCCCAGCTGGCCATCGGGGCCACTTAGAGGGCCTGACCCGAGGGCCACCGAGCCAGGCCCGGCCCAGGGACGTGCCCTCCCCCCTTCCCCCGCCGCGGGAGGGGACGCACCGTCAGCGGGCAGCTGGCTGGCGAACTCGGCGGGCAGCGAGAGCAGCGCATAGTCCCGGAGTGCGGCCAGCCAGAGGCGGCTCAGCGTGGGCAGCTCCGGCTGCACCAGCGTCACCAGGCTGTCGGGCGGCAGCTCGTCCCGGGCCCCCTCGTCCGCCTCGTCCTCCTCGGCGCCCCGCGGGGCCCTTCGCGGCCTGGACTCCGCTTCCTTCTTCGTGTTCATGGCGACCACGTAGACCTGGGGGCGAGCGGGAAGGGGAGCTGGAGGGAGGCGCCCCCGGGACCACCGCCCGCACGTCGCGGCTGCTGAGGCCGCGGGACGGGACCAGTGCTCTGCAGACCACCAGCCTGACCGAGACTCTGGACAGACGCGGTGGTTTCCCTTGGCGGGGCGGGGCCGGGCTGCGCACCTGGCTGTACTCAGGGCGCCAGGACTCGAACCCGAGACCACGTGCCGGGCCAGTGCCCTGGCGTTGTCCGAGAGCTCTGATCCAACATATCTCGGGGGCAGGGAGGCCTCTGGACTCTGGTGTCCCTTGTTCTGCTCTACAAAGTCCCTGCTTAGGAGTGAATGTCCCCCCACCCCCTCGGGAACAACTTCCTGTTTGATTCGACACAATCTGAAAGTGTTCAGAGAAAAAGGCCAGAGGAAGGTCCCCAGAAACAGCCTCTAAGTCCCTCCCCGAGAGAGATGTAGGGCCCGGCCCCCACGGCCCACAGCTGGGCCAGGAATATAATTTACTAATCACATGTATTACCTCTAGCCTCTCTTTCCATTTTGGAAATAAAAAAGAAACAAGACGCCAAACCAAACACAAGTATAATAGCAAGTTCCTAAAACGTATCATTTAAAGACCTTCTTTGTGGAAGTTATTTTTCTTTGTTTGCTTTTGCTTTTGTGCGTAGAACGCTGAATCACGCATCGATGAAGGAGAAAAATAAAAATAAATAAAAGCTTGAGTAAGAAAATGGCACGGGACGGAATCCGAGGAAACCACCTCTGGCTCCGTGCGTGACTTCAGGGCCGCTAATGAGGGGTCGGGCAGGGCAGGCTCCAGACCGTGGCCAGGGACAGTGTCCGGGGTTCTGGCCGGCGGGAGCCCGTTACCAGGGGTAACAGGAGCACGTTGCCCCAAGACGCACACGGACCAAGTCCCGAGGCGAGCCCTGAGCCTCATCTGCACAGCGACAGCCCAGGAACGGGTCTCGTCGGCATCCCGGTCGCAGGCACGGAGCCCTGGCGAGGCACGCCGTTCACCTGCGCTGGCTCTTGGGCCAGAACCGCGGGTCCCAGAGACGGACGTGTGTGTCCGTCCCGGCAAAGCAGCAGGAACAGGAGTGCGGGGAGCACGGGAGTGGGTGTCTGGCTGGGCCCCACACAGGACCTCCACGCTCACCCTGGGACTCGACTCTCTGGCCCATGAAGGAATTAGAACCAGACGGGGCTGGAGCGATAGGGCAGTGGGGAGGGCATTTGCCTTGCACGCAGATGACCCGCATTCGATCCCCAGCATCCCACCTGGTCCCCTGAGCACTGCCAGGAGTGATTCCTGAGTGCAGAGCCAGGAGGAACCCCGAAGCATCACTTGGTGTGACCCAAAACACACACAGACAAAAAGGAACCAAAGGCCAAGTGAGTGTGTGCATGTGTGTGTGTGTGTGTGGGGGTACTCAGGGCTAAGTCCTGTCCCTGAGCTTGGGGGTCAGCCCTGGTGGGACTCGGGGCTCTATGTGGGATGGGGTCTCCAGCTGCCTGCGAGGCAGTGCCCCTGGACACTCCCCAGGCCCAGGAAGCGGACTTGAAAGTCTGCTTGCTTGTGTCGGGGGTGCGGTGCTCACCGGGGGCTGGAGCCATAAGAGTCCAGCCCCCAGTTATCTCTCTGGCCTCTTGTCCTGTCCAGGGCCCACACATGCGGCCCGGCACCAGGACGGCACTGCCAACAGCCTCAGTGACAAAGGCGCATGCCTCTGGGGGGACGGGGACAGGGCATCGGCAGGGCCGCCCCGACGCGAGCTCCCCTGTGCTGGGCAGAGATGCGGGAGAGGCCTCGGGCGCGACCCCCGAAGCCGGAACCAGCTCGAGCACCTGGGGAAACTGCCGGCATCTGTGGGAACACTACTGTGGATAGCCAGGCATCACCTGCCTGGAGGGGGCACAGGGCTGTATCTGTCCTCAGCGTCCATCTTTTAAAACCATCAAACAAAAATAGGACCAAACGCAGAGCAGCAGTGGGGGTGTCCCCCCCCCCCCCACACACACACCAAACTAAAGGGAAAAACTCGAGAAAAGGAGTTTCCGAGCTGACTCCTGACGCTGGGCGCTGTCCGGCCGTGCGGAGACTCTGGCCTCATCCCGAGCCACAGCCTGAGGGTCCCTGCGGCACTGGCCTCGAGACTCCACTCAGCAGTGGCCTCCGAGGGACCGCAGCTCCGTGGGCAGACACTGGTCCTCACTTCCGGTGCTGGGCCCTGGGAATCCAGAAAAGCCCGACAGCACCCAAGAGTGAAGTCATCCCCGGGTCTTCATGCGGTCTCACATGTTCCCAGGAAGTGCCGGGGTGTGGCGGGGGCCGGGGGAGCTGGGCTGGCCGCACACAGGGCAAAGGCCTTAACCCCTGGACTAGCTCTTGGGCCCCAAGGAAACGATTTTGAAAACTGGCATCTGCATTTTTTTTATGGTTTCCCCAAGAATAAAGCCCCAGAAATGAAACGACTGGGCCAGTGACTATAAATATTTTCATGTCTCTGAACTGCCACTGTCCGTCGTCTCCTAAAATAGCCTAAACATTTCCCATGGCCACACTCGATACACGGTAACCCAGCACAGACTGTCTGGGCCGGGGCCAGACCTGAGGGCACTCAGGGCTCACGCCCGGCTCTGTGCTCACGGACCACTCCAGGCGGGAGTGAGGAAACGAAGGCAGGCCAGTTGCTGAGCCTGGGTCAGCCCGTGCAGCCGGCACCCTGCACCCTAGTGCTCCGACCCCTATTTTAGCTTTTTATTACACAAGAATTAGGTATTACACAAGAAGCCCGAGAGAAAAACGAGGACAATTAAACCCACACAGCATCCTGCTGCTCCAGGATGTAACGCTGTCCACACTCTCAGATGTCCCCCAGATAAAGGACTGGCCGGGAGACACACGCGGTGATGCTCTGGGCTCACTCCTGGCTCTGTGCTCAGGGCGGTCAGGCGGTCAGAAGAGTGCCAGGACCGCGCCCTCGCTGCGCGCTGTCTCTTCGTGCCTCTGTGCGGTCTTTTAAACAATGGTGTGTTTGTGTATAATTTTTAATCTACCAGGTTCCAGAATAAAGAAATACATTTAAATTTGTTTTTTTGTTGTTGCTTGGAATAATAAGCACCGAATTAACATTTTCATCGAGGAGCTCTGTGTGGATTTCTAATAGATCTCAGAATAAAATGATCGGCTAATTGGCCCAGTTTTTAAAGTTTTGTTTGTTTGGTTTTGGTTGTGGGACCACGCTCCATCCCACTGTGCTCAGGGCTTACTCCCAGCAGGGCTCGCGGGACCTTATACGGTGCCAGGAACCAAACGTGGTGTGCCCAGCGCAGTGCCGCAGTGCTGAGAGAGCAGAAGATCGCGCAGTTCCCAGGACTCGAAGGGGCCAGGGGAGGCCATGCCCAGTGCCGTGGGCAGGACCAGGCCGGGCCAGGCCGGGCCAGGCCAGGGGGGGAGGGGCAGAGCCGAATCACTTCCTCACACCGAGGGAGGAGCAAGCGGCCAAGGGCAGCAGCTCGGGAGAGCTGGTCCACGGATCCCAGCGTGGACGAGGGAGGGGATTAGGGGCGCCGAGATGCCGCCGGCCCCAAAGCGCCACGGACAATTGATTTTAAAAAACGGATTGAAAACCATGACTCTGAGGGGCTAGAGAGACCGTGAAATGGGTAAGGCACTTGCCTCGCACACGCTGACCTGGGTTTGATCCCCAGCCCCTCAGGAAGGCCCCCAAACCCACCAGGAATGACCCCTGAGCAGGGAGCCGGAGGAAGCCCTGAGCACCACCAGTGTGACGCAAACCAAACAAGAAGAGAACCCGAATTTCAAAAGTTTCCTAAGGTTCTTTTTGGGTCACACCCAGTGGTGCTCGGGGTTCCTCCTGGCTCTGCGCCCAGGAATTACTCCTGGCGGCACTTGGGGAACCATATAGGATGCCGGGAGCTGAACCCGGGTCGGCCGCGTGCAAGATAAGCGGGCTGCCCATTGTGCCATGGCTCCGGCCCCCTTTTCTGGCTTTTGGGGGCCGACACCTGGCAGTGCTCAGGGATGATTTTGGGCTCAGAAGTCAGGGATCACTCCTGGGGGGACCACGTGGGGTCCCCAGGGCAGAACCTGGAGAAATGATGGATTTTGCAAGGTCGCAGGGTCCCAAGGCAGTTCAGGGACAGACACCGGCCAGCGCCCGCCCGCGGCTCCTCACCTCTGCCCAGGCCTTCAGCACGGCCAGCCTCTCCATGGTGGTGGCGCTCTCGCGGTACAGCTGGCTGCTCGAGCCCCGGCCCGCCTGGACTTTGTCCAGCGAGGAGACGAGCAGATTGTGCACGCGGCGGAGGTCGCTGAGGTCGCTGAGGACGCCGCTTCCGATCCACGTGCTGCACACCTGGATGGGGAGGGCGGGCGGTGGGCACGGGCCGGGCGCTGGCTCAGAGGAGCCGCGACAAGGGCGAGGGGCTCCCTCTCGGGAGGGCAGCGGGACCCCAGAGCAGCAACCCAGACGCCGCATCAGGGTTTCCCCTCCACCAATCAGGGCCAGGGACGGGGCCCGACACTCCTTGGCGGGAACGATCCGCGCTGTCCCACCAGGAGACACCCTGCTCCCGGCCTCCAGGGTGCGGGCGCACAGGGGCTGTCCTGGGAGACCTGGGGACGAAGGCACACGTGACATCGGGGAACACGAAGGAGCGGAAGGTCCGGCAGGAGCGTGTCCGGGTGGTCTGGCCACGGAAGGGAGGGCTGGGAATAGCCCAGGGAGACCGGGAGAGCCACGGGAGCACGGGGTGGGGGGAGGGGGTGGGCACAGTCCCCCCGAACCCAACCCAGACTTTCTTCTCTGGGCAACAAGGGTCCCCACGGCTGCCCAGAGGGCCATGAGCAGTGACGTCAGGGCAGTGCCCCAGTGCGGAGGGGCAGGAGAGATGGTGTCGATTCACTCGGGTTTGGGCCATGCCCCGCAGTGCTCGGCTGCTCCTGGTAGGGCCGGGCACCTCCAGGCGCCTCCGGGCACCCACTGGCCGACTGCTCTGGCCCGGACACTGTGTTTATTAAATGACGTTTTCCCTTCACAGCGATGCCATGGACTGAACGACAGCTCCCGGCAGGGGAGGGACACATGTGCCCTGAGTGAGCGCCTCCCTGGTTAGCAGGGTGACACTGCAATGCCACGAGCGGAAATGATGCGGATCCACGGGGACCGGGATGAAAAACACATCTGAGAGACACGAGCAGGGAACTCCCCCGGGGCATGAACCTAATCTTTGGGTTGTTTTGTTCTGCTTTGGGGCCACCCCGGCCTGGGGCCAGAGGCACACAGGACAGGATGATGTGTCACGGGAAGATGAGTCAGGGATCAGACCCAGGGCCCCCCCCCCCCCCCCCCCCCGCAGGCAAACCATGACAATCATCACCCTGAGACTAACTGTGCAGTTAAAATTTCATCCTGTTGTTCATTTATCCACAACAAGCTTTTCTACCTGGTCCCAGGCGTCCCATGAGAAGAGGTCCTTAGTGACCCAAGGAGCCGCATCAGGGACAGCGCTCCGAACCTTCGATGCCCTATCCTCAGAAAATTCCAGCCCCCGGCTTTTTAAAAGATAATGTAAAGCTTTCGAGCCTGGGTAAGGCACCTTCTGAATGGAGTTGCCCATGGAGTCAGAAGAGGCTGCTAAAATCTCAGGGCTGGGAGGAAGAGAGACATTACTGGTGCCCGCTTGAATAATTCAACAATTAATGAGATGACAGTGACACAGTGATTGTTGTTCATACGTATCTATATGAATCAGGGATATTTATCATTATTTCTCAAGTGGACACAGGTTACTTCATATAAGGCCTATTGGAAATAGTATATAAACACGCAGGTGCAGGTCTTAAAGAAATCAAATAAAATTTCATGCTATGGAATTCTCTCTCTAGGACGATCAAAACTCTGAAATTCATAGCAACTTCATAATCTGTAGTCAAAAAATTCTTTCACTGGGCCAGAGACAGGACAGAGGTCAAGGCACTTGTCTTGCACACGCTCGACCCGGGTTCAATCCCTGGCACCAGTACGGCACCAGGAGCACCACCAGGAGTGACCCCGGAGCACTGAGCCTGGAGCGACCCCGGGCTCTGGATGGCCGGGTGTGGCCCCAAGACAAAACAAAACAAAATCTTTCATTCCCTAATGGTCACTGCTAGGTATTCTGCGATTACTCAAGATTTGACAATGCTTTAATTTTTGCTACACAGGCCTGAGAAAAACCTTTTCCTTGATTTCCTGCTACAGTTTTCATTTCTCGGGTCACTTCTGAAAGTAAGCGCGATCTCTGAGTCCCAAATCTCTACCCTCAGGGACGACCCACAAAGGGAATGTGCTCGAGCCAAAATGGAAGAAGAACCTGCCACCGTTTCGTTTCCAGTATCTTACAAATACGGGGAAAGTATGATTTGAGTTTTCTCCCCCTTTCTTAGACGTGCGGTCCGAAGATGCCCGGGGCTGTGCAGAAGACCATCAGCGGAAGGCCCTTCTCCTTCTTACCTGGCAAGCTTTCGCGACGATGTCCGACGGGGTGTCCTGGGAAAAGGCGGGCCTGAGAGCAGCTCCCACCTGCGAAAGCCAACACGAGAAGTTCGCGTCCAAAGAGGAGAATCCGTTGAGTGACCCACTTTGGGGCCAAGCCCAGCGGCGCTCCAGGCTCTGTCCTGGCACAGTTCCGGAGCCGCTGAGGGGTCGGGAGCCCGGCCAGCCCCTCCCCGCTGTCCGAAGGCCCCAGCCTGCATGCATGTTCGTAAATGCGAAGGCTCTGTGCCTCTGCAGATGGGGACACGCAGACCACAGCCCCTCTCCTCCACCCCTTCCCCTTACTCCTCTCTGTCCCCATAAATTCACACCAATTCCTGTTTCCTGGAGGACACCATCCTCAAATCTATATGAATGGATGCTATATCAAATAAGCATGTAGGGTTTCTCCTCCTTTTATTTTTGTTTAATTGTCTTCCCATTGTTCATCGATTTGCTCAAGTGGGCACCAGTAACATCTCCATTGTGAGACTTGTTACTGTGTTCGGCATATCAAATATATCATGGGGAGCTTTCCAGGCTTTGCCGTGTGGGCGGAATACTCTTGGTAGCTTGTTGGGCTCTCTGAGAGGAATGGAGGAATTGAACCCAGGTCGGCCTCGTGCAAGGCAAATTCCCTCCCCACTATGCTATTGCTCTGGTCCTTGTTTCATAGCAGACATAATTTCCTAATCAAATCAAATCACATGTTCCCAGAGATAAGAGAAACTGGGTCTGGTGTGACAGTACCGAAGATGAGGCACTTGCCTTGCGTGTGGCCGACCTGGGCTCAATCCCTGGCGCCCCACACAGTCCCCTGAACCCCGCCAGGAGTGTCCCTCTGTGACTGTCCTGAGCATTGCCAGGTGTGGCCTCCAAACCAAAAAATGACAACAAAAACTTATTTGGAAAGTATCTCATTCTTTCAGCGCTTCAGTAATATTTGTGCCTGTTATTAAAATCAACTTACTTCTCAGCACGCAAGGTGCGGCGTTTTTTTTTTTTCCTTTAACAATAACAAAAAAGTCTGCAAAAAAGCCTGCTTCACAACAACAAAGTACCACTGAGTTGGAAGGAAAGATGAACCCTCACGGCTCACGGTACGGGACGGGGAACGGGAGGAGGACAGGCCGGGAGGAGGGAGAGGGGCAGATGCCGCTGAGAGCAGACACGTGCCTGCGGTGACGCAGCGACCCTGCCTTCCCGACACTCTGCCGGTGGTGCCGTCCCGGCCTTGGACACAGCACAGCGGGGGGGCCGCTTGCCTTGCAGGCAGCCAACCCGGGTCCTATGCCCCGGCACCCCACGGGGTCCCCCAAGCTGCTCTGAATGCAGAGCCAGGAGTCAGCCCTGAGCACAGCCGGGCGTGGTTCCAAAACCAAAATAAGAACATCAATAAATAATACTGTCGACCACAATGCCATAACTTAAAAAAGAAAAACAACTCGAAATAATGAAGAAAAAATGCTTTCGGGGCCAGGCCTGGCTCGGTGGTGGGGCGGCTGCCTCACAGGTGTGAGGTCCTGGGTTCAATCAGCCCCAGAGCCACGGGAAATCAAGGCGTCACGGGCGTTGGTGTAAAAATAACCTCGACACCCGCGGCATTCTTTCCCCGCTTATCTGGAGGGAGGCGCGGCTGAGATTCCTGCCCTGGTCTTATCTGCAACCTGACTTAAAAATAGTGGCAGGTCAGGCGAGCCCCAGGGCCAAGGGCGTCCTGGGCGCCACCGCGGGGGCCCCAAGCAGAGAGGAAAGACGGCAGGGGAAGGTGTTCTGGGGTACGGCCCGGGGAGAGCCAGGCCTACTAGCGGGCACAAGCGGCCTCCTGCGAATGTTTCTCTAGCAATGGGGAAATGCTTTGGGGGGAGGTTTGAGGGTCACACCCAAGAGTGCTCAGGGGACTGTGAGGTGCCAGGCATGGACGCAAGTGTCCTAGCCTCCTCTTCACCCCTTTATGACCACCCTGGGGTCCCACTTTCGTTCTGACTTCTCATGTGGGGAGAGGGTGCCCTCATCGGTGCTTGGGGGCTGGGGCTGCTCCTGGCACTTCTTAGCCGGGGTGAGTAGCCTGGTGGTGACATTTGGGCCTGATGCTGCCGGGCTGCAGGGACCAGCGGGCTCAGGGCGCCGACTCTGGCCCCCCCGTGCTCGACCTGTTCTTCCCCTCAGCTCCCAGTGGGAGAACCGGGGCAGGCCACACCGGCCCTGCTCAGGGCTGACTCCAGGCAGGCTCATGGGGCCCTGCAGGACGTCAGGGAAGAAACCCAGGCGGGCTGCGTGCCAAGCACACGCCCCCCCCCCCCCCCCACACCCCGCGAGAGCCGAAGCGAGGAGGGGTCTCACGTTGGCCTGGTACTGCTCCAGGATGACGTGGCCGGGGAACTCCGGCTCGGGCACGGACGCGAACTTCTTGATGATGACCTCGAGCGCCTGCAGGCCGGCCATGCGGAGCTGGCTGCTGTGGTCGGTGGCCGCCATGAAGGCCATGCGGATCAGGTCGGAGAGGTGCAGCACCAGGAAGTCGTCTGGAAAGGAGAGGAGAGGCGGGAGGGTGGGCCATGCCTCCGGGGGCCAAGCGGGAGCAGAGCAGGACGGGAGGGACCGGCAGGACCACGGAGCCACACGCTCCGGGTGCTGAAGCGCAGAGTTCCTCGAACCACAGTCTCTGGGGGCACAGGCCGGGGGAGACGGCAGGGGAGAGACGGGGGGAGAGACGGCAGGGAGAGACTGGGGGGCGACTGCAGGGGGGTGGCGCTGGCCTGCACGCGGCCGAGGGTCCCAGCCAAGCAGCGCTGCGTCCCTGCACTGGGCCTGTGTCAGTGCTCGCAGCACCAAGCCGCAGCCCCGTGTGAGCAGGCTGTCACCCGCCTGGGGCCCCTCTGCCTCCAGAGCCTGTTCAAGGCCTCGGCCGGGGGCGCCGCCCTGCAGGTCCAAGCACCATCTCAGGGCCTGGGTAAGGCGGGCACTGTGGCTGCAACTCCCGGCAGGCACCACAGCGAGTGCCGCTGCCCCCACCCCAAGGGGCCACCCGGCGTGGACGCCGCCCCAGCAGTGCGGGGAGAGAAGGCCAGCGAGACCCGCCTCTCCACGCTGTCAGAATCGCCCGCCGGGACGGGCCCCTGCGCCCGTGCTCAGACACAACCCGCCTTCTCTCTCCAGTGGGCCCAGGATGGGTGGCAGGAAAGGGGAAGGGTGGGGCCACGGGGGTGGGGACGGGTCACGGGGGTGAAGGGCAGGTCCCAGGGCCGAGGGCGGGGCCACGCGGTCACTCACTGGCCGGCTCCCGCAGCTTGGCGGCGCGCGCCAGGGCCAGGTCGAAGTGCGCGGGGTGGGCGCCCTCGCACAGGTGGGTGACGCGGCACAGGCAGTCGGCGGCGAACACCCGCGTGGCCCAGCGCGGCGCCACCGAGGGCTTGGCCTTGTCGTCCTCCCCGAGCGTCGTGAACATGGAGTCGTCGTCCATCTCGTCCTTCTTCTCGGCCTCCTCGTCCTTCCCGCCGCCCAGGGGCGCGGCCGTACTCACATCTGGGGGGGCGGGGAGACAAGAGACCCCTGACTCGGGGTTGTGCCGCCGAGTCCGTCCCCCCGGGCCACCCCCGCCCGGCCAGCCCTGAGCCCTGCACGTGGCAGGAGCTCGCCACCCCAAAGGCTGCTCTGGGGCTTTTTAAAAAATACGTGAAAGACTTTAATTCGCCTCGACTTCCAAAATCAGTAAGTTCAAGAGTCGTGACATAATTTGACCTTCAGCCACGGGGCCGGGGTTTCCCGGCTCACGCTGGCCGGGCACAGTGGTACCCAGGGGCCAGGGCTGCTCGAGCTGGGGCCACACCCGGGGCCTGGCACCTCAGCACAGGCTCAGCCACGTGGGTCCCCCCACGGCCCCCGAAGCTGCCCACGGAGGCTCACGGTGTCTGGCCACGAGACCTGCCCGCCTGCCCACCGCCCGCCAGTCCTGCGCCCCCACCGGCCCGGCCCCTCGTACCGCTGGAGGCGGCCAGCACGTCCTTGCAGAGCAGGAGCCAGTGGGCCAGCTTGCCCACGGCCAGCGACGACAGCATGTGGCCCAGCGTGTCGTGGATGTCCGAGCACAGCTTCCGGTCCGTCTCCCGGTCCAGCATCCCGAAGAGGAGCCCCTCGAGCCCCGTCTCCGTGATGTTGACGCCCACATGCCGGCAGTGCGCGTCGCTCCGAGAACCGAGTCCAGGCGCGAAGGCGCCGACACCTGGAAGGAGGTGGACATGCGGCTTGGGCGGGCGGCGACCTGGCGCAAGAGCCCACCCGCGGCCACGACACTGGAGCACCAATCCCGGCCCACGCAAGGAGGGAGAATTGTCTAGGACAGCAGCTCAAATGGCATCTTCAGGGGCCACCGGGGCCCCCAGGGTGCAGGCCCGAGGCCAGCAAGGCCTCCCGTTCACAGCTCGGGGCAGCCCGTGCCTGTCTGGTGACGCACTGCACCAGCGCCCAAGACAGTCACCAGGAGCGAGCGCCCCCAGCACCAAGACAGACGGACGAGCACCACAGCCAGAGCCACCGGCGAACGGCACGCCAGCACCCGCACCAAGTGCCCAGCACCTGAGCTCCAGGCCCAGATGCGGGTCTGAGGGAGCACCATGGCGAGGTGCGGGTCTGAGGGAGCACAGCAGCCAGATAAAGGATCTGGGGAGAGAACTGTAGCAGGTGTGGGATCTGAAGGGGCACCGCAGCAGGCGTGGGATTGGAGGGAGCACTGCAACAGGTGTGAATCTGGGGGAGCACCGTGCCCAGGCGGGCGAGCACACTGCAATCCGGTGTGTGGCCCTGTGCCAAGGCGGATGTTGGGAAAGGGAGGACCAAGAGTAGAGCGACTCCGCCCCCGGTAAAACAAAAGCAAAGACCCCCGTCTCCAAGGCGAATCGCTGGGAGGACCCTTCCTTACTCTCTCATTTCATTTACTTTTTTGCTTTTGGGCCCCGGCCGGTGGTGCTCGGGGGCTATTCCTGGCCTGGTGCTGGCACAGGGTGCGGGGGGGGGGGGGGGGGGGGGGAACTCGGCCTCAGCCCTGCTGGGAGGTGTTTCGAATCTCCAGGAAATGCTCGATAAAAACACAGTTGATTCTAACAACAGAAAAAGGTGAAAGAGAACACATTTCTGAATAGATTCAACTCAGCGGACTGAAAAAATTACCTTTGTTGAAACAGCAAGTCAAAACTAACTCAGATTTCGAGTTCCTGTTTGTGCTGGTTTGTTTTGGGTCTTGGGGACTGAGAGCCCCTGGGGGAGGGGGTGCCTGACCTCCTGCGCTGTACCCCTGCCCTTGGGGTTCAGACTCCTGAAACACTGTGAAGCTAGACACAGACCACGAATCGACTAGATCCCGAAAGCTGAGAAAACACTGGGAAAGTCCTTCCAAGAAACATTCATTGAAAATGCAACACCACTGGGACAAGGAATATGGTACAAGTGGCCGAGAAGGCTGGGAAGGCGTGAGTGACCCCCAGGACCTCCTGCGTGTCCCCCAAGCCACCCCGCACCATTGAGTGACCACTAGAAAAAAGTAGCAGCTAAATCCTGGCCTTATCCAAACCATTTGTACTATTATAAGCAGTAGAAGGGATGTAACCAGCTGCCTTTGAAACAAATGCTGTTTTTTCTTTGGTCCTTTCGGTGTTGGGGTGTCCGCCCACGGTGCCCAGGGGCCACTCTTGGCTCTGCAGTCAGGGTCACTCCGCGCTGGGCATTGGAGCCAGGTCACAGCGGCCAGAGCTACACAAGGGCTCGACCTCTGAACTATCCCTCCGACCCTGAATATTTTACTTCTTCCTTTATTTTGGGTGTGGGGGCCACACCCGGCGGTGCTCAGGGGTTACTGCTGGCTCTGCACCCAGGGTTCGGGGAACCACAGGGGATGCTGGTGATGGAACTTGGGGTTGCTGGGCACAAGGCAAGAGCCTTCCCACTGGACTGCCACTCCCCACCCCGCCCCATATACTATTTTTCAAGAATTGTTAAAAAAAACCAAACAACTTTATGATCCTACGTACGCAGAGAGCATCCTGGGTGCAGACCCCGGGCCCTATGCCGGGATAACCCCCGGCTTTCAGGGCGAACCAGGCACTCGGATCCCGAGCAAGGCGGCAGGACTGTGGGGCGCTGAGGGCCCTGCTCCCTCCCCCAGCAACCCTCAAACGACAAAGCCTCCTTCTAATGAAGGAAACGGGCGTCTCTGCAAATATTTCCCTGCTCTCAGTTTGTCTTACACGGTCATGCACACAGAGCTGGCCAGCGGAGCCCGGTGCTGCCATGGAGACAGAGAAGCAGAACACTCAGTATTTCTTTCCTTTTTTTTTTTTTTGGTTTTTGGGTCACACCTGGTGATGCGCCAGGGATTACTCCTGGCTCTGCACTCAGGAGTTACTCCTGGCGGTGCTCAGGGGACCATATGGGATGCTGGGAATCGAACCCAGGTCATCCAAGTGCAAGGCAGACGCCCTACCCGCTGTGCTGTCGCTCCAGCCCCAACACTCAGTATCTCGTGTGTGCTCAGAATTCCACAGCGGCCTTTGGGACTGGGTTTCTCCACATGCAAATCTTCCTCTCACGTGGTATGACAATGTCTGTGGCCGCAGGGCTCTGAGACCCGCGTTGAAGCTACTACTGGCACCTGTTTCTCAGTCCTCACGCGCTGGGGTAGATTCCCTGGACACAGGAACCACTCCTCAGAGGCCCGGGAGCTCCCGGACACCCTCGGAAAGACCACGGACCCCCTGTGCCAGGGCTGAACTCCCAGCCCGTCAGAGGCAGGAAGAAGCAGACGGCAAGTTTCTGCTAAAGAGCGTACGAGTGACGCAGCTCACACCCATCACCTCTGGGAAACATTGTCACAGAAATTCATTTCCTGCAGAGCCTGGGCACACGCGGTGAATTTCTCTCCTCCGAGTGTGTAGGGGAGGGCCACAAAGCAGCAGCATTGAAGCCGGGCTGTGCTCAGGTGCCCCTCGGACCCCTGCAGGGTGGGTGGAGGCAGAGCGGGAAAGCAGGGCACGCCTGTCTCCAGGCTCAGGTCCTGAGGGCGCCCGCCTGGCTCTGTGCTTGGGAGTGACCTCTGGTGGTGCCTGGGGGGAGCACACGGCGCGGAGGCTCCCTAATGCACAGGGACCCCCCTCCCTGGTATTACTGGAGTGATAGCACAGTGGGAGGGCGTTTGCCTTGCACGCAGCCAACATGGCCGACCCGAGTTCGATTCCTCCGCCCCTCTCGGAGAGCCCGGCAAGCTACCGAGAGGATCTCGCCCGCACGGCAGAGCCTGGCAAGCTCCCCGTGACGTATTCGATATGCCAGACACAGTAACAAGTCTCATGATTGAGATGTTACTGGGCCCGCTCGAGCAAATCGATGAACAACGGGAGGCCCGTGACTGTGACCAGTATTATTATTATTATTATTACTTATTGCTTTTTGGGTCACACCTGGCGATGCACAGGGGTTACTCCTGGCTCTGCACTCAGGAATCACCCCTGGCAGTGCTCGGGGGACCCTGAGGGATGCTGGGAATCAAACCCGGGTTGGCTGCGTGCAAGGCAAACGCCCTCCCCGCTGTGCTATCGCCCCGGCCCCCCCAACCCCCTCCCCACCGGTATTATCTTTCTAATGACCAGAAAAACAGCACTGGGATTTGGGAATAACGGGGAGGCGGAAGGGTGCACACCCATTCCCGGCATGCTCGGGGCACCCGGCCACCACCTTGTCCCTGCCCACCCCACACCTCTGGCCCCAACAACAGATTTATCTGACTTAGCAGAGTGAGAGCGGGAGAGAGGTGCAGGTGCCTCCTGGGGGCCTCAGAGGCCCAGGGGCTCCCGGACACCCTCGGACGCCGCCCCAGGGGGTAAGAACACACACCGCGCTTGGTCTTTGTGGTCTGGGGCTCGCCCCGTGATGCTCAGTCACCCCGGCTCTGTGCTCAGGGAGCCGTCTGGGTGCTGGCCACAGAGCCCGTGGTCGCTCAGACACCCGCGCCCGACACGGAGCACTCCGCGGGGAGCACGACCGCCCACTTACTGGCCCCGCTGCTCTCCTTGTCCCCCGAGTGTCGGGCGAGGCTCATGGCGTATTCGCAGACCTCGGCGGCTTCCCGCTGTGCCAGCTGCCGGAGACACGCCACAGCCGCCCGGCGCAGCAGCAGGTGGGAACTGCACAGGTGCACCTGCGGGTGGAGGGCAGGGGTCAGGGGTCAGGGGTCAGGGCGGCAGGTGCAGCTCTCCGGCTGGGGAGGCGGCGCTCGGAGACGTGCAGCTCCCTCGGCCGCCTTACATAGCCACACAACAGCCTTTTGGGAAAGAATTCGGCACCGGGCGACTTAAGAGGCGAAGGAAGGAAACTGGCCCAAGACGCGTTCGCACCGAACCACAGGGCCGCCGAGGCTCCAGCGGTCTCGCTTAGTTGTCCTGGTTTACGCTTCCCCCATGGCATCCAAATAACGTTTTTCATTTTTTTTCAGTCTTTGGGCAACACCCAGCCATGCTCCAGGATCAGTCCTGGTGGGCTCAGGGGGCCATATGGGGCTTTGGGGATCGAACCCGGGTGGGTGGGTGCAGGCAAGTGCCCTGCCTGCTGTACTGTCGCTCAGCCCCTAATTTTTTCCTAAGGAGGGGAGGGGGTGTTTGTGCCACACCGGAGGGCTCAGGGGCTGCTCCTTGCAGCGTCATCCGACGTGGTGCTGGGGAGGAACTGGCCGGTGGCAGGTGAGGCCTTTAACCCTCTGACTGTCTTTCTGGTCCTGTCTTGATTTTTCCATCATGATAATGACCATCCTGTTATTCGTCGATTGCCTCGAGCAGGCCCCAGTAACCTCTCCTTCGTCCTAGCCCTGAGATTTTTAAGAAAGTGCCATATTCAAGGCTCTTTAGGAGAATGAGACCCTTCATGGTTACTGGTATTTGGCATATTGGGTACACCACGGCGAGTTTGCCAGGCTCTGCCATGTGGGCAGGTTACATTCGGGAACCTGCCAGGTTGTCCTAAGTAGGAATGAAATAATAAGATGTCCGCTTCTGGGAGCTGGGTTTTATAGTCTCTGGGTCTTGGCCGTTGATGGGATTACACGGCGCCAGGGGGCCAGGTACCTCTGCTGGTACCTTCATGTGTGCGGAGAGTGGTCTCAGCATGGTGGTGGCTGGTCCTGGAGGTCTTCGGCTGCCGGAGCCCTGGTCGGGGCGGGGAGGAAAGCTCAACCCGCTCCCCACCAAGGGACCCCAGCAAGGAACAGCCAGGCGCAGGGGCAGGAGACTGACTGCACTGGTCTCGTCCGGGAGCTGGATTTTATAGTCTCTGAGTCTTGGCCGCTGATGGGATTACACGGCGCTAGGGGGCCAGGTGGTGGGTGTGACCCCCGCCTACTGGAATTTGGAGGATCTGGGTGGAAGATGCTCGACTCCAATCCGAGTAGGCTTGGAGGTCTCGGCCCCGGAACCCGCGTGGCTTTGTCCCTCTGCCAGTACCTTCAGGTGTGCGGAGAGTGGTCTCAGCATGGTGGTGGCTGGTCCTGGAGGTCTTCGGCTGCCAGAGCCCTGGTCGGGGTGGGGAGGAAAACTCAACCCGCTCCCCTCCAAGGGATTTTTCCATAAAAAGGTTTTTTATGAATCAGTCTATGGTGAAACGGGCTGGAGCAAAAGCACAGCGGGTAAGGCATTTGCCTTACACATGGCCGACCCGGGTTCGATTCCGCCATTCCTCTCGGAGATCCCAGCAAGGTACCGAGAGTATCCCACCCGCGTGGCGAAGCCTGGCGATCTCCCTGTGATATATTCGAGATGCCAAACACCGTCACAACAAGTCTCACCATGGAGACGTTACCGGAGCCCGCTTGAGCAAATCGACGAACACTGGGAGGACAGTGCTCCCGTGCTATGGTGAAACAAGAGCAAGCCTGGCCTGAGGCCTGACAGCTGAGTGAATACGGCCCCAGACAGAGCCCAGGGGCACCTCACTGACCCCCAGCACCACGACTCTGAACCACAAAGGGGCCCTGGGCGTCTGCAGAACCACTGGGTGCGGAGGTCGGGGGCGGGAGGTCTCCGCTCAAAGGGTCCAAATCTAAGGAAAAGAAGAACTGAGGAACTTGGAGGAAGGACTGAAATCATAAGATTCTTAGCCAAGAAATAAGGGTCATGATCCCCCCAAATTTGGTTTTGGGTGACACCCAGGTTTGCCCAGGGCTCATGCCGGGCTCTGTGCTTGGGACTGACTCCCGGCTCTGTGCTCGGGGCTCACTGGTGCTCGGGGCTCCCTGCCGGAGGGGCGAAGGAGTGCAAGGCGAGTGCCCCAGCCGCTCTGCTACGCCTCCGGCCCCCGCCACACTCCTTGCAAAGGTGAAAAGCAAATGGGTGACTAATCCGACCCATCTGAGCCCCAGACCTCGCTGCCCGGGAATCCCGCGTCGCATCCTGACGACACCCGCCCCCTGGGAGGCAGCCTCGGGGCGCCCTCCACACGGGACGTGACCGGGCACGAGGCTTCGCACTTACGCAGAGGCTGGGCACGAGGCTGGACAGGTTGACGTGCCGTGGCGCGAACATGTGCAGCTGCTGGAGGCAGGAGATGGCCGCGGCCTGCACGAGCGAGTCCGAGTGGTCCTGCGTGATGGCGCAGCCCACCAGGCACGAGGAGCGGATGGTGGAGATGGTTGCGCCCGTCCCTGGAGGGGCACGGACCCGCGTTAGCGCGGCCAGGCCATGGACTGAGTCCAGGCACGGCTCGCGGGGCACAGAGACGCCCCTCAGGTCGGCTTGGGTCAGTGACCCTCTGACAGACGCGACCCCATACAGCCAGAAGATTCTTCGTCCTCTGGCTCTCGGTGCAGTGAACGTCCTCCCCTGGATCATGAAGCCACGGAGAGGCTTGTTCTTACGGTAACATCAACGGACAATTTCAGTTCAGACAAATGACCGTGGCCCGGGAGACAGCCAAGGGCAGGGCTGACCCCAGTGCCACGGGGACCCTGAGTGTCACGGGGTCAGCCCCTGACACTACCAGGGGGGGCCCCCAAGCAGACAGCATAGCCAAGAGGAGGCGGTGACGTCACACACCGTCACCCAACACTGCCTAATCGCCAAACCCGGCGGAGACACGACCCACTGCCACCGGTCAGGGTCTAACTGCCAAACCCACCACGGCAAGGTGACAGGGCGTCCTATGGACACAGGGAAGCCTGGCCGGGGAAGAGCCCGCCCGCCCGCCTCAGAGCCTCCTCACAGGTGGTGGGCGCAAGGCGAGAGCGTCTGCATGGGCAGCCTGGGATGAGGAAACGGTCACAGATCCCCTCCACCACCGACCCGCCTCACAAGGACACGGCAAACACCTCGGCCCCCACACGGGCCGACCTTCACCTCCTGCCTGTCCTGTGGCGTTCTCTGGGGGAGAGCGATCCCGTCTCTCAAGGGGAAAGTTGAGTCCAGGCAGCGGCCGCGTCTGAGTACAGCCCTCGACCCTAGTGCTCCCCCCAAGACCGCGTTTTCTGGGGGCGCAGCCGGCAGGGTGCTTGCCTGCAGATGGCCAGCCCGGGTTTGATCCCCCAGAGCCAGGAGGAAGCCCCGAGCACCGCCAGCTCTGGCCCCCAACAAATAGGACACGCTTGCTTTTGGTGTGCGTGCATGCGTGCTTCTCGCCTGAGGTTTTCCTGGGGTGATGGTGTCTGTGGGGTGTGTGTGTGTGGGGTGTGGGCAGTGTGCGTGGTGTGCGTCTGTGGTATGTGTGATATGTGGTGTGTGGGGTGTGTGTAGATGGTGTGTGTATACGGTATGTCTGGTATGTGGTGTATGTGCTGTGTGTGTGTGTGGTGTGTGCAATGTGTGGTGTGTGTGTGGGGTGTTTGTGCTCTGTGTGTGTGTGTGTGTGGTGTGTGCGATGTGTGGTGTGTGTGTGGTGTGTGCAATGTGTGGTGTGTGTGTGTGGTGTGTGGTGTCTGTGCTCTGTGTGTGTGTATGGTATGTGCGGTGTGCTGTGTGTGTGTGTGTGTGTGGTGTTTGTGCTGTGTGTGTGTGTGTGGTATGTGCAATGTGTGGTGTGTGTGTGTGGTGTGTGGTGTCTGTGCTCTGTGTGTGTGTGTGTGTGGTGTGGTGCCTCCACACCCCTCCTCTGTGCGTAGAGACGCACGGCGCTGAGGGCAGGAACAGAGCCTGCCCCGCAGCAGGGCTGACAGAAGTGAAGGCAGGGCACGTTGTGGCCGGCTCTCAGCCTCGGCGTTTCCCTGAGACAGACGGCGCTCCGCCGACGGCCGGCACGAAGGGCCGAGGAGTGGGCGGCCGGGAACTGAGCAGTAAGGGAAAGAGGGACTGCGGAGGGGCGACCCTCGGGCCACCCCCACGGCCTCCGGGGAGGGCGTTCAGTTGCCACCAGAATCTCCGCTGAGACTCTGGACGTGGGACCATCAATACCGCCCTCCGCTGAGTCACTCAAACGGGTGACTCGTACGTTTGAGTTTGTTCTCAGAGAAAAATGGGGCAACACAAGCTCCCCTGTGACAGCAGCTTCCAAACCACACCCCGTCCTTAGGCAGAAAGAAAAGTAAGAAAAGCCACAGACACGGGGACTTCGGGGCTCTCAGGAAACGTTCTCTCTGCCCCAAACCTCAAGAAACGGCCGCGCGAGACTCCCACCGGGGGACGAAGCCCAGAGAGTCCCGACCCGCAGGAGCCGCCGCTGCCGGGGACAGGAGCCACGACCGTCACCCCCCCCCCCCCCCACGGTGAGCCACGAAGGGACCCCGGAACCGCAGCGCAGGGGCCCTCCCCCCCTCGCAGGCCCCTCACCCTGAAGCTCGGGGCCCACGGTGGTGATGATGGCGCCCAGGCAGCGGCCCAGACACTGGTGGACTTCGGTGTGCGAGGGCGGGACGGTCAGCAGCAAGGTGAGGACCAGCGACAGGGTGGGCTCCACGTAGCCGCGGTACATGGGGCCGCTGGAGTCCACTATCAGGGCGAGCGAGTGCAGGGACCAGGTCTGCAACGGGGGAGAGTGGGGGATCTTGAGGGGGGGGAGCCCGGGCAGAACCAGCTCTGGCTGAGGAACGGAGTTGACGCTCTCAGACCTGGACTTCGGAGGAGGTTCCATCCTGCGCCAGCGCCAGTAAGATGCTGACGCTGGTCTTCAGGTGCTGCCCCGAGCCGATGCCCCCGACGTAGCGGTGCAGGCAGCCCAGAGCCAGGGAGTGGCCCGTCCTGGACACGACGTCGCGGGCCGACTTCAACCTGAAACACAGGGAGCATGTGGGCGGAGGTGGCCAGTTCCCGTCTCTGGGGACACCTGAAGCGTCTTCTCCCTGCTCTGCCCACGGTATCTCAAGAGAGCGGGACGGAGTCACTGCGTGTCGGGCTAACGGCCACTGGAAGGGGGGGGCAGGGAAAGGACGCAGACACACAGCCACTCAGGGCTGGCCGCCTCCTCCCCCTGCCCTCCCTCCCTCCCCCCCTCCCCGTGTCCCTGCCTGTGTCCACCCCTCTCCCTCCCTGCCAGTGACGAGTGCCCGCAGTGTGGCGACTGAGGCCACACCATCGTCAGGAAGAAGCTATGACGTGATGTGAGAATCAAGAACTAGCAACTACTAGAGTCGCATCAGCCGACTTTCAGCTTTCCTGCAAAGTCCCTGAAGAACTGAACAGTCACTCGCAACTTCGAGCCACTGTCTCAGTCACACACACTTATTTGGACTTCTCGATCGGTCTTTGATAGGCGCGCAAAGAGCTCCTTAAATCCTTGTACTTATTAACTTTATCCCCTGATTTGGGGATAACTTAACAGCTGGTACACTTGGTAATAGTAAGGGTTTTTAAAAAAATGACAGGAAGAAAGTCAGGGAGTGGGTTGGGTGTCCAGAGCAGAAATGGAAGGTTTTCAGGGAACCTCTGTATTCGCTCACCGATGACATAGTAAGGCGCGATAACCAACAGAAGTCCTTTCACTAATTCCCTGGCTGCACTGTGGAACATTCCAGAACTGGGACGGATCACGACCCTCCCACGTCGAGAGGCTACTGTGGACAGCACGACACTCCCCCCCGCAGCCAGTCCCTCGGGTGCCGCCCCCGGCGTCCTTACTTGTCAAAGCTGTACTGGGCCATCCTGGCGATGAAGGAGGCCTCGCCCACCACCTGCGCCATCCTCCCCAGGGCCTCGCCGGCCGCGCAGCGCAGGATGGGGTTGGGGTTGTCCAGGGCGCCCATGACCAGCGTCAGGGCCGACTTGCGGACCTCCTCGGGACCCAGTGTGCTTTTGTTTTCGGCTAAGCCCTACGAATTATCAGGGGAAAAAAAATAATAGTAACACGGCATAATTCACACCAAATCACAGGACGAAACCAAGTATCCGGGTGCTGACACACGTCATTTGTTCTGCCAACGTTCCTAGCCCAGACTGCACCTGACGCTGATGGTGGCCACCTTCCTATACCCGACTCCAGAACCTAAGAAATCTAAAGTGCCTTGAGGGGCTGGAGGGAGACAAGCGGGCAGGCGCTGGGTGGGCGCGGTGTGAGAGCGGCTCATTTCCACAGGTGGCGAGCCCCGCCAGGAAGGATCCGTGAGCGCTAAGCCGGGATGGGATGGGATGGGATGCAGCCCTGGGCATCGCCGGGCGTGGCCCAAAAACAAACGAAACAGTGACTTGAGAACCCTGAAATAAAATAATCCCTTGGTGCGAGTGTAATCAAAGACTCACACCTAAAAGTCATTCCTACACAAGAGCTGGTCAGTCTCAGTGAACCGGCTGAAACTTATCGTAACTTTCAGGAAGGAAAATGCTGGGTGAGAAACTTTGATCCACTGACACAAAATCTTCAGAGAAGATGCTTAGACCCGGGGGACCGTGGAACACACAGAGCGGGTGAGAGTGAGGTAAGAGTGACCGGGAACCGAGAGCTGACGGTTGGCTCGCCGTACCGCACTCGGTTGCTACCTTTGTCCCACGTATCTGAAAAAGGGCTGAGGCCCGAGTCTTCGTGTCTGGGGGAAGGGTGGGGTCAGGGACAGCGCTGGGGAAAGAGCCTCTGACAGCACGAGCAGCCGGCAGCAGTGGACCACCAGGCCCAAGAGACCGGGACCTTGCCACCCTGCCCACAGATGCCAACGCTGCTGCTCGCGGCCGTCTCCCTGGCACGCGTGCTCTCATAGCCGATGCCCAGTGCCCGTCCGCAAAACGTGGTGTAACTTCTGTCCACCTGAACACATGTATTGAGCAGATGTGACCGTGAACCAGGAATACTGGACGGGGTGTGCGGTGCTGAAGAGACAAACGTTTACAGCTGCACCCGAGAGGCAGACGTTATTAGTTATTTCACTTCCCACATGGAGTGACCGAGGTTCAAAAAAGACCGAGGTTGTGTGTGTGTGTGTGGGGGGGGGGGCAGAGAGAGAGGAAAGTGCCCACACAGAGCTACAGAGGCAGGCTGGGATGGGGTGGAGGGATGCTGTTGAAACATTGTATGACTGAAACCTGACCACAACAGCTTTGTAACTGTGTATCTCACGGTGACTCAATTAAAAAAAAAAATAACAGATATTATAGCTTTAGCATTTTTTTAAAAAAATCAAGAAAGGTTCAGCAGATCACACTAGGCAGCAGATCACACTAGGCAGAAACCTATCAAGCAGGGGAACCCGAACACAGTCTCAAAGGCCATTCTCACAGTCACCGTGGGTGGCCGACAGTTCGAAGCTAAGTGGAGGTCCCTTTAATTAACCTTTATCACATGTCCCTTGTCAGCCGCTTGGAAACTTCCGCAAGAACTCATCAGGACTTGTGAAGTCTCAGGCGGAAAATTCAAACATCAACTTCACCCAAATGCAAAATACAGGACCGAGTAGCAGGTGAAGGGCAACAAAGTTGCTGGTGACTCAAACTCACAGGAAACCAGCAGTGGGGGGGCAGACACCTAACCGGGACAGGACAGCTCCGGAGGGTTCTCAGGAAGCCGCCTACCTTGAGCGCGCTGAGCACCGCGGTGAAGATGTTCAGCTGCACGGCCTGCTGCCGGACGCCCTTGGCCTGCTTCACGCACTCGGCAAAGTGGTCCAGCATCTGTAAGCTGCAGACAGGGCCTCAGAGCGCCCACGCCGCAACGGTGGGCACCAGACGCGGGCGCCCGGCACGGCCCGGCTCCCGAGCATCCAGTGACTTGGCAGTTGTGTGCGGGCACACGTGTTTCCCCCCCCCACCCCCCGCCCACCAGGGAGGGCCCAGTGCTGGCAGGACCGGCCCCTCGCTGCGGCCCCCTGGGCTCTTCGACTCACCGGTGTTTGTAGGAGACGTGGGGAAACACCACGCCGAACAGGGCCACGGAGGCGTCGATGACGGACACGCCCAGCGGCAGCGGCCCCGGCACGGCCTCCCCGGCAGGGATGCGCAGGTAGATGGATGAGGGGTCGTGCTCCAGTGCCCCACTGCCCGACGCACTGTTGGGCTGCAGCTGCGGGGAGCGGCCAGTCACCCCGCGGGGTCAACGCCGCCCCATGCAGTTCTCGGGGCTGGCCCCCAGCTCTGTGCCCAGGGATTGCTCCTGGCGGTGCTCGGGGGACCCTGAGGGGGGCTGGGGAACTGAGCCGGGGTTGGCCATGGGCAAGGCTAGGGGACTACAGGGGTGGGGGCGGAACCTAGGCCGCCTCCCACCCTCTCTGGGGCTCTGCTGGCCGTCCAGTGACCGGCGCCCTGCCCACGGCCCCACCTGGTCCTCGATGGACTTGTGGTCAGTCTCCTGCAGCCAGGAGCCCAGTAGCACGCTGTCGTCGTAGTGGCACAGGGACCTCAGGAGGGACGTGGTGGTGTTGGCTGAATTGTCCGTCAGCGTGAACTCAGCGACCAGCTCTCGGAGGAGGGCGTGGAAGGAACCTGAGGGCAGAGTGTGGGGGGGGGGGGGTCGGCCAAGGGTGGTCCACGGAGGCGATGAGGTGTCCATGCCCACGGCAGCCAGGCGCCAGACAGGAGCGAGATGGTGACGGGCCTCCCCCTCCAGGCTGGAACTCTGGGACGGTGACACCCCCCCCCCACTTTCGGAAGCCCCGGCTCTCCCCCCCCACTTCCCGGGCCCACAGCCACCACCACGGCAACTCACTGGCCCAGCCCACAGGGCCTGGTATCTGGGGCACCTCCGAATCCGCCCACTGAGATTCCAGTAGGAGCACCCCACGTTAGAAGGGAGAGTGAGAGAGACGCCAACTCAGCCCGGGGAAGGAGACCAAGCCCACCGAGGGCTCAGCAGGCGACAAGCAGCTTGGTAAGGACCCTCACACTGGCTTAACGACTCCGCGGTGAAATGTAACCATCTTCCCATAAAAAAATCTCTTTTTGAACTTAATGATTTTAATAATGGATCTTTGTTGTCTCATTTTTCAATTCTAGAAAATCTCTAAATTTCAATTCTAGAACTGTCTCAACAATTGTGGCTTCTGTCTACATTAAAAAAAAAACTCCCACCAAAAAACGAAGAAAAATTCACAAACTTAGCTGAACTAGAGACAAATCCATCGTCTATTCAATGTCAGGCTTGGACTCTGACGTGCATGCCCCCCCGCCCCAGACCCCCAGCTCCCTGGATCTGCCATTGCAGAGACCCAGAGGGTGTAGGACAGTCACAGAAAGCCGGCTCAGGGGCGCAACGCTGTTGGGTTTGAATCTAAACGACCACTGACGCCCAGACGTGGGCAGTTTGTGGCGACACTTCCACTCAGCCCCGTCGGCCCGAGGCGCCCGTCCACATACAGCCCAGACGGGGTCTGGGGCCGGCAGGAAGGACGAGCACCGGCTGGCCGGGCAGCCGGCAGGGAGGCCGTGCGCTGACTGACCTTCGTAAGTCTTGGGCGGCAGCAGCGCCAGGATGTCGTAGAGGCGGAGGCGGACCATGGCGGCGCTGGCCTTCAGGTGCGCCCCGTGGGCCTTGATGACGGACGGGATGCTGGAAGGCACAGGCAGCAGGCTGGCCCGCGGGGGACCCCCACGGCTCCGCGCCCCGGGCCCTCCCGTCTGCGCCCCTCCCTCCGCCCGGGGCGATGGTGGCGGACGCGCCGTAGGGGGACACCACGTCCGCCCGTCACGGCCGAGGGCAAAGCACGGGCATGACCGTCACCAGGACGCGGGCAGGGGCGGGCGCGGCTGGCCGCGCTCACTTACTGGGACATCATCGTCATGGCACACTCGATGGGGGTCATCAGCTTCCGGATGACGTCCTCGGTCAGGAGTTCGGGGCAATGCGCAACAAAGCTCCTCATGGCTGGATGGAAGAGCGAAGGCAGATTTGGGGCAGCTTTAGTGAGGACGGGGGGGGGGGGGGGAATAATCTAAAACATTATATAAAGGTGCCCACAATTATTTTTATTATGTCCTCCCGTTGCTCATCAATCTGCTCGAGCGGGCACCAGTAACGTCTCACAACAAATTGTGAGACTTTGTTGTTACTGTGTCTGGCATATCGAATACGTCACGGGGAGCTGGCCAGGCTCTGCCGTGCGGGCGAGATACTCTCGGTAGCTGGCCGGGCTCTCCGAGGGGGCGGAGGAATAATCGAACCGGGGTTGGCCACGTGCAAGGCAAACGCCCTCCCCGCTGTGCTATCGCTCCAGCCCTATTTTTATTATAGAACGTAAAATTCTGAAATTAGGCCAAACCAAAATAACGACAGCCAGAAATGGGCAATACAAGGCAGGAGCAGGAGAGAGCGGGCAGGAGCTCCTGCGGGAGGCTGACCCACACCCGATCCCGGCGTCCCCAGGGTCCCCTGCACACTGCCAGGCATGATCCCTGAGCACAGGGCAGGAGTCAGCCCTGAGCAGCGCCGGGTGTGGCCCCGTGACGGACAAGAATAAAAGGAAAGACAATTTGCAGGGGTCCAGGGGAAGGCAGTGTGGCCAGTGCAGGGCTGAGTTGGGTCCTGACGGCCTGTACACACCCGGGTGGCCCAGGGAGCCCCTGACTCCAGCCCTGCAGGCCCAGTCTGGGCCACCCCTGCGAGCACTGTGCCGGGAGGCAGGCGAGCACTGTGCTGGGATTATGAGCCCGCAGCGTGCATGTGGGCACTGTGGCTACAGCGTGACGCGGCCAGCAGGCAGGCAGGGCCATAACGACGGCCTGTGACCCTGCAGCCAGTGCCCCATCCGGACCCTCCCTGCAGGCCCCTCCCCCAGCCCCGCCCAGCAGTGCCTGGAAGCTCACCACAGAGTGCTCCTGCGCGGCCCTCCAGCGTCACCTGCCAGGTGAAGGAGTCGCCCCGCGCCTTCTCGGCCTCCAGCTCCTTCAGGGAGCGCGGGAAGACGTTTCGCCACAGCAGCAGCATCTTGGGCAGGTGGTAGCGCACCACGGACGGCCCTGGGCGAGAACCGCGGGTGAGGCTACGGGCCCGGACGCACGCAGACCCCCGCGCCCCTGCCCAGGGGAACCGTCTTCAGACTCGCGGCTCCCGTTTCCTTATGGGTTGGGGCCACACCCGGGGTGCTCGGGCCGACTCCCGGGTGGAGCTCAGGGGTCCAGTGGGGTGTCGTGGGCCAAACCCGGGTTGGCCGTGCGCAAGGCAAGTGCCCCCCCGCTCTCCTCGCTCTGGGGGCCCCGGAATGACTCTGACCGCATCAGCAAAACACAAAGAACCGAGACTTTCAGCATAAACCTCAAACAAATCCACAGAACGTCGTCTGAAGGGAGAGCCCGTGTGACTCAGAGGCGGGTCACACGCGGCCGCAAGGCAGGGGCTCCGGGCTCTTTCCGGAGCGTGCTCTTTAGAAGCACATACGGAGGTGGCGACCGAGAACACGGTCCCACGAATACCCGCGGCACGATCTGGGAGTGACGTGTGTGACTGCTGTGGTTGTATGAGCAGCAGTGTGTTAGGGGCCCGGGTTCGGACGGGGCTGTCTGGGAGCCCGGCGGCGGGATGAAATGTCACCCCAAACCCTTCCGGGCTCGGATGACGGCACAGTCCACCAGATACAGCCTCGACGAAGGCATGGATCACGTTTCCGCAGTGAACAGTTCGTGACAGGTCCTTAAGGACTGGGGGGGGGGGGGGGGGGAGCCGGCCCCAAAGGGCGGGGAGGCCACTCCCGGGTGTCTCGGGCGTACCGAGGGTCATGAGCGCGCCAAGCAGCAGCCAGCCGGCCTGGGTGCGCTGCAGGGACAGCCGGCTGTTCTGGGCCGCCGTCCGCAGGAGGTCCTCGGCGATGCTCACCACCGTCTGCGAGAGAGGAGAGGAGAGGCCGGGCTGTACCCAGGAGGTCAGCCCAGGCACCAAGCCCTGGGCGCACTGGGCGAGTGCGCTGGGAGCATGGGGGAGACAAGCGTCAGACCCCACCCAGCCCCCCGCCACACTGTGGTTCTGAGCTGGCCCAGGTGCACAGTCCTCGGGGTCGTGCACACGCCCTCTGACCCGGAACCACTTAGCTGCCAGCCTCCTGGGGGAGACAGGAGGATGCCTGGGAGGGTTGGCCAACGGCAGGCCACGCCTGACCAGGACCGAAGCGTCGTGACTGCTGGAGCTGTTCACCCCCGCGTCCTCTCCAACTCCCCGAGAGGAAGGGGACAGGGAGAAGGAGAAGCAGCGGCTCGGGGCAGGGAAAGAGCCCGGGGGTGCGGGGACAGCAGGGCCAAAGGCTGTCGGGGGCTGGGGGGTGGGGTGGAGAGCATCAGAGCGGGAGGCGGCCAGGAGCCGGAGCCTGGAGCAGGTTGGGGAGATGGGAGGGGCAGGAGGAAGGGAAGCTCCGCTCGGGACCCATAAGCTGGCCGGAGCCACGCCCAGGGGTGCTCGGGGCCACTCCTGGCTCTGCACGCAGGAATGAGTCCTGGTAGTGCTCAGGGGATGCTGGGGATTAACCTGGTCTGCCACGCACAGGCGACGCACCACCTGCCAGAGCAAAGCTCTAGCTGCTAACCTCTCTAATCAGGGCTTTTCCTCCTCTAAGATGGGACACAGGTGGAGGGGTGATGTCGGAACAGCCCATGCCTGAAACTCAGTGATGAGAACCGTGATTTTGAAATTCATGGTGACTTGATTTAAAAATAAGAAAAAGAAGGGCCGGAGAGATAGCAGCGGGAAGGGCGTTGCCTTGCACATGGCGGACCTGCATTCAATCCCCGGCATCCCATGTGGTCCCCTGAGCACCGCCAGGTATGACCCAAAAAGCGAAAAAAAAAGAAAAGGAAAGGAAAGAAAAAGAAACAAGACATCCCACAGTGATCTATTCACAAACAAAACCGGGGACTCCCAGATGAGAATGGAATGCCGTGTTTGAACGGAGGTCTGGCAGCTCACGTCAGCCGAGTGCCAGCTGGTCAGGGAGCAGGGGCCGAGGGGTCCCGGCCCGCCCACCATACCTTTCCCTTGGCGTGCGGGATGCCCAGCGGGCACTGGTGCACACCGCCCAGCAGAGCGGCCATGGCGAAGCTGTAGCCGCTGACGGCTTCCGGGGAGCTTTTCAGGCTGTTGAGGCGCTCGGCACACCTGTCCAGGAAGGGGGTCAGCTGGAACGGCAGGGCCACGGCCACGCAGCGCAGGCACCAGGCGGCGGCCAGCCGGGCGGCCATGCTGGGGTGCAGGAGCACCGACGTCACTGTCTCCAGGAGGCCTGCGGGGGGAGTTTGGCGGGGGGGGGGGGGGGGGGGACTCGGGTCACACGTGCTCCTCACGGCGCCCGAGCAGGGCTCAGGGCCCCGACATACCCCAGCGACAAGGAGCCGGTGTGAAGGTGGGCTCGGAGCTCAGTGCTCGGAGCACCTCGGCCTCAACCATTGCCCCTGAAAGGTGCCGCGACGGACTCATGCCACCTCGGAATCAGGTGCCAGTGCTCAACATATGGCCAGTACTCCCGGGCGCTCAGACACCCAGACACGGGACCGACACCTGACTTCTGGTTGGCTGTCTGTCACGTCACCAGGAGTGGTTTAGAGCATTTGCGGAAGTGCGCGTATTTCAGGGCGCTGTTAACGGGAACTCAGAAACGCTGAGGATGTCCGAGAGACCGGAAATAGTCACGGGGCTCTATTTCCAATGACTTTCCTAAACATCAAATATTTTCACTGACTCTTTTAAAATCGGGATTTGGGTTTTATGGGCCGTGTGCTCTGTGCTTTGTAGACGGTGTTCCTTTAAGTGATCTCGTGGGGCCGGAGCAACAGCACAGGGGCGAGGGCGTGTGCCCTGCACGCTGCTGACCCATACTCAATCCCAGCACCCCACAGGGCCCCCTGAACGTCACTCCGGAGTGATTCCTGAGTGCGGAGCCAGGAGTGAGCTCTGAGCATCACCAGGTATAATCCTCCAAAAAAAAAAATTACTTTTTTAAAAAGTCATTTTAAAAGTAATACATGTGGGTTTGGGGTTTGTTTCTAATTTTTTTGACTTGGGAGAGGCGGGGCACGCCCCTCTGTGCTCAGGGGTCACTCCTGGTGGTGCTCAGGGGGACCCTATGGGATGCCGGGATCTCCGGATGCAGGGCAAGTACCTTACCTCCTGTGCTCTCTCTGGCCCATTTGTTTTATTTTTTTTTGCTTTTTTTTGCGGGGGAGGGGGGGTGATACCCAGCGATACTCAGGGATCACTCCTGGCTCTGCACTCAGGAGTTACTCCTGGCGGTGCTTGGGGGACCCTATGGGATGCCGGGGATCGAACCTGGGTCGGCTGCATGCAAGGCAAATGCCCTACCTGCTGTGCTATTGCTCTGGCCTCTGGCCCCTTTGGTTTTTAAATTAAAAAAGAAACAAATTTCTCTATTCTAGTTCTGTTGGGGGGCCACCCTTGTGGTGCTCAGGGGCCACTGCTGGCTCCGTGCTCAGGAAGGGACCATTGGGTGCTGGGGCTCAAACTCTGCCAAGTGCATCCCTTCCGGTGGCCCCTCCCGCCCGGGCCCTGGGGCTCACCGATGGACGTCTCCTGGATGAGGGGCGCCGCGCTGGCGCTCAGGCCCTGCACCAGGCTGCCCAGCTCCTGCAGCGCGCACACCATCACGTGCTGGCTGGCCGCCACGTCCGCCGCTCCCGACTTGTTCTCGCCGCTGGTGTCGCTCATCACCGTCTCTGGGGGCACAGGGCGCGGGCGGGTCGGCGGGTGGGTCTGGACCGGCAGGCCCCCTGCCCCAGCGGGGTTCCCGACGCCACGGGCTGCTGGGTTATCCGGGCCTGAGCACACACAGCCACTGCCCGGTCAGAGCCGGGAGTGGACAAGAGCCCGGAGGGGCTTTGACAGGGACTTCGGGCATCTGAGGAGGCAGCGAGGAAGGTCATGGCACGTCCCGGGCACAGGCTCGGGGGAGGCCTCGTGCAGCTCCACCCACGCCCGCGGCTGCTGGCCACGAGCACCGTCAGTGCCTGGGACCTCTGAGTGACCAGGAAGTCATTCCTGCTGGGAACGGAGCCACGCGGCCCGTCACCCACCCGGGGGACGCTCCCTGCTGCCCTCCTCCTCCTCCTTTTGTTTTCTTCTTCTTATTACTATTTTGAACGTACATGAAAGTCACGATGGTTGATCCAACTCTAGGGTAAAACTGACTAGATAACAAAGCTCTAATATTCGAATGGATGCATTTAGAAGTCTTTTTTTTTTTCTTTTTGGGTCCCACCCAGCGATGCACAGGGGTTACTCCTGGCTCTGCACTCAGGAATTACGCCTGGTGGTGCTCAGGGGACCATATGGGATGCTGGGAGTCGAACCCGTGTTGGCCACTTGCAAGGCAAACGCCTTCCCCGCTGTGCTGTTGCTTCGGCCCCTAGAAATCTATTTTTTGTGCTGAAAACAGCCCTTCCTCATCGCTGAGCGCCTGCTTTCAGCCTTTCCCGGTTCTGATGCTAGTGGTGAGTCGCAATGGGATGGCTTTATCACTGTCAAACTTACGACCAAAATGTCCTTCAATAAGGAAAGTGGCTTTGGAATCGCTTCCTGGAATTCTCTGCGCTGTTCCCACCTGATTACTGGGGTCCCACCCAACCCTTAACCTTGGACTGTCTGGAACTTTCAACAACAGACTCCTCGTCCAATGACCAGCAAAGGCTGTGTCTGGGCCCATCCCGAGATGCTGCGCTCTGTGTGTTTGCTTCCAGGACTTCCTTTTGGCAGTTGTGCCTCCAAGCAGTGCTCACGGGGGATGGGGGGACCACTGTCCCAGGTTCTGAGACACTGTCACTGGCTCTGCATGTGGAGATCACTCCTGATAGGGTGGGCCATCGGGGGCCACCTGGGCTGCTGGGATCAAAGCCCTCCCGCGACACCATCACTCCAGCCTCGAGTCACCCTTCCCTGGGGAACTTTCAGTTGGGCCCGGGTGCCCATAACTTGGTTGCTGCGATGGCAGATTTTAATGCGACACACCATTAACATAAATCAACCCAGAAAAAAACGGAAAGCTATAAACTGCAGAAAAGCACACTACCCAAATCTTTAACAACTACACGTCACCAAACTTCCGTTGCTTTTTTAGAGCCAATAAAAGTCTTCAATAAAAATGAGTTCCATGGAAGGGCCGGAGCTATAGCACAGCAGCGAGAGCATTTGCCTGGCATGCGACCAACCTGGGTTCGATCCCCGGCATCCCGTAGGGTCTCACGAGCACCCCCAGGAGCAATTCCTGAGTGCAGGGCCAAGAGTAATCGCTGAGCACCGCTGGATGTAGTCCAAAAATGAAAGCAAAACAAAAGGACTCTCATGCGTCGGTCCAAAGAGATCCTGAGCTCCCGGGACCGGCATCTCTGCAGGGTTACAAGGAGCCGCGAGACCAAGGCCAGGGACCCCGTCGCGGCGGCAGCCTTACCCACGGCCTTCATCTGCTTCCCGATGGCCTGGCAGACCTCCTTGGCGGCCGCGATCTGGGCCTTCTCGCCGAGCAGACTGCCCACGGTGGCTCGCAGGATGAAGGAGACGCAGCGCCGCGAGTACACGGCCTCCACGTGGGTCTGCGTGGCCCGAGGGTGGGACACCAGGTCCAGCACGTGCGACAGGAAGGCGGCGAAGCTGCGCTCCAGCCACTGGCCGCCCAGGGCCGTCACGAAGACGACATACGCCTGCGAGAGAGCAAGACGGGCTTCAGGGGCGTGGGGAGAGCGAGCGGGAACGCGGGGAGGGTGCCCCTCAGGACAACCCCTGGAAGGACGAAGCGCCGACCCTGTCCGACACTCATGAGTCGATTCCCAAACTTCCGACCCTCCAGCACGGTACTTGTTTTGGGGGGTAGGGGAGCACACCGGGGAGTGCTCAGGGCTTACTCCTGGCTCTGTGCTCAGGTGCGCAGCAATTACTCCTGGCGGTGCCTGGGGGACCCTATGGAGTGCCGGGGATTGAATCTAGGTCAGCAACACGCCAGGCAAATGAGCGACCCATGGCACCTACCATTGCTCCAGCCCCAGGCAGGCTGCACTCACAGCACTGGCTTCGGGAGCCGCCACACGGGCGAGGGGAGGGCAGCCGGGACAGAGAGAGTTGGAAATGACCTCCCTGGACAAGAACTGAGTGCTGGAAGGAGGGAGAGGGATGTGCATGACACCTGCTCAGCAACGGTATTGCAAACCATAATGCCCAGAGAGAGAGAGAGAGAGAGAGAGAGGGGAAGAGGAGGAAAGTCCCTGCCATAGAGACGGGCGGGGAGGCAGGAGAGAAACTGAGGACACTGGTGGTGGGAAATGTACACTGGTGGAGGGAGGGGTGTAGGAGCACTGTGTGACTGAAACCCAATCATGAATAGCTTGGTAACTGCATCTCATGGCGATTCAATACAAGAAAAAACAAAAAGGGAGAAAATAAAATAACCAAAATGAATCACCGCCTTTAGTACAGAAATCACCAACAAAATGACATCTGACTGAAAACGGTACTTAGGAGAATATCTTTAAGAAGAAGGGAGAGTGATATCAGAGGGAAACAACACAGAACTTAAGTCTGGTGATGAGGGAACAGGCTCCAGGTGCAGGAAAACCCGCACATCCTAATGAAACGCAGGCCTAGAGCGAGAGCGAGAGCACTGGCGGATGAATAACATACATTAATCCCGTCATTCTATGGAAGCCTAATCGTTGGCAGTAAATCCAATCAAAGCATCAAGCAATATTATTCATTATTTGGGTCTCTGAAGAACAATAAAATGGGGAAGCCCAGAGCTATCTAGGTACAACTTCAATAAGCTGAGCTGTTTCACAGCTGATTATGTGCCAAATAAAATGTGGGTGAATTCTATTAGATATTCATGCAAACGGAGTAGACACAGGTTTATTTGCGCATCACCATCCTTCCATGCATGCGGGCAATTCTGAAAGCAAAGCAAAATTCTTCTGCTTGGTTAAAAAAAAATAAGAAAAAAAAAGCCTTTTTTGGTTGATTTTTCTTTTTGCAGTGCTGGGAATCAAACCCAGGGCCTTGCACGTGCCAGGCAGAACTTCATTGCGAACCCACATCCTCGGCCCTCAAAGAAATGTCTTGACAGAAACAAGAGGCACAACTTGTGTGTACCACTCTGGGCTTTTTGTTGTTGTAGTTGTCCTTAGTTTGCTTGTTGGGCCAGACCCAACAGCTGTCAGGGCTTACTCCTGGCTCTGGGCTCAGGGATCACCCCGGGGGGGCCGGCCCTGCTGAGCGCCGGGCACGCCCCTCCTGGCTGTGCCCCTTCTCCCGCCCCGCACTGGGCTTCGGTGACCGCACGCACCTGGGTGACGCCGACCCTCACTTCCCGGTTGACGGAGCCCCCGACCTTCAGCATCTCCCCGCCGCTCTTCAGGAAGCCGGAGCCTCCCCGGAGGAAGCCCGTGGCCATGAGCTCCAGGACTTCGTCGAAGGTCGCTCGCTTCACGTTCTGGCGCATGACTGGGGAGGGGAGCACTGTGTCGTGAGCCCGCCGCGCCCGCAGATGGAATCCCCCACGAGCGCTTCGGGCCCCCAGGGACTGCGTGGAGGGATCCCACTTGTCTCACAAGTCGGGGCTGGGGCTGTGCCTGGCAGAGAGAGCTTGGCAGCACTCTCGCCTCAGCAGCGCGGGACCCTCCTCCGACCCGCAGAGCCCGAGCAGGCAGAACCTCCAGGGGCGTCCCAGAGGCAGGAGGGGCTCAGCGCCGACACCTGCTTCTCCTCCTGCCCGCTGCCAGCCACACGCGGCTCTCAAGCCCCAGGAAGTCTGCGAGCCCTTGGCTTCTGCTTAGAGTCACGGCCAAGGAAAAAGCGCCCCCAAATGAGACTGTTTCTAGTGGGGCATGAAAAATGGAAAAATCAAAATAAGATTTGCAACTCCAGGCCTCGAGGGACAGGGGATGGGACCCTGGAGGTCACGCCCACAAACTGCCTCGGCTGCTACTTAAGCTCTTTAATGGCCGTGATCCAGAGACACACCGAAGAATCTCCGAACCGAGCAACTCGCTGCAGAGATTTCTCCAGACCCTAATTATCTAAAATTTTAGAATTCCGGGAGTACACGGCCACTCTCGAGGCCGCATGACATCTTACGCTACTCAGAACAAGCAATACAAAAGAGAGTATGAAGGAGACTGTTTGCCATAGAGGCAGGGGGAGAGGTGGGATGGGGGGGACACCGGGGACATTGGTGGTGGAAGATGTTCATTGGTGGAGGGTTGGGTGATCAATCATTGTATGACTGAAACTCAAACAGGAAAGCTTTGTAACTGTACCTCACTGTGATTAAAAAATATTAATTTAAAAAACAATAAAAGGGGCTGGAGCGATAGCACAGCGGGTAGGGCGTTTGCCTCGCACATGGATGACCCAGGTTCAATTCCCGGCTTCCCATATGGTCTCCTGAGCACTGCCAGGAGTGATTCCTGAGTGCAAAGCCAGGAGTAACCCCTGAGCATCGCCAGGTGTGACCCGAAAAGAAAAATAAATAAATAAAAATAAAAACAGTAAAATAAAATTAGCATTCTGAATTTAAAAAAAGTAACGTGGCGTTCATGCCCAATTCAATCAGCTTAGTCAATGGCTGAATAAATACCAGTGCTCCGACATTAAAAACAAAAATAGTAAGATCTGCAGGAACCACGTGGCCGACCAGGGTTCAATCCCCAGCATCCCACAGGGTCCCCTGAGCACCGCCAGGAGTGATTCCTGAGTGCAGAGCCAGGAGAAACCCCTGAGCATCCCGGATGTGGCCCAAAAAGCCAAAAAATTTTAAAAATCCAGTGAAAAACGATTAAAGGTAAGAAAACGCAATTTTTTTTGGGGGGGGGGCGTCTCCTGAACATCACAGAAATTCATGTCACACGCCTGTTCTCACATCGACTGAATTGTTCCCTGTTGCCCTGTGCATCCTCATCCTGCAAAACCGCCCCAATTCCACCCAGGACACCGCCCTTGGGGTGCCCTCAGCCTGTGAGGCAGCAGGTAAGAGGCTCCCGCTTTGCCTCCTCGAGCTCGGACACCACGGCCCGGGGAGCAGAGGTCCCCACACTTCTCCCCAAACACCTCTTCGAGTGCTCACTCCAGAGCAGAGTCGCAGTGGCGTGCCCACGGGATGGGAAGCGCAGGGGGCAGGAAGCACGGACATCAGTGTGGGCGAGGGCACCGCGCAAGACCGGGACGGGTACCCCAGGAAGGAAAGCAGGTGGGCACCGGGCGGGCACCCGCACTACCTGTGGCTTGCTTGGGCATCAGCGCGGTCGCCATGACGGTGCCCAGGAGCTTGGCCACGGCCACCCGGACGCCGTAGTTGGAGTTCTCCAGCGCCTTGAAGCAGAGCGTGGCGATGTTCTCCAGCTCGGCGGCCCACATGAACACGGCTTCGTTCTGCAGCTCCAGCAGGCACTGCGGTCACGGAGCGAAGGGAAACTGATCGGACCCGGAACCTGCTCCGGCGAGGAGGAACCAGGCCTCACCGCCCAGACACAACGGGAAACGGGACAAAACAGCCCTCTCACGACGCTGGCCACGGGCAATGAGGGCTCTGACGGAGGCTGGGAGAGAAACACAGCGGCCCTCAGCCGCCCCGCGTGGGGCCCTGCGGGGGCCGCTCCTGGGAGGGACCTGAGAACCGCATGAGACGCCTCCGCCAGAGGGAGACGGGACTTGGGCGGACAGCGAGACGGGGAGAACAGGAGGGGCGGGCGGGGGCCCACAGGACCAGGCAGACCCGGCTGGCGCGGGCCCGGGCTCTACCCACCCGGGGGTTTGGTGCTTCGCTTGTGGAACCCCCTCAGCCCCACAGGGAGCTCCTCCCCGACCCCCGAAAAGAGGAACCAGACGTAGAGCCAACCCAACACACTATAGGAGGAGGAGGGGAAGTACCAACGATGAGCAAGGAAACCCGTGAACTGGAGAATGGGAAAAAGCGGAAGTGGCTTCTCTGAAAACAAGACTCTCGGCCAATCTCTAACCAACTGAAAAAACACAAATTACCAACAGACACCGTCGGAGGGATGAGAGGCGGTCACCTATTTTAGGAGAACAAAGGGGTTATCGCGAACTTTATGCCAATAAATCCAGTAACTGACAAGAAAAATACAACCCACCCAAAAGAAACCCACCCTCCAAATAATCTCTCCTTTTAAAATGGCACGTGTGGGGCCAGAGCGATAGCATAGCGGATAAGGTGTTTGCCTTGCAAGCAGTCAACGGGGATTCGATCCCCGGCATCCCATATGGTCCACCAAGCACCCCCAGGAGTAATTCCTGAGTGAAGAGCCAAGAGTAATTCCTGAGTATCACTGGTGTGACCCAAAAAGAAAAAAAAAAAAAAAAGGCATTTGCCCTGAGCACAGCTGGCCCAGCCGAGCCGGGTTCGATTCCTCCACCCCTCTCAGAGAACCCAGCAAGCTACCGAGTATCTCACCCACACGGCAAAGACGGGCAAGCTACCTGTGATGTATTCGATATGCCAAACACAGTAACAAGTGTCACAATGGAGATGTTACGGGGCCCACTCGAGCAAATTGACGAACAACAGGAGGACAGTGACAGTGACAGTGACAATTAAATGGCACATGTAGTTTGGTATCGGCCCACAAAGGAAACGGCAGATCCAAAGGGATTTGCTGATGAATTCGACCAGCTATTTACACAAGAAATAATATCAAATCCACACAAACACGTCCCGAAAACCTCAGTCGAGAGGCTGACTGCCTGGCTGCGGCCAGGGTAACCCCGATACCGAGATCTGACACCGGACTACGAGAAAACCACACACTGATATTCTTCACGAGCACACACGTAAGAATTGCCAACAAACTATAAGAAGCCCCAAGCCAAAGCTATATGAAAAGGATAATGTATCCATGGCTAAATGGAGTTTACCCTTGAATGAAAGTTAGGCTAAACTTAAAGACTGACCGATCGCTGTAACTCATCACACTGGCATGCTAACGAAAGGGAAGTCACTGGATCACCTCCGGAGCGCCCAGGTCACTCAACAGACCGAAGTAACCTGGGCCATGTGTTAGGCTGGTTGTCATGCTACGCACACCGTGGCAAGTGGGTGAACACAGGCGGATACTCCCCATGCACTGCCCGCCCGTCTACAGTAGCGTCACCCCAGGAGGCTCGCTCCTGTTGGCTAACGGACAGCACGGCCGCGCGTGGGGGCCGGCGGGCGAGGGGGCGCGTTTTAAGCGGCCGCGTACGAACCTTGGCGACGGCACAGCGCACAGCCATGGACCTGTCGGTCAGCAGGGACCTGGCATTCTTGTAGATGTCGCGGTGGGAGGACGCGGCGGCGCCCCCCAGTCCATCCAGAACTTTCTGCAGGCTCATTAAGATTTCACTCCGTCCTTGAGACTAGACGTGAACAGACAGGAAAGCATTCAACCTCAAGCGGGGACTGAGTCCACAGGGGAGCTGGAGTACAGCACACGGGAGAACACTCCGAGGCCCTCGCCATCTTCCCCCAAGGACAATTATTAACCGCCAGTAGGAAATATCTTTAAGGGCCGGAGCCATAGGACAGCGGGGAGGGCGTTTGCCTTGCACACAGCCAACCCGGGTTTAACCCCCAGCATCCCGTATGGTCCCCTGAGCACCTCCAGAAGGGATTCCTGAGTGGAGAGCCAGGAATAATGCCCGGGTATCACTGGGTATGGCCCCACAATGCCAGATATATATATATAATACATATCTCTCTCATATATGAGACATCACAAGATAAATATTAAGATACATATATACACACACACACACACACACACATATATATATACCTGACAGATGAGATCACGACAAGTAAACCTATCCCCACGTTTGCATGAGACGCTAAGGTTCCATGAGAACATTCAGACAAGAGCTTTCAGCTGTTGTACCATATCTCAAATGCTCAAAATGTGACTGTTATGCAAAAACATTTCAAATATGAAAGGTGGGGCTAGAGTGATGGATAGCACAGTGGGGAGGGCATTTGCCTTGCATGCGGCCGACCCAGGATCAATTCCCAGCATCCCAGATGGTCCCCCGAGCATTGCCAGGAGTAATTCCTGAGTGCATGAGCCAGGAGTAAGTAACCCCTGTGCATCGCTGGGTGTGACCCAGAAAGCAAAAACAAAACAAAACAAAACAAAAATCAAACATGAAAGGTAAAGAATAAATGAGTTCTGAAATAAGCCACTTAATAGAAGAACTGGAGCGATAGCACAGCGGGTAGGGCGTTCGCCTTACAAGCGGCCAACATGGCCGACCCGAGTTCGATTCCTCCGCCCCTCTCGGAGAGCCCGGCAAGCTACCGAGAGTATTCGATATGCCAGACACAGTAACAACAAAGTCGCCAATGGAGACGTTACTGGGCCCGCTCGAGCAAATCGACGATCAACGGGAGGGCCTTTACCTTTACCTTTTAATAGAAGAACCATCCAACCTATTTACAAACACGCGCACAGAGAGGGGCGAACCCTCCTCTCTGCAACTCGTCCAAACTCCTGAGGCCCGTGCTGAGAGCTGACTCCGTATTTCTAACATATTTTGCCATACCCACTTGTGCAAGTAGAGAGCTCAGGGCTGGAGCAATAGCACAGCGGGAAGGTCATCTGCCTTGCACGAAGCCAACCCGGGTTCGATTCCCGGCATCCCATATGGTCCCCTGGGCACCGCCAGGGGTAATTCCTGAGTGCACAACCAGGAGTGACCCCTGTGCATCGCCGGGTGTGACCCAAAGAAGAAAAAAAAAACAGGCAAAAATAGCTCTTCCCTAAACTCTAAGGTTTCTAAGGTCAGGCAACACGTTTTTGTGTGTGAGCATACGTGTATGTTTGGTTTTGGGATTTCTGTCTGTTTCGGGGCCACGCCCAGCTGTGCTCGGGGATCACTCCTGGCAGGCTCAGGGGACCATGAGGTGTGCTGGGGAGTCAGAGCCAGTCAGGCGCACGCAGGACAAGCCCCAGCCCCCGAACCCGTGTTTCTGGCTGGTCTCGGACTCCTGGCACAGACAAACAGTAACTGTTTAAGACTCACCTCTGCGCTTTTCAGAGCTTTCAGAAGGTTGTTGACCGTTTCTGGAAAGGCGCTGCCTAACATCCTCCCCATCTTCTCATAGAACGCGCCCACGCACGCCACCGCGGCCCTGCAAGAAGCAACCCCGGCACGCTCACTGTCGGGTTAGTCACACAAGCCTATTAAATCTTCTGGGCAGTCTTTGCCCCCTGACCATTTCCGACGCTGTTCTTCATGCGTCCGTGCACCCACCATCCCAACACCACCTGCCTCCAGGGACCGGTTTCCCTCCACCACACCCCAGAGCCCTACCAGCCCCCCGCAGCACTCAGATCTCGGTTTCCTTTGGCTTCTGGGGTCACACCTGGCGATGCTCAGGGGTTCCTCCTGGCTCTGCACTCAGGAATGATTCCTGGTGGTGCGCGGGGGACCCTATGGGATGCTGGAGATCGAACCCGGGTTGGCTGAGTGCACGGCAAACACTCTCTCCACTGTATGACTATCATTCCAGCCCCCAAATATTTTATTTCCAGAAATCATTTGCCCATGAAGTTTTCAGCTATCGATTATTAATTTGTTGTTGTTTGGGGCACACCTGCCAGTTCTCAGGCCTTACTCCTGTCTCTGCACTCAGAGACCACCCTGGCAGGGCTCAGGGAAACATCTGGGGTACCAGGGATGGGACCCAGATCGGCCGGATGCAAGGAAAACGCCCTGCACTGTCCTATCGCTCAGGCCCAAGAAATTCTTATTTCCAACTTCAAAGAACACCTTGCTTATTCTTCATGACTGCAATTAATACTATGGCTAATCAAATTGTATTTTTGTTAGGAATGCAAAAAATTAATCACATATTTACATAATAAATCACAGTCACAGGTTTTTTTTTTTTTTTTTTTTTTTTGCTTTTTGGGTCACACCCGGTGATGCACAGGGGTTACTCCTGGCTCTGCACTCAGGAGTTACTCCTGGTGGTGCTCAGGGGACCATATGGTATGCTGGGAATCGAACCCGGGTCGGCTGCGTGCAAGGCAAACGCCCTACCCGCTGTGCTATTGCTCCAGCCCCACAGTCACACTTTGGGAAGAAACCCAAGATCTTGTGTATGAGTTCTCACTGTCACTGTCCTCCCGTTGTTCATCGATTTGCTCGAGTGGGCCCAATAACGTCTCCACTGGAGACTTTGTTGTTACTGTGTTTGGCATCTCGAATACGCCACGGGGAGCTTGCCAGGCTCTGCCGTGCGGGCGAGATACTCTCGGTAGCTTGCTGGGCTCTCCGAGAGGGGCGGAGGAATCAAACTCAGGCTGTCTGTGTTGTCCCTGTGCAAGGCAAACGCCCACCCGCTGTGCTATTGCTCCAGCCCTTATGAGTTCTCAAATTATATTAATCCATAATGCTAAAATTCATAAAGTGAAAATCCAACAAAGCTAAAAATAAAAGAGCTTCACTGTGGTGGACTCGGGGTGCCGGAAGTAAACGAGGGTAACAAAGACGGAAACAAGTGGGACACAATTCAACCAGCTTGATCAACGGCTGGATAAATAGCAGTGTGCCTACATTAGGGAAAAAAAGGGGACACCATGGCAGAATATTCTAGAAAATTCCTCAACAGAGCCCAGAAAGCTACCTGAAATACATGTGGATCACATGTCATACGTAAAAAATTTAATTTAACCAGCACCACAAATGCAAGTGAATTTGGTAGGTGGCAGAAATCATAAAACTATTAACGTGGCTTCAAACACCGAAACAAACACGAAACACTAAATAATGCTCCACTACTTGCTAAATTGTTTACCATCTGCGTCTGTTGCAAACAGCATGACCTGTGTAGCTACGACAGTCAGAAACAGCCTGAGCACTGCCAGGGTGCTGCACAGCGCCCGTGGGTGCTGGTGTCCAGAGCTATATCCTCGCTGTTTATTCTTCAGACTCTCTCTGCCCAGCTACTTTTAGCCACAACAAAAGGTCCGAGTCTCCACGTGACCCATCCAAACCACAGGCCTCATTCAGGGCTCTGGGCTCTAAAATCCAGACAAGGAATTTTTAAAAAAAGATTGGGGGGGAAGCTGGAGTGATAGCAAAGTGGGAAAGGCGTTTGCCTTGCACGTGGCCGACTTGGGTTCGATTCCCAGCATCCCATATGGTCCCCTGAGCACCGCCAGGAGTAATTCCTGAGTGCAGAGCCAGGAATAAGCCCTGGGCAACACTGGGCGTAACCTAAAAATTAAAAAAAAAATGGGAGGGAGAGGTGTGTGGGAGAAGCCGCTGGCGTGCTGTGCTCCCTGATAGGACAGCTGGCCTCTGAGGAAGTGGCCTTCCACAAGAGGCATCCCTGGGACCAGCCGACACTTGCTCCCAGACAGCCCTCACTTAAGCTGAGCCCCAAGTTGGGCAAAGAGCTGGCTCAGGCCTAGCGAAGGGCCGGTCACCAGGCGGGCAAGACAAGTCTGGGTCAGGCGCTGAGTACTTGCAAGCCCAACGCGGGGTGGCACAACTGCTTCAGGAAGGGATTCTCAACGCCGGCAGAGAAGGTGGCAGGGCCTGGCCGGACGCACAGCATGCAGGCACTGGCCACGAGCGTCGGCCTGTTCTCGCCTTAATGCCATCACCTAGAAATTCCTTTTTTTTTTTTAATTTTTCAAAAGCCACCATGAAATTGCAAACTGAGTTGTGCCTGGGTTTTGGGCCAGCACAGGCTGCCCCCAGCCCACCCGGAAGACCCAGAGTTTCCGCTCTCTCCACAGTGCCAGAGATCTCTCTGGGCCCTTTACTGAGCCAATTTCACTGGGGCACCCCAGATGGGGCAGGTGCAGTCTCCCCGGTGGCTCCAGATCTCAGCGCACCAACGGCTCTGGTCCAGGGATTCCCAATTGCATCCCAAAATGGATTAGCGCCCTCCAGAGATGTCCCTCGACCCCAACCACTTACAATCTTAGAATTCCAGAAACACACGGCTGCTTTTGTGGCCATATGGCCTCTCATCAGAGTCAAAGTGATCAACAGAAAATAAACGATCCAGCGTCTGACCCTGGCAGGCAGGCTTGAATGGGGGCGGGAAAATTCGAGCAAACTGTAATGCCCAAAAGTAGAGAGGCCCTCCCGTTGAGCGTCGATTTGCTCGAGCGGGCCCAGTAACGTCTCCATTGGAGACTTTGTTGTTACTGTGTCTGGCATCTCGAATACTCTCGGTAGCTTGCCGGGCTCTCCGAAAAGTAGAGAGAGTATTGGAAAAATTGTCTGCCATACAGGCAGGGTGAGGATTGGGACCGGGAGGGGATAAGACTGGGGACATTGGCGGTGGAGAATGTGCACTTGGTGGAGGGATGGGTGTTTGATCATTGTATGGCAGAAGCTCGAACACGAAAGCTTTATAACTGTATTTCACGATGATTCAATTGGAAAAAGGAAAAAAAGATGAGCAGCCTCTTACTGACGTTCTTGGGGTGGGGGAAGGGTCACTCCCAGAGGTAACAAACCAAGCGGCAGAGGCAGGTGAGAACCCAGGCCCAGGATGCAGTGCTGCCGGGACCAACCATGCCCTCGATACCAGGGAGCGGGATGGTCTCAGGGGCCCAACGCTCTCCCAGCTCACGCAGTCCCTTCAGGGAGCAGGCGGGGCGCCAGCCTTGCACAGAGACCCGGGCTCAGTCGCCGGCACCCTGAGCCACACCAGGAGTGACCCCTGAGCACAGAGAGAGGAGTCCGCCCCGAGCAGCGCCAGGCGTGGCCCCGACCCCTCTGCGGTACTCACAGTTTCGTAGGCAGGTAAGCCGCCGTGTCATCTTTGTTCCGGATGATGTCGTTGCACTTGTCGAGCGTCTGGAAGACGGTGAAGGTGTCCCCGATGCTGTACAGGGCCGCGAGGTTCTTAGCCAGGAGGTTCCGGGTGGGCGGGCCCGGGGAGCTGCTGATCAACCCCGTCAACTGCTCCACGAGTTTTTTCTGTTTTTCCTTCACATCCGTCTGCCGTTGACACAGACACACAAGAACATGAGCTTTCCCCCCTCACAGGTCGCTTTTGCGACCCTTGAGCCAAAATGGAAACGACTCCAGAGTGAAGGGACTCTAGTCACTAAATCCGCATCTCTTGGGGCCTACGGCCAGAAATGAGAACTGCCGGCACCCGGGACGGTTGTCTAACCACCAACCCTTCTCTCCTTGCTTCATTCTCCTTCTTCATGCCCCTCCAACGCCAAGAAGGGCGACTGCCGACGAAAGGTGCTCCTTTTTCTTGTTCTTATCCCACCTCATTTAAACCCCGTGGCTTGTAAAGCTGTCATGAGGACTTACAGGCATTCGAGACTCCAGCCCGCTCCCACCACTGCCCACCTCCCCTCCACGGCCGCCATTCCCCAGCCACCCTCCAAGCCCGCCCCCTTAGCAGACCCAAATGATTTACTTTATGTTGCTTGTCACCACCAAACGGCTAGTGGGATTATCAAAAAATACTTTCGTAAAATAAAATGAATGAAAATTCTTCTATCTCCCCAGGGGGCCATGAAGTCCTGGTCTGGGGGTTCACTCAGCCTCCTGTGCCATGTGTCTGTTCCCTGAACTTAGTGGGCTTCTATGTCAAAGTGACTATTCTGGATCCAAAAGGCTCCGACACCACGTCAGACAGAAACTGACAGTGAAAGTGCCCCGTGTGAACTCCGGGGCACGTGGACAACTGTGATGTTGGATCCCAGACCCACTCCCCCGTATAGTCTGCAGTCCAGAAACATAAGGGTCGGGGGGGGGGGGAGACCAAATGGCAGGAGAGCTCAGTGGCTTGGTACAGTACTGTCTGCTGGGCATCTGTGTCCAGTCGCTGGCACTGCCTGGTCTCCTAGGGAGGCCAGGCCACCGGGACTGACCACTGAGGAGAATCAGGCATGGCCCTGAAGCACCACCAGGCACGGGCCAAAACCGAAAGGGAAACGGAAAAGGAAAGTCTTGAGAGCCTCCAGAAACAGGAAAACAGTATTCAGATCTGCCCCCCGGAGGAGTCTCTCACCCGGAAATGTCGGGCTGGGGCTGGAGCAACAGGCTAGCATGGAGGGCGCTTGCCTGGACGCAGCTGACCTGGGTCCAATCCCCGGTTAGATTCATTGGCACCCCTTAGGCTTCCCTGAGCCCCACAGGGAGTGACTCTGAGCACAGGCCCACATGAGGAGAGGGCAGTTAAGACAGATGTGATGGAAGTCATTTAGTTCTGGGTCACCTCATGGGTGGCTGATAAATATCATGTGAAACTTGGGGAAAGAGAAGTCAAGAATGATTCAAGTTACTTGATTTACTGTCCCCCCAAAGAAAACAACAACAAAACAGTACCCATCTTGAAGTCTACCTTAAGTGAATGAACAGAAAAATGTCCCCCACCTGCCCCTGAGGCTATATGAAGTCTTACTGGAGGAAATTTCAGACCCAGGAAGGTGTAGGAACTGGTCACTCGCTCCAACAGTCAGCAACGAAAAAACGGACAGTTCAGAGCAGGAACAAACCACAACCAGATTTGGAATAAGTGAGAGTGAAGACTGTTCACACAGCCAAGACAGATTCGGAGTGAAATCAGTCTGAGAAAAGACCCTATTGACAACGCAGCCCCTCACCCAGAGCTGGGGTCCGCGGTAGCCCCGGGGCTCCTGAGGCCCACGAGGACGAAAGGACCCTGCAGACACAGGGAGGACGTTTGGGGCTAAGCAGCTGTGAGACTCCCATCTCTCTCCTGCAGCCGGGCCTGGGGGCGCCTGTGGGCCGGAATTCTGAAGGCCAGCAGCTGGTCAGACACCTGGGCACCAGGAGCAGAGTCTCCTCTGGGACAGGGCCCGGGGAGCCAAGCCCGAGACGGATGTGGTGGTTCCTCCAGTGTCCCACAGGGACATGCCCCTAACTTCACCCTGCCCAGGACACTTTTCACCAGTCCCCTGTGGGCCGAGTCAAAGATCATCAGATGCTTGAGGAAAGCGTGTCATTTTATCTTATTTTATTTATTTTTGCTTTGAGGCCACACCCTGTGGTGCTCAGAGGTCACTCTTGGCTCTGCACTCAACAAAGACTCCAGAGGTGCTTAAGGGACCATATGGGATGCAAGGATCAAACCCCGTCACTGCGTGCAAGGCAAGCGCCCTACTGGCTGGACTCTCTCTGGCCCCGAAGAGGGTCATTTTAAAAACAGAAGAAAAAAAAAAGACCCCAGAGATAATGAAAAGCAACTCACAGGACTACACAGGAAGAAGCCAGGGGAAGGCATTGAATAGTGAACTCTTCTAGGAGCTGAGGGGAAGGAGACCCCCTGTCAGCCTGGGGACCAGGGACGTGTCAAGTGACAGGGGTCACTGTCACACTTTTCCAAAGTCAGATTCAGCCAAGCAGGCAGAGCCCGCAAAGCTGGCCAGAGCATCTGCAGTTAACCAGGTTTGGATTTTTGCTCAGGATGAGAAATGAATAGCCTCGAGTTCCACATCAGGACACAGGCGTGGGCTTGAAACCCTGATCTACAGTACAGACTCTTCACCCTGTGAGTCCAAACGACAAAATAAGGAATAGCGTACCTTGTTGGCAGCAACCAAGACTTTGTCAAGAAAGCGCAACCATTCAAAGATAAACACGGGTCTCTTTGCTTCTGTGATTTGAGCCAGAGCTTCCTCGTTCAGCAACAAACTGTGTGCTAACTCCATGGTGGACTTTCTCAGGCGTCACGCCTTAAAGGAACACAGCAGAAACACTTGTAAGGATTCACAGACAAGCCAAGAGCGGCGCTGGATAATGGAACAGGGCAAGATGCACAGTCCGGCTTGCTCTGTGCTCTCATTCACTGGGCGAGCTGGGAAAAGATTTCTTTGAAGCACGACTGGGGCATCCAATTTTGTGGAATTCTTTTTAGCCGCGAGATACAGAGTTACAGCCGTGAGATACACAGTGACAGCCGTGAGATACATAGTTACGGCCGTGGGATACATAGTTGCAAAGCTGCCGGGGCTCAGGTTTCAGTCCACAGAGATCCAGCACCCGTCCCCCCACCGGTGTCCGTTCCCTCCACCCACGACCCCGGTTTCCCTCCCGCCAGACCCCCACCCCCGGGGTCAGGGGGCATCAGACTTTAAAGGCCCGGGACACCGATAAAAACCAATGGGCCAATCAAGAGCGGGTGGGCGAGCGCGGACGGTGAGAAAGGGAAACTTCAACGCTGCGGCCGGGGCTTGCCGACCCCCCAGGATCACCCCGCCGGGAGCCCCTTTCCTCGCCCACGGCCCCCGCTGCAGCCGTGCAGCCCCCGGCCCGGGCTGGAGACCCACCGATGCACGACGCGGCTGTCCCCGCGCGGGGGTCCCGGGAGCGTGTGCGCGCCAACGGGAGGGTCCCGCGGGCCGCACCAGCTGACAGCGGCCCCGGCCCCGGAAGCCCCGCCCCCGCCGGAAGGGCGCGAGTGCGCCTGCGCGGGAGCCGGTCTGCGCAGGCGCGCGCCGCCCCCGGCCCCGCCCAGGTGTCTGCGGGAGCGCGCCGGGTTCGGCGCAGGCGCAGCGCGCGGGACGCGGGGGCGCGCCGGACTCGGCGCAGGCGCAGTCCGCTCGCCTCGGAGCCGCGCGCAGACACGGTCGGCGCGGCTGGTGAGCCGGGGGGTCGCCTCGGGGTGGGGAGTGGGGCTGGCGGCCGCCCCCCGGCCGGAGGCGTCGGGGTCGTGGGCGCGGCCGGGCCTGGGGCGCCTTTGCACGCCCCCAACCCTATCCCGGCTAATCTCCAGCCTCTCCCGGGCCTCCGGAGCTGGGCCTGGGCCCGCAGGGGCCGAGGGGGCCAGGGATGACCGGGGACGATGGGGGCCCGCAGGGGGGTGGGGGATGGCTGGGGACGATGGGGGTCGGAGGAGACCAGGGATGGCCGGGGACGATGGGGGCCGGGGGGGACCAGGGATGGCCGGGGACGATGGGGGCCCGCAGGGGGGTGGGGGATGGCCGGGGACGATGGGGGTCGGAGGAGACCAGGGATGGCCGGGGACGATGGGGGCCGGGGGGGACCAGGGATGGCCGGGGACGATGGGGGCCCGCAGGGGGGTGGGGGATGGCCGGGGACGATGGGGGCCGGGGGGGACCAGGGATGGCCGGGGACGATGGGGGCCCGCAGGGGGGGTGGGGGATGATGGGACCCTTCAGAGGGGTGGGGGATGACCCGGGCCTCAGGGGGCCAGAGATAACTGGGACCCGCCCCACACCCAGGGGGAGGCCCCTCCCTGCAGGCCCAAACACAGACCTGGGTTCCCAGCTCACTCCCCCATCCCAGGTCAGGGTCGGTGGGGTAGACCCTGTGCCTGGAGGAAGGCGCTGAGGGTTCCAGGGAAGGGCCGGCTGCCTTGAACGGGCACTGGACAGAGCAGCTGTGAAGAAGAGGGGAGTAGACAGCGGCCAGGCCCGGCTCCCTGGGGTGGGGGCGGGGCGAGGCTCAGCCGTGGATGGTGTCAGCATCTTCGAGGAGGGGGCTGGGAATAACCGTCATCATCTTGTTTGGGGTTTGGTTTGGTTTGGTTTTGTGGTTTGGAGGCCACGCCCAGCCGTGCTCAGGCTCTTCGCTCAGGGATCACTCCTGGTGGTGCTCAGAGGACCACGTGGGGTTCAGGGAATGCCAGGCAAGCATCCTGCCTGCTGTCCTATGGCTCTGGCCCCAGGGACTGTCTCTGGTCATCTCGGTCTCTGTGGCTCAGGGTTTGTCAGGCTCAGCTTCGATTCGACCTGGCTGCTTTTCAGACTTTGCAGGACTTTTTTTTTTTAGCTGTTGGAGTTGATCACTGCCCTTTAAAATGCCTCCATGTGCATTAGAGTGAAGTCCCTTGGGTTCCACATGGGCAGCTTGACCGCATTGTGGAGGGTCGGGCTTTGTGAAGGGATGTGTCTGCGGCTTGTTCGGGGCACCGAGATGCACCGATCCGCTTTCCCGAGGGAAGTTTATCCTGCAGAGGCAGGTGACGTGAGCTGAAGGTTGAAACGTCCCTCTGTGGACTGGGGGTGACGTGGCATGAGACCCTGGGTTTGATCCCTGGCCCTGCAGAAGGATAGAAAATGTCACTCGGGAGAGGCCATGGGGCCACCTGGGAGAGCAGAGGCCGGGGTGAGACCAGCCGGGGGCGGCTCTGAGGCCTCAGGGTCAGGGAGCCCTTGGGACGCCTGTGAGGAGACTCGCAGAGGAGCAAGAGGGGTTCCTTGGGGCTCCAGGAGGGGGGCTTGGGGCGTTGCAGGAGCGTCGACGTGTGTCCCGGGGTGTGAGTGGAGGCCCCCAGCTGCCTGCACGGCTGAGTTTGGGCGCCATAGAGACGTCGAGGGGACACCGAAGAGGGCTGCTGGTGGCAGGCCAAGTGCGAGAACACGGGGCAGGACACCCTCCTTGCACACAGTCAGCCCGGCTGCGGCCCCCAGCACCCCAGAGGGTCCCCTGAGCACAGAGTCAGGAATAAGCCATGAGAACCCCTGAGTGTGGCCCAAAAAGCCCAAAGAAGAAACGTCAAGTGGTGATGAAGCTTGTTTACGTCCAGTTCACAGGAACCGTCGCGGCCTCCCTGGGCCCCGCGTGTGAGCGGCAGGCCCCTCGGCCGCGTGGTGCGGAGCATGGCCGAGGAAGAGGACTACATGTCCGATGTCTTCGTGAATGCCCAGTGAGTGGGTGCTGCCCTGGCAGGGCTGGTGGGCCGCCCTGTGGGAGCCCCTGTCCCCTTCGCCTGGGCCCCTTCCCGCCCCCCATCTGCCTCGCTGCCCGTTTCTCCTGAGTGTCCCTTCCTGGCCGTGGCAGTGCTGCCCTCCGTCCCGCCCCTCCCGGTGTCGGGGTCTCAGCCCAGAGCCTCGTCCCGCTCTCCAGGGCCCTTGCTGCGGGCCCTGGTCTGTCCTGATGTCGGGACGGCGAAGGTGGTCGTGGGGACCAGGGAGTGGCGTCCCGAGCGTGAGGGCCGTGACAGGGACGCCCCGCGCTCCGTCTCAGCCGCCCTCCCGTCCGCCCCAGGGAGGACGTCAGGCCCGGGCTGCCAGTGCTCAGGCACATCCGGGAAGCCCGGCGGAAGGAGGAGAAGCAGCAGGAGGCCAACCTGAAAAATAAGCAGAAGAGCATCAGAGAGGAGGAAAAGGAGAGACGCGACATCGGGCTGAAAAAGGCTCTGGGCAGCGAGAACAAGGGCTTCGCTTTGCTCCAGAAGATGGGCTACCGGAGCGGCCAGGCCCTGGGCAAGAGCGGTGAGTCCCGCGGGTGGCCGTCCCCGAGCAGGAGGGCGTCCCTGCTGGGCTGCGGGGGAGGCGGCAGGCGAGCCTGGACACCGCGCAGGACAGGGCTGCGGAGGTTGGGGCTGGGCGCTGCCTGAGTGGCTCTGGGAGCTGCATTTCCCTCCTTTCTCTTGGCACTGGGCTCATTTTCTCCTCCCCCGGGCAGTGGTGTCGCCTTGGAGGTGTGATGTCTCGGATTTGCCGTTAAACTCTGGCCTGGGTCCCCCGCCCTCCCCGCCCTCCTCTGGGTGCAGTCTCCGAGAAATTCCCCGGGGGCTCGAAGTCACTGCCACAGGAGTGCGTGTGGTAGCCGCCCTTTGCTGATCCTGTGGGATGCGCACGGGGCTGGGGCGGAGGAGCAGGGATCCGGCCTGGGGACCGCGGGGTCCTCAGGAGCTGGTGGGGCTGCGTGCTTGCGTGCAAAGAGCGAGTTGGCAGCTGAGGGTTGGTGTTGGGATCCGCATCGTGACAGCACTTGAGCAACGGGGCTTCCCCGTGGGCGGTATAAAGTCGCGCGTTCTGCTTTGTCTTTCAGGTGCTGGGATTGTTGAACCGATTCCTCTTAACGTCAAAACCGGTAGGTGATCCTTTTCGAGCGTCTCGGCTGTTCCACTTTGCCTTGACGTGTGTTTGCCAAACAGACGCCTTTCCTCGAACGTGGTGTCGTTGCCGATCTTGTGCCATAGAACCGCCTCGGGGACGTGTCTGAGGTCAGGGTGAGGGAAAGCCCAAAGGGGGGACCGCACGTGCGTCCTTGGGGTCCCGAGCTGTGCCCCTGGCACCGCTCGGGTGGCCCTGGTAGGCCCAGCACCGGCCTGAGCACTGAAGTGCCGCGTCCACTTGGTCTCGCCAGGGGCCCGTCCCGGCACTGCTGCTGTGGCCCGACGGTTACAGCCGGTGGCCGAGTTTGATTGTAGTCACCAGTTTAGTTTGGCAGCGGAGACCTTCAGAAATGAAAGGAAGCTTTGGTGAGCATGAAATCGAAAGGAAAGATACGGCCCAAGTGATGGATTAAGCAGGTGCGGCTCTGGCCTTCCACGCGACCAACGCGAATTTGATCCCCAGAACCCCACACGGTGCCCTGAGTGAACACTGCCAGGAGTGAGCCCTGAGCACCTCTGGGGGTGGCCCAGAAACCAAAAAAGTACTAAGATACATATTTATATGTGGGGGAAAGTTTATGACCATCATAAAATACAAAGTTAGTATTGAAGTGGAAGTGTCTAGAAGTCATTCTGGGATATTTTTTTCAACTCCTCTGCCCCTCTCAGAGACCAGGAATATCTCGCCCACACGGCAAAGCCTGGCAAGGTCCCCGTGACGTATTCGATATGCCAAACACAGTGACAAGTCTCACAATTTGTTGTGAGACGTTATTGGAGCCCACTGGAGCAAATCGATGAACAACAGGAGGACAGTCCTGCCGTGCAGTTTTCTCGATGCTTCGAATGAGTTTATGAGAGCGATTTCTTAGTGGGTTCATAATATTTACATGAGAGTACGGCGGTACTGTCTTCCTGATTTAAAGAGTCCGTGTGGGGCCAGAGTGATAGTGTAGCTGGTCAGGTGCTTGCTTTACACACGTCTGACCAGATTTGGTCTCTGACACCCCATGAGGTCCCCAAGTCTCACCAGCAGTGACCCCTAAGTGTCGAGCCAGGAGTAAGCCCTGAGCACTGCTGGGTGTGGCCCCAAATAAAACAAAGAGTCTGTGTGGTATTGCTGCCTTGTTTGAGCAGATCGTGAGCTTGGGAAAAATCAGACTGTGCACTTGAGTGCCAGTAAAACAAGAAACTCAAGAGTCGGACTGGAGCGATAGCACAGCAGGTTGGGCTCTCGCCTTGCACACAGTCCCCTGCATCCCTTATGGTCCCCCGAGCACCGTCCACAGTGATTCCTGAGCGCAGAGCCAGGGGGAACCCCTGAGCATCGCCGGTGGGACTCAGAAAGCCCCGACCGAAAAGAAGCCTCGGGTGTCATTTCGTGTCCTCCTTCCCGGCGAGTGACCTCGCCTGCCGGCCCGGAGGGCGGGCGGGGCTCACGGAGTTCTGTGTCCGAGCAGGGAAGAGCGGCGTGGGCCACGAGGCGCTGCTGAAGCGGAGAGCGGCGCAGAGGCGGGAGCGCGCGCTGCGGTGGGCGCGGCTGCAGAGCCTGGCCGCGGAGCGCGCCGCCGAGCAGTTCCGGTGCGGTTCTGGGTCTGGGGAGAAGAGAACCGAGGGTGGAGCTGGGGGCGGTTCCCTCGGAGGCGTGGGGCTTCCTGCGCGCAGCCCCCCGCCTCGCCCGGCCCGCCGGAGCCCAGGGCCCAGGGGTGCGGGAGGTGCCGCGGCCAAGGGACCCCGGGGCGCGGGAGGGGGCCGCGACGGACTCTGCCCTCTCGCCTAGATTGCGCCTCAAGACGAAGCAGGACGAGGCGAAGCTGGACGCCGACCTGCGCAGGAGCCAGCGAGCCTGCCAGCAGCTGGACACGCAGAAGGCAAGGCCCACCCCCCACCCCGCACACGCCCCCGCCCATGGCCCAGTCGGGGTCAGCCGCCGTCCCCACCGCACAGTCGGGCATAGCTGACGTCACACCTTCCGACTCCCGCCTTGGGTGGGGGTTTTGACTTCCCGGCCCTGGCGTCTAGGGGACTCTTCACCACAGTGCTCCGTCCCAGCAGCCTCCGAGCTCCCGGCCTGTCCCAAAGAGGCAGAATCGCGCTCTGGCGCCAGTTCTGAGTTGAATGGTTTTCCAGGGCCCACTTTTTTTTTTTTTTTTCGCTTTTTGGGTCACACCTGGCGATCTCAGGAATGACTCCTGGCAGTGCTCGGGGGACCCTATGGGATCTGGGAATCGAACCCGGGTTGGTAGTGCACAAGGCAAACGCCCTACCTGCTGTGCTGTCGCTCCAGCCCCCAGGGTCCACTTTTGCTTTTAGCTTATTTTGCTTTAATTGTTTTTATTCCCCCAATTTTGATGCCCGTTGCACGGCCATCAAAACAAGATCACTTTATTGGAAGTCTCCGCGGTGCCTGACGACTCGCCCTCCTGTCCAGAAGCGTGGCTGGGGCCCCCGTCCCCCCTTTCATTTCTGGATCCTGAGCGCACGGCAGGTCCTTGCGGCCTTCCCGGCATGCGTGGATTCTCTCCCGCGGCTTCTGTCCCTGCTCGGGCAGGCAGTGAGCGCCGCGGGCTCTGCGTCCCACAGTTCCCCGTGGACTGCTCGGCTCCTGGGGCAGTGCTCTCAGGGGCTCGTTGCCAGGAGGATGCAGGTTGCCTGCCACAAAGGGCTCGTGCACGCCTGCCTTTCGCCCCGTTTGACGGAAGCATCTGCGTCTGCAGCAAATCCAGGTTCCCAGGGAGCCGTGGTACTGGCTGAGGCCGGAAGACGAGGCTGAGGAGGAGGAGGAGGAGGAGGAGGAGAAAGATCAAGATGAAGATGAAATTCCGAGTGACGAGCTGAGCGTATGTGCCTCAGAGGGGGGGTCTCCCCTGGGCGGGGGTGGGGGCAGTCCGCGCTCTATCCGCCAGGGGCAAGGGGCACCCAGAGTGTCCCCAGGCCTTGGCCAGCGTCCTCCGCGCGTAGGAGCCTCCCAGCCTAGGGTCTGCTTCGTCTGGTCACTCCTTGCCCCGGCCCCAAAGCAGAGCTGCAGATTGCCTGGAGCTGGGCTGACCCTCTCGCCAAGCACGAGCTGCCCCTGGAAATTCTTTTGGTTTTTGTTATCTCCTCTGGAAATGATTCCAGTCACCACCCCCATACACACACACACACACACACACACACACACACACAGAAACCAAAACACCCCTCACACAATGCGAAGAAAGTGGCGATTCTTCAAGGGATGACACGCGCATGTCTGCCCTGGCTTGTGCCGGGAAAGGTCTCAGCCGGAGTGACCGTGTCCACAGCACCGGTGGCCTTCAGGAGGGAAGGGGCCTTCAGGGCCACTCGGAGCTGGCCGGCCCGCCTGTGCCCCGCTGCCTCCCAGTCCCGATGGGCATGGGCGCAGGGTGGGCTGATGCGGCGCCGCCCAGGGGAGCAGAGCTGGAACGCCGCTGGGTGTGACCAGCGCTCGCTCTCGCGTCTAGGTGCTGGAGAAGCTGCGGCTCCTGACCGGGTACCTCAGAGAGGAGCACCTGTACTGCATCTGGTGTGGGACGGCCTATGAGAGTAAGGACCTCGCCTCAAGTCCCCGGGGCTGTCCTCCCCAACAGCGACTCCCCGTGCCTTTCGGTGTCCAGCTCTGGTTGGTTTGGTTTTCCGGGAGTGGGGTGGGCGCCGCACCCCGGAGTGCTCAGGGCTGACTCTGCGCTCGGGTCACCCGTGATGAGGTGCCGGGGCTAGAACCGGGTTGACCGTGCGAGGCTCTGCTTGTCTCCACGACGGCCCGGAGCCCCCAGACGGTGTGAAACTTGTCTGCCCCCGATGACAGTGGGGACCGTGCCTTAAAGAACCACACCGTCTGCACTGCACTGTCCTCCATTGTCCGTCGATTGGCTCGAGCAGGCCCAGTAGCGTCTCCATCGTGAGACTCTGTTGTTGCTGTGTCTGGCGTATCGAATACCTCACGGGGAGCTTGCCAGGCTTTGCCGTGCGGGCGAGATACTCTCGGTAGCTTGCCGGGCTCTTGAATCGAAGGGGCGGAGGAATCGAACCCAGCTCATGCCAAACACAGTAACAAGAAGTCTCAAAATGGAGACGTTACTGGCCCCGCTCGAGCAAATTGATGAACAACGGGAGGAGAGTGTTTGTTTTTTTGTTTCCTGTCTTCCTGGTGTGTCACAGGAGGCAGTGGCCCAGACCCAAAAGATGTGTGTTGGGTCAGAACAGTTTCCTCACGTGAGGCTTGCTGCGAAAGTTGCCTCATCCTCTGCTTTCTCCTCCCCGTGGCAGATCAAGAAGACCTTTCTTCCAACTGCCCGGGGCCAACCTCTGCCGACCACGACTGACCAAGTCTCCCTCTGCCGACCACGACGACTGACCCAGTCTCCGTAAAGAAACAACCTGACGAGTGTAGTTCCCCAGACACAAACAAAACCAGTTCCCCGGTTCCTCCTGCAGTCTCGTGTTTGCTTCCACTTGTACTTCTGGAGAACTTTGCCCTCGAGACTGAGTGCCCGCGCAAAGCCGGTGGCCAGTGTGTGCGCTGCCAGTGCAGGACTGGGCTCGGCAGGTGCCGGGGCTCGGGGTGAACCCGGGGAACTCGGCTGCCTTCGGAGCACCGAGAGCGCCAGCTTTGTTCCCGGGGAGGCTGTGCAGGACAGGGACACCCCCTGTCTCCTGTGATCACTGAGTTCTTGGGCAAAGGACCACCAGAAAGAAGCAGAGCCAAGCGCTCACTGCTCCCAGACTCGCCCATGGAGGGACTGAGGCTCGGAGAACAGCACCTTAGAGGCCTGGGCCCAAGGAACTGGAATAATTTCCCTTCCCTCCGCAGAAGCACACGGGAGGGAGGGTCCCCTGCAGTGAGACTGTTGGCAGAGACAGCCATCCAGAGACACCTCTGAAATCCAGTCAGCCTGAGGCACTCACCGCGCCAGACCTAGAATGGCCGGGCAGGAGATACCATAGCCCACTCGCCTTTCCCACGCTGCCCTGGGTTCGATCCCCGAGGCCGCCTCTGCCCCACCCCGGAGCCCCTGCAAGGACAGCCCTGAGCCAGGAGGAAGCCCTGAGCACCCGGGTGTGGCCCAGAAGAGCCTTAATGGCAGTGTGCGATGTTACCGATGCACTTTTAAAGGCGTTTAAGAATCGGGAGGTTTGGTAAATGTGTGACCCAACAAACTTGCTGAATTTCAGAACGTCCTGACATTTTTGTGTACGTTCACAAGATTGGAATTTGTATAGTTGGCTACTGTCTTTTAATACTTTTGGTGTTCGAGAAATAAAACCATGCTAGCAGTCCAAACTCCTTTAGCCTCTCTTTCCTTCGGACTCCGAGTTCGATCCTTTCTTGGCGTTCCCACTTGCAGGCCCCCTTCGGCCAGCCAGAGCCCCACGGGACTTGTTTAAGCTGCGTGGGCTGAGGCACCGCCAGGGGTGGCCCCGAAGCGCTCAGCCTGGGACGCGGGGAAGGAGCTCGGGAAGCCGCCCTGGGTCCCGGACAGTCAGGGGCGGAGGCTTGGGGGAGCCTTGGCCAAGAGGCTCGAGCGGACAGTGACCGGCCAGTCTCCCCCGTCAGGCAGTCCAGGGACGGCCACTGCAGCAAGCAGAGCTGCGGAACTGCATGGCCACGCAGGAAAACAGAGCCGGAAACATCTCCCACCCTGCAACAGCCTGTGCAGACTCCAAAAGACAGCTGAGGCTCTGTCTCTCCCGCCGCCCGCGTTCGGGAGTCTCAGGCCGGTTCCCCACCCCGGGGAGGGCGATGGGATGGGCGGGCGGAGGAGGGACACGAGGGCCAGGCGGTTGGTGTCCGTTGCAGCTTATTCCCAGCCCATCTCCGTTCCTCTTCGCCTCTCCTCCTGCCTCTTCCTCCGCCATGCTACGTCATTCTCCTCCTCGACCCCCTTCATCTTCCTTCTCTTCTGGAGCCTGGATCCTGATGCCCCAGCCCACTCTTACTGTCTAGTTAAATCCCAACGTATGAGGGGTTGGGGCTCACATAGGCGTGTGGTCACGATCAATAGGGGTCAAGTTCTTTCCCTCGGGGAAAGCCGCTTCCAGGACAGATACTCTCTCAGCAGAGCAACCCACCCCAGAGCCGAATCCCCTGCTCGAGGCAATCGACGAACAACAGGATGGCCGTGATCGTGAATATTAGCAGTCTTCCTCCATCTATACAAAAAGGAATTTGCTTTCAAGTAAACTATTCAAAAGACACAAGGGGAGGAGAAAGGCAATATTAGCTTACAATACAATTTCAGTGTCCCAGAAGGATCTGACCTTACCAATGAACAAAGTCTGATTAGGGGAAAAGCTGATTGTCTGGTTGGGGAGGAGAGCACAGAAGTGGGGTCAGATAAACAAAGGAATGGGAGTGACTCGGGAGCACTGTGAGTGATGGGTGTGCCCCGATAAACCTAGGCTCCTTGTGGCAAGGGAGAAAGGAGAAATCAGCCGTAATCCTACCAAGTCAGCGCACAGTGGCCCAGAAGACCTTGAGATGCAACCAGAGCCCACAGGGAGACGGGCAGAGCTCTGCAGGCCACAGGCCCGAGAGGCGCTGCAGTGACCCACCTCCGGCTCGCGTGGGCGAGGGGGCTGACCACGAGACCACGGCTGCGTGACAGCTCCTCCTTCCGGGCTGATCTTGAATGCGCCCAACAGCAGCAGCTATGGGGGCAGCCCCCCAAGGACCTCCACAACCCCAGAGCCCCAGACAGTGTCCTGGCCGCTCACGTCTGTCCGTCTGCCCTCCCCTGGCTGTTTCTGCTAAGGTGGCAGCCGAGTCATTTCTGCTCTCTGGTAGCAAACGCGGCGTTACCGAGGGTCCGGGCGACAGCCAATCAGACGGAGGAGGTCCGACACGGAGGGACCCGCTGGGACTCTGGACTACCCAGCCCCTCCCTGCCTTTCTTCCTCCTGAACCTTGCACTGCATTTACTGGCTTGAGTTCTCACGGCTGCGTAACATTGCCGTGGAGGAAACGACCAGATCGGCTTTCCTTGGGCTGGACATTGGTTTTGTTCCCTGTTCTTTCAGCTACGAGAAACAAGATTTCTAGAACATTCTCTCAGGCCTGTGTGTCCGAATGGATTTGGTGGCTTCCAGAACTTAGAAACGTTTAACTGTCTTGGATGATGCCAATGTGACTACACATGATTTTTTTTTATAAGAAAACATGCATGTTTATTATGAAACTTAAAACCATTATCGAAACATGTTTTTCTGCATACTCAAAGGGGTCGATATTGAATATGGACAGCAAGTTAGCTCACAAGAAAGAAAGCGAAAGGCACAGATGCAGTCGGCTGGTAGACTTCCAGCAGCCTGGTATAAAGTGCAGCCAAAATGTCCTTCTGTTGAGTAAGAAGTCCAGTTGCCTCTGAATATTTTTGGTAACGCTGAGTCAGGAGAAGCCACTGCGGTCTGGAGATTGGCAATCTTGAGACTTCGAAGACGTGAACTGTTAGAACTGACACCGGTGACACGGTGAACTGTTAGAACTGACACCGGTGAGAAACACTGGGTTGGAAAGGGACAGCTGTCCTCCCAAATGCAAAACTCTCTTCCACAGATGTTTAGCATACCATGACTAAACAGCTCTACATTGATACACCAGCAGGGATACACGGCAACATGACTGATACCTTGAGCATGTAAAGAACACGCTTAACAGAAATCCAAAACCAACATTTAATTCTTGAACCCAGCTGTAGAAAGCAAATCACTTCACAATGCTTTTTCAGCATGTCTGATTGGGGGGGGGGGTAAACTCTAAATAATAGTGGTGAATCTTTTATTGAAACAGTGAATCTAATCAAAGCAGATAGAGTGTTAACTAGAATTCATCTGCCTCACAGGGACGGGGAGGGGTGGGGGGTGGGGTTTTATTGGGGTTCTTCATGGTAAAAAATAAGTATTGGTAAAGGGAAATGTGTTTGATATTTGCATGACTGAGACCTAAACCTGAAAGCTTTGTAACCTTTCCCACAGTGATTCAATAAAAAAAAAAAAAAAAAAGAACACGCTTAAAAACAGGCAGCGAGAACTTCCTTGCCAGCTCCCGAGACAAGTTACTCCTACCTCCTGCACCCAGCCCGTGCCAGTGAGGACCAGCCCGCAGTCCGGTGTGTTACTGTGGAAACACACCGTAAAAACGGTGACGTACTGATAATCAGAAAGTACTCAAAAAGTGACAGAAAGTGTATGTTATTAAATGACACAACATGTTAGAGGCTCTACTTAAAAATCTCCCATTGTTCCTTTTCAATGTTACAAGATTGTTTGCAAACCAACAGACTGTAAACATAGGAAATTTTCATTAGGAAAGATGGGTCTGCTGTACTTTCATCTGTTACCAAAAAATCAGTGGAAGTTACTGATAGTAGAATTTCTCTTTTGCTTTCGTAAGTCTCATTCTCTTGAAAATCAAACCAAAGATTCCTCTCCCTTGAGCCAACGTTCAACTATGGTCACCTTAGAAAATACCCGTTTCCTTGTCAATCAGACATCAAATCGCGTGGCAGCTATTTCCGCCTTCTCTTGGGCCAGAGGTCTTGGCTTCATTGTTATCTGACGAGAACAGGGAAGGCCGGCGAGTGGCCCTGCCCCGTCTTTCTTTCCTGCTGCAGTGGAGGCTGGGTCACGGCAGTGGGGGGCAGCAGGTGGCGCACGGGCAGGCCGGCCCAAGGCCTTGGCTCACGTGGCCTCTTTCTCTCCTGCTCGGCCCGTCGCAGGGTTTCTGGCCAGGGTGCTTCCGCTAAACCCGACTGAAGCAGAAAGGTGACATGCTTGGGTAAATCCTGTGTCAAGGTGATTCCGCGGAGGCCATGGGTCGAGCCGCCAATCTGTTGGCTGCGGGATGATACTGATAGGAAGAAAATCATCCGGGTAGCTCAGATGTTCGCGCCGCCACGGCAGCGGTGTTTCCAACATCGGCTCAGCTCCGTGAATCATCACCTGATTCCTCTTTTCCCCATCTTCAGGACTAATTGCAGGACAAACTTCTTTCAGGAGACCACCTAGTGTGGTCACCTATCCGTCTGTAGCCATAAGACAAAAAGCTTCTGAACAAAAGGCCGTTCCATTGTCGTCTGATATATTCTAAAAGGGATGTATCGAAATCCATTTTCTTCTGCAGGATATTCCACGCGTTTCCGATCGATGGCCCAGAATCGATCAAGTCTGTCTGCCGGGGCAGACGCTAGATAATATATTTTCCAGAGCTCGTCTGGAATAGCCCGAGATCTCGCGTGGCCACGACCGTGAATGTCAATTTCGAGATCGTAAATGCTTGGGGTCCAGAGACATCTCTGTAGGCACTAATCCGTTTTGGATTCAGTTGGGAGCCCCTGGGCCAGGGCTGTTGGTGTGCTAAGACGACGTCCAGAGGGAAATTGTGGGAGTGACAGACAGTCTTGGCGAGGTCCGTCCTGAGACAGTGGAGTCAGGCCTGGGGTATGCGGCAGTTTTAGATTCTGGGAGCAAGTGGCTACCAGGGACCCCTCTTGGGTGGGCACAGGCCAACACGCCCCCTCCAGTTCGCTCGGGTCTGCTCAGCCATGAATGGGTCCGAGCTTAACCGCCGGCCCCGATCTCCCCGAGACCCATCTAGGGTCTCTGAGGCAGGCCAGCAGCAGGGCCTGCAGGGTAGCGCTGGACTTGGTGCGTGGGGGTCACCGCCAGTGCTTCTGTGTGCCCTGGGAAGCGGGCGAGGGAGCCCGTCCCAACTGCGAGTGAGCTTGTGTAGCTGAGCCGGAGGTGGTTTGTGGGTCTGACTCCCACAAACCTAACTTTCGGCCGTTTCATTTCTTGGCAAACGTGTTCCCAAGTTGTTGGGGTCTGGCCAGGGGCACAGTGGCAATTTTGGGGTGTCAGGAAGCCTGAAGGCAAGGTCAGGCTGCTGGTGCCCTCGCCCCAGGGGACAGGTTGCCCTGCTGGGTGCACCAGAACCCCAACATGACTTTTTTTCTAAGGACCACTTCTCCCACTAGCTCGTTAGATATTTAAGACCTAGAATAGTCTCAAGAGATTTTGGTCTGGAAACGGTACGTATTTAATAAAGAATTCTTTTAGCACTGCAGCACTGTCCTCCCGTTGTTCGATTTACTCGAGCGGGCCCAGTAACGTCTCCATTGTGAGACTTGTTGTTACTGTGTTTGGCATATCGAATATGTCACGGGGAGCTTGCCAGGCTTTGCTGTGCGGGTGGGATACTCTCGGTAGCTTGCCGGGCTCTCCGAGAGGGGCAGAGGAATCGAACTCGGGTCGGCCATGTTGGCTGCATGCAAGGCAAAGGCCCTACCCACTGTGTTATCGCTTTTATTTTCACTAATTTATATCAGAAAATTTAGGGCACCTTTTTTTCTCTCATCTTCATAATGAGAAGTCCTAGGGGAAAATCAAGTGCAAGAATGATTTTTTGATTTATATGATTGATTTTGAAGTTAAGAGGCAAAGTTCTCTGTAAACTTTAAAAAAAAAAGTTAAGGGAATAGTCAAATCACAAATCACAAATCATCCTGTTATTCGTCGATTGCCTCGAGCAGGCCCCAGTAACGTCTCCTTCATCCTAGCCCTGAGATTATATTCAAGGCTCTTTAGGAGAATGAGACCCATCATAGTTACTGGTATTTGGCATATTGGGTACGACACAGGGAGTTTGCCAGACTCTGCCGTGTGGGCAGGCTACATTTGGTAGCCTGCCAGTTTGTCCAAAGTAGGAATGAGATAATAAGATGTCAAAATAAGATGTCACACGGCCGCAAATGCTTGTTTTTAATAGTAACTTAAGATAATTTAATAGTAATTTAAGATAAAAAAAAATGGGTCCCACCCGGTGATGCACAGGGGTTACTCCTGGCTCTACACTCAGGAATTACTCCTGGCGGTGCTCGGGGGACCATATACAATGACGGGAATCGAACCCGGGTTGGCCGCGGGCAAGGCAAACACCCTCCCTGCTGTACAACTGCTCCCGCCCCCAGTTTTAACAATTCTCCCTAATAAGTTTTTAACAGTTCCTAGACCAGGGAATGTTGGTAGTGGCCTTGTCAGAAAGGCTGCAGCACGTCCTGTGCTCGATGGACCCAGCCCCGTCCTTCCAGCTCCTCAAGGTATACAGCAGTTCCTGAGCACTGGGTCGCTTCGAGGGGTCCTCTGCGAGTAATTGCTCCAGGAGAGCTTTCTGGAACGAGAGCACAAGTCAGCATAGAGTGAAAGAGCGCATTTTCACGCACAACACGCGGAACCAAACGCCACTCGGCTGCCGAACGCTTACTTCTCTGCTGCAGAATCCTCTGGGGATTTCTCCTTCCTTTAGCTGTGAAAAGATCTGAAAACGAAACATGAACATGGTTGTTAGGAAGCTGTTGACTTGGGGTGGGAATTCACCATGGGGACCCCCACCCCGGCCAGGGCTCCCTCAACCCCACCCCACACCACCTTGTCCCAGAAAAGAAGCTGCCCCCGCGGGAGGCCCGTGCTCCTCAGGCCTGCCGCCCCACTGTGCTCCTGCCGGCCACGGCCCCTCTGCCTCAGGGCTGCTGCCTCCAGGGAAGCCACATGCCAGCCCTGTGCGGGTCACTTGGTCACTCCCTGCCAGAGGCAGGCGGGCACACCCCACTCTTCGGGAGTCGCTTTTTCCTGTCTTCTGCCTCCGGGCCACACCCAGCTCAGCGCTTACTCAGGCTCTGCGCTCAGGGTCACTCCTGGCCGTGCTCAGGGGACCAGGTGGGGTGGGGTGCCGGGTTGGCTGTGTGCAAGGCAACTGCCCTGACCACTGCCCCCCTCTCTCTTTTCTCTCTCTGTCTCTCTCTCCCCCTCTGTCTCTCCTCTCTCCCCTTTCCTCTCTCTCTGACTCTCTCTCGCTCTCTCTCCACCCCCCGTCTCTCTCTCAGCCTGTCTCCCCCTGTCTCTTTATGTCCCCCCCCCCAAGCATCTTAAAGACGGCAAAGCAGGTCATCCAACAAATCGCTCACCCCATGGGCCCGAGAGCCAGCAGGGGCTCCGGCTCGCCTTGCATGCCACTGACCTGGGTCCAGTGCCCTGGCACAAGGAGTGACTCCTCAGCACCGCTGGGTGCGGCTCAAAACCCAAACGGGACAGACTGGCTTCAAGAAGAAGTGCCAGCAGAAGTCAGCCAGCTTCCAGGGGGCGAGACTGCCGGGTCTCGGGCCTGGGCCTCTGAGGGACCCAGCACTCCCTGGGGCACTGGCAGTGCAGGGCGGAGATGTCACGCGGCAAGTAGGCGCTTGCCTGAGCCAGGATGCCCGGCTCTGATCCCGGACACCGCCTGGTCCTTCACGGAGCGGCTCGGGACAGGGACCCGGCCCCAGGGTTGGTCTCTAGGAGAAACTCTGACTTCAGGAGCAGCCAGAGATCAAGTCCCTCTTGACTGCAGCCCGCAGCTGCCCGGTCCAGCACGAGTGGCCCTGGCAACTCCCCCCAGAAGATTCACCTTTTCTATTTCCATAGAAGTTTTACAGATGTGAGTAAGTTCCAGGAAAATGATCCCCAAGGCATAGATGTCCACTTCGCTTCCATAATTGGTTGAGGAATTCTAAAGAAACCAAATTGTATTTCCCTTTAGGATGCTCTTGATAATAACATACATGCCTTCCCAAGCCAAAAGTATTATTTGACCAAAATGTCTTTTTGGGGGGAGGAGGGCTCAGGGCTCACTCCCAGCTCAGTGCTCAGGGCTCTGGGCTCAGACTCAGCTCTGGCAGGGACCAGCCTTCAGGTGTGCCCTTGTGTGTGGCTGACCCCAGCTAACCCCCATCTTGGCACCACAGTAGCCAGAGCACCCCAGAGGAGAGCCCGGAGGCCCCCAAGAAGCCCATGGCACCCCAGGGAACTTCTGGTCCCTGGCACGGACCAGCCGTGAGCCGGGAAGGGCCTGGGTTTCCTGAGCGCCAAGCCCCGAAAGGAACGAAACCAGTGAAATAATATCGGGCAGGAGCGGCCGGAGCCAAAGTCCAGTGGGCAGGGCATTTGCCTTGCATGCGGCCGACCCAGGGTCGATCTCCGGCAGTCCGTAGGGTGCCCCGAGCACAGCCAGGAGTGATTCCTGAGTGCAGAGACAGGAGGAACCCCAGAGCATCGACGGGTGTGGCCCCAAAGGAAAAAACCCAAAACAAAACCACCAAAGAATATGGGGCAGGAGAGACAGCTCAGGTGGTATGTCTGGGTCCCTGGGTTGCACCCCTGCACCACAGGGCCCCGCATCCTGCAGAACGCGACCCCCGCCAGAAGCGTTCCAGGCAAGGCCAGAGCCGCCAAGGGCAGGGCACCAGGCCGAGCACGGAAAAAGAAAAAGAATAACATGGCACTGGAGAGACAGTACCGGGGAATGCCCCATCCTCAGCATGGCTTATGGCCCTGAGCACTGAGCTGGAGAATAATGTTAAAATAACAAGATAAAAGTGTGGGTCCTGAGGAGACAGTACAGGAGTTAAGGCAATGAACCGTCTTCAGCACCCAACCCAGGTCCGACCCCCACGTGGGCCCCGAGGACCAACCAGCATCACTCTTGGGCAAAGAGCAAGGCTGATGTGGCCCCCAACCCAGCCCAGCCCCCCAAAGGGAAGAGCCCCAAGGCGGGCAGGAGGGCACTGGCCTGTTCCGGGCTCCTGTACCAATCGGTCCCTGTGTCCGTGGTCCGTTGGCTGTCGTTTTCCAGGGAGGTGACAAACCCAAAGTCTCCGATCTTTATTTGCTTTTCATCCACGAGAAATATGTTCGACGGCTAAGGAAGGGACAAGAGCAGCACCGTTTCACAGACGCGCCAGCCAGCCAAAGCCCCTTGAGCAGCGGCTGCTGGCATGTGGGCTCCTGAGGGCGCCACTTCCCGGGCCCCAGCAAGCAAGCTCATGAAGAACTGTGCCGACCCCCACCCCGACCCCCAGCCTAGAGCACCCACTGCAGAGAGACGCTCAGAGTCTCTCTCGAGGATCAGGGCCCCGAGAGAAATTTCCTTTACCGCTGTGGGCCCAGCGGTGCCCAGGACTTCCACTCCCCTGGGTGCTGCTGGGGACAGAACCGAGTGGCAAGCGCCTTACGCCCGCTCGTCTCTCGGGCCCTGCCTTCCACTTTGGGAGGGTCTGGGGGAATGCGGGTTCTCGGCAGGGGCCCGGGCACAGGCGGGCTGGAGGCCGCAGCCCACTGCTGGCTGAGCGTCCGCCAGAGCAGGCCAGACCCGGCCCACAGACCCGGGCTCACGAGGATTCACGGGGGCCCAGAAAAGGCGTCTCCACCACAGAGGCTGTTCTCGCCTCCTCTGCGTACCGGGGGCAGCGGGCTGAGGACTCTCACCCTGTCTCGCTCTTCATCTCCTTTTGCTATTTGTTTTTTTTAGAATTTTATTTTGGGGCCAAACACGGTGGTTCTCAGGAATCACCCAGTAGGGGGGGGTGCAGAGCATATATGGGGGTACCAGGGATCCATCAGGGGTGGCCATGTGTGAGGCAGGCAACCTCCCTGCCAGCCTAAGGAGTCCCCACGCACCCCCCGCAGGGTCCTTGCTCCAGGCCAGTCCTTGCCACCCGACGCTGGTGGATACTGACAGGGCTTTACTGCACCCCATTTGTTTAGGTGGAAGCTGTTTTGGGGGTCTCCTGAGTCCCGGGGGCCTCTGGTGAGTCTTGCCCCACCTGGTCGTGGATTGGCCTTGGGCATTTTTCTAGAGGCTCCAGGCGAGCGTGGACACGACATTCTCCAGGGGACGCCTGCGACACCTGTTCGAGGCTAGCCGGTGGCCTGACCAGCAGCTCTGTCTCACAGCACCTCTGACCCAGGAGGGGACATGCAGCACTAGACATGGCCTGTCTGGGGGCACGAATGCCCAGGAAGACCCCAGACTCGGGCCTACAGCTGGAAGCTCCTCCTTCCCCAAGAGGTGAGGGGCCGGGCCTGGTGTCCCCTTTCGAAAGCACCAGAATAGGAACTCAGAGGTCATCATCACCAGCGAGAGAGAGCAGGGGGCCGGGGGAGGGAGGGGAGTTCGGGTCACCCCGGCCTTCACGAATCAGACACAGCTCGTCCAGACTGGCCATGTAAAGGCTGCAGCAACAGTACAGTGGGAGGAGGCTGGCCCTGCGCAGCCGACCGGGGTTCGAGCCCCACCAGGAGTGATCCCCGAGTCGGAGCCAGGAGTCAGCCCCAAGGATCGTCAGGAGGGGCCCCCAAATCAGAAATAAATACAAATTAGAAAAATAAAGTCATAACCATGCCGCTGGGCCCTGAGCCAGGCTGATTCACTCGGGGCGCCCCGGAGGAGGGCGGGTGCGACCCCTCCCTGCCCCAAGGGACCCAGCCCAAGCAGCCCCAAACCTCCAGAACTCAACTGCCGCCAGGCTCACGGCCCCTTTGCACACCTCGGGCCGAGCCTCACCCTCAAGCGAACCTATTCCTGGACCGCACAACCAGCCCTTCACACCACACACCCCACCATACTCCAAGAGCACCGCACCACATTTGATGGGGCTCAAAGCAGGAGGCAACCAGTCTTAGAGGGAAATATTTTTTTACAGATATATATAGATAGATAGATAGATTGATAGATACATAGGTATCTATATAGATGTAAACCACATAAGGCTCAACCTTTAGCAATATGTTAACGAGCTCTTACAGAAGGGCTTAATGGCCCCTGGGTAGAAGACAACAATCTTCACAGTCTTTCCTCTAAGGAAACCTTTTTGTAGCATTTTCAGCGATACAAAAGTACTATTTCGGGCAGGAATTGGGACTCGGGATGGAAACATCCGAAATATGGTAGGAGGAAGGTGTGATGGTGTGGCGTTGGTGTTAGAATATTAAATGTAATCAAAGATTGTGAACTACTTTATAAAATAAAAAAAATTGAAGGGAAAAACAAAAGCTGAGAAGACAGATCTGGAATTCCTGAAACGCTACCGCTCAATTCCTGATGAAACTTTCACCGCTTACCTTGAGGTCTCTATGAATATATCCTTTTTCGTGTATGTAATTCACTCCTTCAACTATTTGTTCAAAAAACTGTAATGCCAGGGCCGTGTCGGGCTTCTGATGCCTCATCCTGTCGATCCACTCTTCCAGGGTCCCCTGACCACAGAATTCCATTTGGATGAAAAGGCATTCAGTCTCCGGCCTGGACCCAGGATTCACAGCAACAGAGAGAAGGAAACCCAAACGCAAAGGTTTAAGAACTACGCTTTGTCTTGCAGAGGCTTTGAAAACACTTTTGGTTCTACTCATTTCTGATGTTTAGAGATGGTATTCGGGAAGGAGGGCCACAGCCGGCGATGCTCGGGGCTGACTCCCGGCTCTGCACTCCGGAATCCCTCCCGGCGGGTTCTGGGGACCAAACCCGGTCACCCGTGTGCAAGGCCCTGGTCGTACTTTAGTGTTTAGTGACAGAAAAAAAAGGTGAGAGCCCGGGGCCTCCCACCTGCAAAGCTCTACTGCTGCTGTGGCTTCTCCGTGCCCCTCTCGGGACAAGCCTTTCCGCTCAGAGCCCCAGACACCCTCTGGATTCCGCCGTCTTGCCCAACGCTGAGCGGTCAGCAGCTGCCCGTGGCGACATCGGGCCCTGGTGCGCACGCCCGGGGCGGCCTGTCTCCAAGGCAGTGGCTCCTGCGAGCCTGATCCTCGGCTCTCACCGATCTGCCTCGGGCGCACAAAGCTGTCCACAGTAGCACGAGGGGGCAGAGAGGTCGCACAGCGGGCAGGGCGCTGGCCTGCCACCGCGTCTGGCCCCTGACCCCCACGAGCAGGGGTCTCTGAGCACAGAGCCAGGACTTAGCCCTGACAGCTGGGGACCAGGAGTGGCCCCCAAACAAAGTAACCATTTTTCTTCTCTTTGGGGTCACACCCAAAAATGCTCAGGGGTTCCTCCTGGTGCTGTACTCAGGAATGACTTCTGGCGGTGCTCGGGAGACCCTCAGGGATGCTGGGAATCGAACCCGGGTCGGCTGCATGCAAGGCAAACGCCCTCCCCACTGTGCTGTCGCTCTGGCCCCCCAAGTAACCATTTTAAGATGCCTGTCAGCCGTGGGGTCTCTTCCTGCGAGCTCTCGCCTCCTGTTCCCGTGTCCCCAATATTCTTGGACACCTTCTTACCCGCTAGCATGAGGAGATTCTTCCTCATCTTCAAATGGACTGCTGCAGAGAAAAAGGAAAAAAGAGAAGTATAAATTCAAAAATAATTTGAATAAACAGCAAAATTTTAAAAGACACATTCTAAAATTTGGCTGGTAGGTTCCCAGTTGCCCAGAGCACTGTTTAGCTAACAGGCCTAGTGGTGTAATGGGCCACACCTGGCAGCATTCATCACTGACTGTCGGCTCTGTGCTCAGGGCTGACTCTTGGCTCGGTGCTCAGGGCTGACTCTTGGCTCAGTGCTCAGGGATGACTCCTGGCTTGGAGCTCAGGGCTGACTCCTGACTCGGTGCTCACGGCTGACTCCTGGCTTTGTGCGCAGGACTGACTCCTGGCTTGGAGCTCAGGGCTGACTCCAGGCTCTGTGCTCAGGGCTGAGTCCTGGATGACTCCTGACTCAGTGCTCAAGGCTGACTCTTGGCTCGGTGCTCAGGGCTGACTCCTGGCTCTGTGCTGGGGCCTGCAGAGGGGCCGGGCCCCTGACCTGCCGTGACCTCCGCCCTCTCTCATGTGAGGCCCCCCACACGTGGGAAAGGTGCGTCCTGGCTCTGAGGAGCAGCTTCTGCAGGAGCGTCAGGGCGGGCTCTGGGGCCGAGCGTCTGGGTGTGGGGCCAGTTCAGTGCTGGGCTCCAGAAGCTCTGCTACTGGGGGACACACTGGCAGTGCCCGGGGGCCCCGGGACGACCAAGCAGTGCTCAGGGGTCCGCCCTGGGGGTGCTCGGGGCCACGTCCGGCACCGAGACGGAGCCCAGGCGAGCCAAGGCGAGGAGAGGGCCTTTGCCCTGTGCGGCGTCCCAGCCCCTTCCCGAGACCTCGTCGTGTTACCTCGACTCATAGTCCATGAAGCAGTCGTCGGGGCCCTTCCAGCAGCCGTGGTAGAGAACGATGTTCGGGTGCCTGAGCTCCTCCAGAGCCTTGACTTCACGCATCACTTTCCTGGGGAAAAGAATCAAAGAAGCCAAAGTGAGGAAGAGCACAGGGACGCGGAGTCCCCCCTGACAGCACACGCTGCCTCCCCGGCCCTTCCGAGGTCCCCGCAGCCCGTGGCCCAGAAAGGATGCTGCGGCACTCACCAGGGAAAGAAGCGTCGCGAAGCCACTGCCCTCCGCATGAAAGCAGCAGCAGGAGCCCCTGGCCGCATGTGCAGAGCCCAGGGGTCAGTCCCAAGCCCCCGCCCGGGGCCCCCTCGGCCCTGCCTCGAGCCCCCACACGGCAGAGCGGAGGGAAGCCGGCGGCAGCGGCTTCTGCCGTGCCCAGAAAGGGATTCCGGGGCCAGGCGCGCGCTGGGATTCTGCAGCCTGCACTGATGTCACGTCACGCTGGATTCCGTGAGCAGCCCCCTTGGCTGGCAAGCACTGACTTCCCCTCTCCACTCCCCCCTCCTTCCTACCTCCTCCTCTCATCCTTCCTCTCTTCCCTCCTTCTTTCCCTCCTTTCCTTCCTTCTCCTTTCTCTCCTATATCCCTCTTATTTTCCATCCTTCCTTCCTTCCTTCCTTCCTTCCTTCCTTCCTTCCTTCCTTCCTCCCTCCCTCCCTCCCTCTTTCCCTTCTTTCCTTTCTTTCTTTCTTTCATTCTTTCCTTCCCTCTCTCTTTTTTGCAGTGCTCAAATTTGACCCAGTACTCAGGGAAACTCCCATCTCAGTGCTCAGCAGATGCTTTTGCTGGTGCTCGGGAGACCACCCAGTGCTGGGGCTGGACCCTGGGGCTTTGACCACAGCCGCCCCCTGAGCTGCCTCCGCAGCCCAACAACCACCTTTTCTAATTAAACAAAGTCCTATGGACATAAAGTTTCTAGAAATCAAGGGGGCGTTCGATGAGATAGTAGCACAGAAGCCAACTGTGCTCCATTACAACCAACACAGTAACCCAGAAGGCCAGCCACCCACAAGCTGCGCAGAAACCACCAGACAGGGGCTAATGACTCCACAGCGAAATAGGACAATTTCCACCAATTTGATTTAGCTAAGTTATTTTTTGATAATTTGCCGTTTAGTCATAACAGGCGATAAAAAATGAATTCTTGTGTGTCTGCAAAGAGGGAAGACTTGGGAAGTGTTTGGGAAAATGGGGACGCTGGGGGCGGGGGGGGGGTCACACTGGGCTTGTGCTGGAACAGTGACTGCCCAAGTAGCTGGGTCATGAGAGATTTGTAAATTATGGTGTTGAAATAAATATTAATAAAAATGACTTAAGTTTTAGGGCACAGCAGGGAGGGCGTTTTCCTTGCACGCGGCTGACCTGGGTTCGATTCCCAGCATCCCATTGGGTCCCTCGAGCACCACCAGGAGTCATTCCTGAGCGCAGAGCCAGGAGGACCCCCTGCGCATCGCTGGGTGTCACCCAAAATGAAAAAAAAGTCTAAAATTTTCAAAAGAGAATTGTCTCCATAGGCACAATCAATGGTCAGGACCCCCTTCAGCTTGATTTCTTATGAAACGCTTCTTCATAAAGAAGCATTTAAAATGCGTGTGAAGCGGGGGGGGTGGGGGGCAGTGCCACCTTCAGTTCCGGTCCCCGCTTCATTTCCGGATCTCAGTCTCCTCTTTAAAATAAGGGAAAGGGCCGGAAAGCGCTCGCGACACGCAGGACGCTGGCCCTGCACACAGTGACCCCGGGGCCGACCACCGACACCCCGCAGTTCCCTGAGCCACATCACGTTGCTAATCCCTGAGCACAGAGCCAGCAGTCAGCCCTGAGCACCGGCCAGGGGTGAATCCCCCCACGGATCCCCTAAAAATCGCCCAACGAGGTCCTGTGTGTTTGGGTTGGAGAAGCAACCCAGCAGAGAGCTCCTGCCATGAGGTCAGCCGACCTGGGTGCGACCCCCAATATCCCATAGGGTCCCCTGAGCACTGCCAGGAGTGACCCCTGTGCACAGAGCCGAGAGTCAGCCTCAAGCACAGCCAGGCGTGCCGTGGCTCAAAGACAGACAAAAGACCTAAACCAAAACGAAAATAGGAAGAAAGCAAAAAAAAAAAGAAAACTCCCAAAGGACTCTTTCGTCTAAGCTCAGTGATTCTCTGACTTCAGTTTTCATCCAGACACTTTTTCTTTTTGGCGGAGGGTTGGCTTTCTGGGTCGTAACCAAGGATCGAACCCAGGTTGGCAAGGCCAGTGCCCTCCCAGCTGTCCTGTGGCTCCGGCCCCTCGCCCAGACAGTCTAAGGAACCACCGTGCAGCAGGACCGGGGGCAGCTAGCCGAGACAGAAACCCTCCCAGGCGGGGGGTCCCCTGCAAAGTTGGGGCCGCAGCTGTCGCCCCCGTGGTAACCAAGCACGGGGATGTGGAGCTACAGGGCGCCAGGCCGGGGACTCAGGACAAGGCTCCGGCCCAAGTATTCTCCCCAGCCCTGGAAGGACTTTTTTTTTTACGTTTCAGGTCATACCTGGCAATGCGCAGGGGCTACCCCTGGCTCCACGCTCAGGAATCACTCCTGGCAGGGCTTGAGGGGGCCATATGGGATGTCAGGGATCAAACCCGGGTCGGCCGCATGCAAGGCAAAGGTCCTGCCCACGGTGCTATCGCTCCAGCCCCGAGAATGACATTTATTTTTTTGGTAGGAGTACTGCTACTTATTCAGCCACTGATTAGCTGACTGAATTGGGCATGAACTCCACCTCAATTTTTTTTATTTTATTTATTTTTTTCTTTTTATATTTATTTATTGAATCACTGTGGAGAATGGTACTAAGCTTTCAGGTTTAAGTCTCGGTCATACAATGGTCAAACACGTTTCTCTTCAGCAGTATTCATTTTTCACCACCAAGAACCCCAGTATACGGCCCCCTCCCAGCCCTCCAAATGCCTGTGAGGCAGATGATTTCTACTTAACTCTTCTCTACATTGATTACATTCATTATTTTGACAAAAGATGCACCATTATTGTTTAGAATTTCCCCCCAGACAATCAGAATTGCAGAAAAGGCATTGTGAAATACTTTGTTTTCTATAGCTGGTTATGAGAATCATATAATGTCACACGGCCACAATTTTGGATTTTTGCAAAGAGCCAGATGATTACGAGATTGGTTTCTGTGTGTCTGGTGTTATGGCCTTGCCGGAGAGCTGCTCGTGGGGGGTAACATGTGACCTCGGTAGGGCATGAAGGACGTGCTGGTACTGCCCCCCTTCCCATGAGACTGCAGTTGCCCCATCACAGCCAGCTCCTACCTGGTTTTCCTGTAAGCTCTGAGGCAGCGACCACCTTGCTGCCAGGGGGGGGAAAGGCAGAAGGGAGCAACACCCTTTCCCTCCCGGGGAGGCACGGCGCCGTAGTTGAACGCACGGTCCAGAGAATGACATTTTTAAGGCCAGCTAGAAAAAGTCAGTAATGCTCCTTCATACAGTACTATTATTCTACACAAATTATTATACTGAAAAAAGGAATAGTCAGACAACGGAACGAACTTTTGCTACTTACTCGTTGTCGTATTTAACGCGCTTAATAACATAAGTCTTGCCATCAATCTTGTGACGAGCTTTGAAAACTTGCCCATATGCTCCAAAGCCAATTAGTTCGATGTCTGTGAAGTCCTCAACAGGGCTTAAGAGACAAAGGTTGCAGTTACTCTCCGGAGGTGTGAGCCCACCCACCGCTCCACTGACGCTCCCTTAGCCTGGAGTCAGAGCAGCCTCTGACCCAGAATCTTCCATTAGCTTGTTTTGGGCTCACCCCTGGCAGTTCCTGGGGCCCGGCCCCAGCTCCGTGGGGTGGAGGGTTTTGTCCTGGCTCCATGCTTGGGGTGCTGTGCTAGGCCACAGTTCCAAGCCTGGGCTCCTGCATGCAAAGCATGTGCCCTGCCCACTGAGCTCTCTGGCCCTCTAGCCCCAGAACAAAAGCACGTCTGCTACCATGGGAGAACCACATCCCACCCCAGAACAAGAATGTGAGCAGGAGGGGCTGACACTCAGAAAGAGGGCCACTGTTTTTGGTTATGTTTGGGGGTCCCCCCTGGCAGTGCTCAGAGCTTACTCCTGCTTTCACCCAGGGACCATGATTCGGGCGCTTGTTGGGTCACGTGGGGTGCTAAGGATCAAACAGGCAAGCGACCAAGCACCGAATATTGCTCCAGCTCTAAAAGGCGTCCTGTTACGTCCGAGGCCCTGAGCACACTGGTGGGAGCAATGAGCGCAGGTTGACCCGAAACGCCTGCCGGCTGCCCCTCCTGAACCTACCCACCACGTGAGACAGGCTAATGTGTTCACTGACGCAGAGACTCATAGATGAATCTCAAAAGAGAACAACAAGTTACAGAGGCTCTTCTGGACCCCACGCCAGGCTGAGTCGTCCAGGGCACCCTGGAGGGGCGGCGGTCAGCCCAGCGCCCACACAAGTAGAACCCCAGCAGTGGAAACTTCTAGACTCCACAGTTGCCACCCTGCTACTGGCCAGACCCCACTGCTTAGGACGAGCCTCACCTAGAATATAATTTGCTGAAAAACTCAGGTATGCAGGTTTTGTGGCTGAAATCTCCAGGCTCTCAAGGAGTCAGGGATGGGTGACCCCCCCCATCTCTCTGTATGTCCAGAAGACCAGATAGTCACACACATATACCCCAAAGCTGCCACCCAGTTAGAATTTAACTGTATCAGCTCGTTAAAAATGTTGGACTTCCAACATTTCAAACTCTACAACCCTGATAAACCAGGAGTAAGTCACATACATTCTCTCTCTCTCTCTCACACACACACCCACAGACAGACAGACACACACACACACACACACACACACACACACACACCCCACACGTGCGTGCCCTCGTCTGAACCCGCTCTCAGCAGCTGCCCCTCCACTGGACACGCGACTGCCCTGCCCCCACCCTCCCTGCTCTGGGGTCGGTCCCCAGCACCCCGCACAATGGGGTCTCGCCTGACTGTCCCTCCCTACGAGAAGGACCCAGCACCAATTTTCGCGCTTGATCAGACGCAGAAAGTTCCGTGGCTGCCTCCCCTGGCAGGGCTGACACGGCGTCCTGCGCAGGCTCCTCCTGGCTTCCTTCTCCCCAGGTGCACCCCTTCCCGCCCCAGCCACACCCAAGGGCCCCACGTCCTCCTTTCTTGTGTCCCTCGGCTCGTGGCCTGGCCCCGGCATCCGTGGCGGCGCCTCCCACGCCCGAAGCCCACAGTGGCCACACGAGTCTCTTCCCGGTTCGGTTCCCAGCTAAGGGCTCTTGATTCTTTCCACTCCAGGCAACCCCCTGTGGCAAAAGGGCCCCCGGAATTTCATTTTCATGTTTTCCTTCCGGGGCCTCTCAACGGGTCCTGGGGGCCTCCGAGTTAATCCTGGTCACTCTCGGTCAACCAGGCCAGCAGCTCAATGCTGAGGCCAGGACTGGAGACAGACAGCAGGGGGGCTGACCCGGGTTCAACTCCAAGCACCACACTGGATGCCAAGCCCCACCAGGAATGACTCCTGAGCACTGCCGGGTGTGGCCCCCAAAGCAAAAAGCGGCAAAACAAGCGGCTGTGTCCCCATTCTCCGCCCGCGCCTGCGAGCGCCTTTGCTCCTGGAATAAGCCCGGGGGCAGGGGCGCCGGCCTCCTCCCCGCACCCCCGAATGGACAACTGCCGTGGTCTTCTGTGCTCGCCTCAGGGCCTTCTCGGGAGACCAAGTGCCAGGAAGCTGAGGCTGCGTGTGCGGAAGGCCCTCGGCTCTGACCCCTACGCACTCACACACATCCACACAGATGAACTCTGCACTCTTACACACCCAGACACACTCACACTCTCTTACATACACAAACACACATGCACTCACAAATAAACACTCACACACATTCACACAGATAAACTCCGCACTCTTACACACGCAGACACACTCACACGCTCTTACATGCGCTCACACACACATGCACTCACAAATACACACTCACACACTCAAACATACACACTCCCATAAATACATAATCTATTGTACAGTCACACACATACACACACTCTCACACACGCACTCTCAGCCACACAACCTCACACATACTCTCACACACACTCTTACATGCACTCATTCACATGCACACATTCTCACACACACTCCCACACATGCACACTATCATACACTCACACATATACACACACACACAAACCCTCACATGCTCACACACACACTCACACTCACACACCTTCACACACAGTCACTCTCACACATACATGCATTCTTACACACACACAAGCCCTCACACACTCACACCCTCACAAGTTCACACACACACACACACACACACACCCTCACACACACTCACACCCTCACACATTCCCACAACACTCGCTCACTGGCTGCGCCCAGACCACCAGGAACTGCCCCGGCAGAGGTCGGCCTGCCTGCAACGCCCCCGCCTCTCCTCACCTCCTCTCCATGGTGTTCGGGCAGCTGTCTGCTGCTGCTGCTGCTTCTGGAGGTGCCCTGAAGTTCAAGAGCAAAATCAGAGGGAAGGAGAATCTGCAAAGAGCAACGGGGCTGGCCGGGAGGGGGCTCAGGGGCTTGTGTGACGCCAACAGCTACGAAACCTCCCACTTGAGGGTCTTCTCTGCCCACCTACAGTCTACGGGCCTCTCCTGGCTCCTTCTGGGGCCCTCACAGCCCCGTGGGGCCCTTGGCGCTCCCCGCCACTGCGTCCTCTGCGCCGCGGCCCCCGCAGCCGGGGGTCCCTCTGTCCGCCCCTCGCAGCCGTCTGCTGCCTTCTCCCTCGCAGCCGTTCTCCTGGCCCCTTCCCTCCCGGTATCCTGGCTGCAGCCTCCTGAGCATCCTCGAGGCCAGCGGGTTTCTGACAAAGGCCCATTCCCCGGAACTATACCCGGCCCTTCCCGGTACAGTTCTTCACACACATCCCAGACTTGGCGCATGAGGCCTCCCTGCTGTGCTATCGCTCCAGCTGCAGTTCTGATTTTAAAGGCAGAAGGAAAACTCTCCGAATGAAACTAATTTTGTTGCTGTCGTTGTTGCAATGGCCAGGATCAATCCCAGGATCTCACACCTGCAAAGCGGGTGCTCCACGGATGAGCTGCATCCCTGGGCCCTGATGGTTGTTCACTTGCCCTGTGATCCTGGGGCTCAAACCCCGGACTCTGTGCGTGAGAATCACATGCTCCCTGGAGTAGCTCCGGCCCCCGCCCCAAGAGCCCTCCTAAGAAGCCTCTTCTAGAGGTTTCTAGAAGGAGCAAGACCAGAAACATATGGGAGAACACGGAGGCAGGGCTGGGGATTCGGCTGGAAGCACGGACGGAGGCACGGGCTGCACCCTGACCGCATCGACAAGGCGGCCCGGGTGCAGGCGACACATGGAGCTGAGCCTGGAGCACTTACCAAGGACGGGGAGGAGTCCCAGCCGTCACTGCGGCAGTTTCTGTCAAGGGAGCTTCTTCCAGAGAGCGACTCAAGGGTGCTGCAGGAGGGGGTGGCTGAGTTGAGGAACACCCTGTGTCCCCCGGGTCCCCTCATCCTGCAACCGCCCTCTGGTCGCGCCTCACCTGAGCCTGCGGGATCTGAGCAAGGAACTGCTCTCACTGATGGACGCGATGGACGCCTCCGGGGGCACTTCGGGTCTCTGGAAGGCACCACGGCTGCGATCAGGCCCCACTGCAACCTCACCACACTGCCCAGCGCCCAGGGGACATCCGTCCGCCCCTAGTGCGTGTCCGGTCCAAAAACGCTTCGGGAGGGCCTCAGCACCGAACCCCCCAAGGCCCAGAGGTGGGAAGAGAGCCCTGGGGTCTGCAGCATGACCGGGTCACACAGGCAAGACTCAACACGACACGCAGGGAGCAGCGCCAAGCCCAGGGCGACGCCTACCGCGGCCGCGTCCTCCGAGTGGAACTTCTCAAGGGCCCTCTGGGCGGCCAGCTGCTTGGCCTTCTGCTTGGAGCCAGCAAACTCCCTGCCGTAGACTTTCCCGTTGATTCTGCACGTGAACTGAAACCTAGGGGCAAGGGCAGAGAGAGCAGGGCCGGGTAGCAGCAGAGCCCTGCCCGGTGTGGTCTGCTTTGGGGGCCACCCTGCCGGTGCTCAGGGGCCACTCCGGGTCCCACACTCAGGGATCACACCTGGTGGTGCTCAAGGGACCACATTTGATGCCAGGGATCAAACCAGGCTTGGCCGAGTGTCTGGGCAAGAGTGATAGCACAACGGGTCAGGCGCCTTGCACACACAGTGACCCGAGTTTGAAGCTCAGGACCCCATTTGGCCAGGAGTCATCCCTGAGCTCAGAGCCAGGAGTAAGTCCTGAGTGCCACCAGTGTGGCCACCGCTTCCCGAAACAAGAGCCAACAACAAAACCCCCGTACTGCCTCTCCAGCCCGGCACCAAGAAGTACTGAGTCTGATTTACGACTTGAAAGGAAAAGTCAAACCCAGTAACCAGCCAAAGTCTCATCAGAACAGTGATGGGGGGGAGGGTCCTGTTTCAGCCCCCTGCGTCTCGGCCTCTGCCTTTCCCAGCTGGTTTCTAACGCTCCGGCCATCGAAGCTCAGTCACAAAAGCACGGAATGCTGATTTTTAATTCCCCAAATATCAAATGCTAGCTCCATGGAGGAGGCGAGGAGGAGGAGGAAGAGGAGGAGGAGGAAGAAGAGGAGGAGGAGAAGGAGGAGGAGGAGGAAGAGGAGGAAGAGGAGGAGGAGGAAGAAGAGGAGGAGCAGGAGGAGGTGGAGGTAGAGCAGGAAGAGGAGAAGGAGAAGGAGAAGGAGGAGGAGGAGGAGGAGGACGAGGAGGAGGAGGAAGAAGAGGAGGAGGAGAAGGAAGAGGTGGAGGAGCCCTGGCGATTGTTCAGAGGTGCGTGAAGGGGAAGGTGACCCGGACATGGTGGGGACCCCACTGTCCCCGTACCCTCAGTCACCAGGCTTTTGTGATGGGCGAGCAGCACAGCCAATTCCGAGGGCACTGGGCTAGGAGCCTTGGGAGTGAGACCGCCTGGACCCTGCACAGACTATGTAAAACCCAGGTTTAGAATCGTCAGCCATTTCTTGTCCGGGAGGAGTTGGCAGAGGCCAATGCCTGGTCACTCCTCTACGAGGGGACATGCGGCCACATCAGTCTCCAGCAGGCACATGCGCACCCCCTCCCCCGGCCCCATGAAGGAGGCCCAGTGGTTCGTGCCATCCTCTGCCTCCGGGGGTGGCAAGGGCCAGAGCCTGGTCTGGGTGGACCCACTCACATCCCGTGTGTTTGCGTGGGAGCCACAAGGTCACGAGTGCAAACACGGGTGCCGGCACCCAGCCTAGGGAGGGGTCAGGGCGAGGGACACCCAAGGCAAATGTGGGGGTGTGGGTTCTGAGCGCAGAGCCAGGAGGGAGCACTGAGTGCAAGCGCGCGCACACACGCGCACACACACGCACACACACACGCACACACGCACACGCGCGCGCACGCTCGAGGAAGGTGCCCAGGGCTCAGGGAAGACCGGCGACCCGGGTACCCAGACGCGCGGGGTAGACGGGGCCTTGAGGGAGGCGGAAGAACGTTCTGGAAGGCGCGCAGCGGCGCGGGGCGGCGCGGGGCTGCGCGGGCGCGGGACTTTCCGGCGCGCGGGAAGTAGCGGGAAGCCGCTGGAGGACGCGGCCGGCGCGCCCCGTCGGGCCGAGCCAGGACGCCGGACGCCGCCCCGGAGGCCGCCCCCAGGCCCGGGTCGCTCCCGCGGGACCCCGCGCCCCTTCGGGCCGGGACAGCGCCCCGGGTCCCCAGCGCGCCCTGACCGCCCCCCGCAGCTCCCCGCGCGTCCGGGTCACGCCCTGCCCCCCGCGATGCCCCGCGCGGACCCCCCGGACCCCAAACCGCCCCGACCGCGGGCTGCTCCCCGCCGACCCCCCGCCCTCCCGGTGGGCACCCAGATCCGCCCCGCCCGCGCCCGCGGCCTGCCCGGCCGCCCCCGGCCCCGTCTGTGTCCGCCCCGCCGTGCCCGGCCCGCTGGCCCCGCTTACCCGGCGAGACCCGGGCCCGCAGCGCGCGCCCCCGATGCCCCCGGCCCCGTCTGTGCCCGGCCGCGCCCGCGCGCCCGTCTCCTCGGTCCTCGGTCCGGCCCGGTGCGCCCGCGGCCGAGTCTGTCCGAATCCCTCCCGGCCCGCGCGTGGTTTTGTTTTCCGCGCGGGCTCCGCCCCGGACACAGGCCGCCCGCGAATCCGGGCGCAGCCTCAGTAAGTGGCCGGAGAGCGCGCGCGCGCACACACACACGCATATACACTGTCACTTTCACTGTCCTCCTGCTGGTCACGGATTTGCTTGAGCGAGCGGGCACCAGTTCCGCCCCGGACACAGGCCGCCCGCGAATCCGGGCGCAGCCTCAGAAAGTGGCCGGAGAGCGCGCGCGCGCGCGCACACACACACACACACACATATACACTGTCACTTTCACTGTCCTCCCACTGGTCACCGATTTGCTCGAGCGGGCACCAGTTCCGTCTCCATCGTGCGGGAGGGCCGAGGGCCCGACTCACCCTCCGAGCAGACGCCCCGAGCCCTGAGCACCCCCACTGCGACTTCCCTTCACAGTCAGTGGTGTTCCCTAGCATGGCCCGTGAGCCCTGATTGGGTTACGCCCTCAGCCACTGGCATAATTTCTGTTTTGACTCTCATTGTGTCTTTTTTTTTTTTTTACTTTTCTATTTGGGAATGTTAAGCCTCAATTTCTAATCAATTTCTGAAATCAAAGCAGTTATTTATTTATTTAGTGGACTGGAGCGATAGCACAGCGGTAGGGTGTTTGCCTTGCAGGCGGCCAGCCCAGCGGAGCGGGGTTCGATTCCTCCACCCCTCGCGGACAGCCCGGCAAACTGCCAAGAGTATCTCCCCTGCACGGCAGAGCCTGGCAAGCTACCCGTGACGTATTCGATATGCCAAACACAGTAACAACAAGTCTCATGATGGAGACGTTACTGGGCCCGCTCGAGCAAATTGATGAACAACGGGAGGACAGTGCTATTTATTTGCGGGGGGTCCCACCTGGGATGCTCAGGGGTCCCTCCTGGCTCTGCACTCAGGAATTACCCCTGGCGCTGCATTTCCCTCCTTTCTCTTGGCACCGGGCTCATTTTCTCCTCCCCCGGGCAGTGGTGTCGCCTTGGAGGTGTGATGTCTCGGTTTTGCCGTTAAACTCTGGCCTGGGTACCCCGCCCTCCCCGCCCTCCTCTGGGAACAGTCTCCGAGAAATTCCCCGGGGGCTCGAAGTCACTGCCACAGGAGTGCGTGTGGTAGCCGCCCTTTGCTGATCCTGTGGGATGCGCACGGGGCTGGGGTGGAGGAGCAGGGATCCGGCCTGGGGACCGCGGGGTCCTCAGGAGCTGGTGGGGCTGCGTGCTTGCGTGCAGAGAGCGAGTTGGCAGCTGAGGGTTTGTGTTGGGATCCGAATCGTGACAGCACTCGAGCAACGGGGCTTCCCCGTGGGCGGTATAAAGTCGCGCGTTCTGCTTTGTCTTTCAGGTGCTGGGATTGTTGAACCGATTCCTCTTAATGTCAAAACCGGTAGGTGATCCTTTTCGAGCGTCTCGGCTGTTCCACTTTGCCTTGACGTGTGTTTGCCAAACAGATGCCTTTCCTCGAACGTGGTGTCGTCGCCGATCTTGTGCCATAGAACCGCCTCGGGGACGTGTCTGAGGTTAGTGTAGCTGGTCAGGTGCTTGCTTTACACACGTCTGACCAGATTTGGTCTCTGACACCCCATGAGGTCCCCAAGTCTCACCAGCTCTGACCCCTAAGCGCAGAGCCAGGAGTAAGCCCTGAGCACTGCTGGGTGTGGCCCAAAATAAAACAAAGAGTCTGTGTGGTATTGCTGCCTTGTTTGAGCAGATCGTGAGCTTGGGAAAAATCAGACTGTGCACTTGAGTGCCAGTAAAACAAGAAACTCAAGAGTCGGACTGGAGCGATAGCACAGCAGGTTGGGCGCTCGCCTTGCACACAGCCCACCTGGGTTCGGTCCCCGCATCCCTTATGGTCCCCGGAGCACCGTCCGGAGTGATTCCTGAGCGCAGAGCCAGGGGGAACCCCTGAGCATCGCCGGTGGGACTCAGAAAGCCCCAGCCGAAAAGAAGCCTCGGGTGTCATTTCGTGTCCTCCTTCCCGTCGAGTGACCTCGCCTGCCGGCCCGGAGGGCGGGCGGGGCTCACGGAGTTCTGTGTCCGAGCAGGGAAGAGCGGCGTGGGCCACGAGGCGCTGCTGAAGCGGAGAGCGGCGCAGAGGCGGGAGCGCGCGCTGCGGTGGGCGCGGCTGCAGAGCCTGGCCGCGGAGCGCGCCGCCGAGCAGTTCCGGTGCGGTTCTGGGTCTGGGGAGAAGAGAACCGAGGGTGGAGCTGGGGGCGGTTCCCTCGGAGGCGTGGGGCTTCCTGCGCGCAGCCCCCCGGCTCGCCCGGCCGGCCGGAGCCCAGGGCCCAGGGGTGCGGGAGGTGCCGCGGCCAAGGGACCCCGGGGCGCGGGAGGGGGCCGCGACGGACTCTGCCCTCTCGCCTAGATTGCGCCTCAAGACGAAGCAGGACGAGGCGAAGCTGGACGCCGACCTGCGCAGGAGCCAGCGAGCCTGCCAGCAGCTGGACACGCAGAAGGCAAGGCCCACCCCCCACCCCGCACACGCCCCCGCCCATGGCCCAGTCGGGGTCAGCCGCCGTCCCCACCGCACAGTCGGGCATAGCTGACGTCACACCTTCCGACTCCCGCCTTGGGTGGGGGTTTTGACTTCCCGGCCCTGGCGTCTAGGGGACTCTTCACCACAGTGCTCCGTCCCAGCAGCCTCCAAGCTCCCCGCCTGTCCCAAGGGAGCAGAATCGCGCTCTGGCGCCAATTCTGACTTGAATGGTTTTCCAGGGCCCACTTTTTTTTTTTCGCTTTTTGGGTCACACCTGGCGATCTCAGGAATGACTCCTGGCAGTGCTCGGGGGACCCTATGGGATCTGGGAATCGAACCCGGGTTGGTAGTGCACAAGGCAAACGCCCTACCTGCTGTGCTGTCGCTCCAGCCCCCAGGGTCCACTTTTGCTTTTAGCTTATTTTGCTTTAATTGTTTTTTTCCCCCAATTTTGATGGCCGTTGCACGGCCATCAAAACAAGATCACTTTATTGGAAGTCTCCGCGGTGCCTGACGACTCGCCCTCCTGTCCAGAAGCGTGGCTGGGGCCCCCCTCCCCCCTTTCATTTCTGGATCCTGAGCGCACGGCAGGTCCTTGCGGCCTTCCCGGCATGCGTGGATTCTCTCCCGCGGCTTCTGTCCCTGCTCGGGCAGGCAGTGAGCGCCGCGGGCTCTGCGTCCCACAGTTCCCCGTGGACTGCTCGGCTCCTGGGGCAGTGCTCTCAGGGGCTCGTTGCCAGGAGGATGCAGGTTGCCTGCCACAATGGGCTCGTGCACGCCTGCCTTTCGCCCCGTTTGACGGAAGCATCTGCGTCTGCAGCAAATCCAGGTTCCCAGGGAGCCGTGGTACTGGCTGAGGCCGGAAGACGAGGCTGAGGAGGAGGAGGAGGAGGAGGAGGAGAAAGATCAAGATGAAGATGAAATTCCGAGTGACGAGCTGAGCGTATGTGCCTCAGAGGGGGGGTCTCCCCTGGGCGGGGGTGGGGGCAGTCCGCGCTCTATCCGCCAGGGGCAAGGGGCACCCAGAGTGTCCCCAGGCCTTGGCCAGCGTCCTCCGCGCGTAGGAGCCTCCCAGCCTAGGGTCTGCTTCGTCTGGTCACTCCTTGCCCCGGCCCCAAAGCAGAGCTGCAGAGATTGCCTGGAGCTGGGCCGACCCTCTCGCCAAGCACGAGCTGCCCCTGGAAATTCTTTTGGTTTTTGTTATCTCCTCTGGAAATGATTCCAGTCACCACCCCCATACACACACACACACACACACACACACACACACACACACAGAAACCAAAACACCCCTCACACAATGCGAAGAAAGTGGCGATTCTTCAAGGGATGACACGCGCATGTCTGCCCTGGCTTGTGCCCGGAAAGGTCTCAGCCGGAGTGACCGTGTCCACAGCACCGGCGGCCTTCAGGAGGGAAGGGGCCTTCAGGGCCACTCGGAGCTGGCCGGCCCGTCTGTGCCCCGCTGCCTCCCAGTCCCGATGGGCATGGGCGCAGGGTGGGCTGATGCGGCGCCGCCCAGGGGAGCAGAGCTGGAACGCCGCTGGGTGTGACCAGCGCTCGCTCTCGTGTCTAGGTGCTGGAGAAGCTGCGGCTCCTGACCGGGTACCTCAGAGAGGAGCACCTGTACTGCATCTGGTGTGGGACGGCCTATGAGAGTAAGGACCTCGCCTCAAGTCCCCGGGGCTGTCCTCCCCAACAGCGACTCCCCGTGCCTTTCGGTGTCCAGCTCTGGTTGGTTTGGTTTTCCGGGAGTGGGGTGGGCGCCGCACCCCGGAGTGCTCAGGGCTGACTCTGCGCTCGGGTCACCCGTGATGAGGTGCCGGGGCTAGAACCGGGTTGACCATGCGAGGCTCTGCTTGTCTCCACGACGGCCCGGAGCCCCCAGACGGTGTGAAACTTGTCTGCCCCCGATGACAGTGGGGACCGTGCCTTAAAGAACCACCCCGTCTGCACTGCACTGTCCTCCATTGTCCGTCGATTGGCTCGAGCAGGCCCAGTAGCGTCTCCATCGTGAGACTCTGTTGTTGCTGTGTCTGGCGTATTGAATACGTCACGGGGAGCTTGCCAGGCTCTGCCGTGCGGGCGAGATACTCTCGGTAGCTTGCCGGGCTCTTGAATCGAAGGGGCGGAGGAATCGAACCCAGCTCGATGCCAAGCACAGTAACAAAAGTCTCAAAATGGAGACGTTACTGGCCCCGCTCGAGCAAATTGATGAACAACGGGAGGAGAGTGTTTGCTTTTTTGTTTCCTGTCTTCCTGGTGTGTCACAGGAGGTAGTGGCCCAGACCTAAAAGATGTGTGTTGGGTCAGAACAGTTTCCTCACGTGAGGCTTGCTGCGAAAGTTGCCTCATCCTCTGCTTTCTCCTCCCCGTGGCAGATCAAGAAGACCTTTCTTCCAACTGCCCGGGGCCAACCTCTGCCGACCACGACTGACCAAGTCTCCCTCTGCCGACCACGACGACTGACCCAGTCTCCGTAAAGAAACAACCTGACGAGTGTAGTTCCCCAGACACAAACAAAACCAGTTCCCCGGTTCCTCCTGCAGTCTCGTGTTTGCTTCCACTTGTACTTCTGGAGAACTTTGCCCTCGAGACTGAGTGTCCGCGCAAAGCCGGTGGCCAGTGTGTGCGCTGTCAGTGCAGGACTGGGCTCGGCAGGTGCCGGGGCTCGGGGTGACCCCGGGGAACTCGGCTGCCTTCGGAGCACCGAGAGCGCCAGCTTTGTTCCCGGGGAGGCTGTGCAGGACAGGGACACCCCCTGTCTCCTGTGATCACTGAGTTCTTGGGCAAAGGACCACCAGAAAGAAGCAGAGCCAAGCGCTCACTGCTCCCAGACTAGCCCATGGAGGGACTGAGGCTCGGAGAACAGCACCTTAGAGGCCTGGGCCCAAGGAACTGGAATGATTTCCCTTCCCTCCGCAGAAGCACACGGGAGGGAGGGTCCCCTGCAGTGAGACTGTTGGCAGAGACAGCCATCCAGAGACACCTCTGAAATCCAGTCAGCCTGAGGCACTCACCGCGCCAGACCTAGAATGGCCGGGCAGGAGATACCATAGCCCACTCGCCTTTCCCACGCTGCCCTGGGTTCGATCCCCGAGGCCGCCTCTGCCCCACCCCGGAGCCCCTGCAAGGACAGCCCTGAGCCAGGAGGAAGCCCTGAGCACCCGGGTGTGGCCCAGAAGAGCCTTAATGGCAGTGTGCGATGTTACCGATGCACTTTTAAAGGCGTTTAAGAATCGGGAGGTTTGATAAATGTGTGACCCAACAAACTTGCTGAATTTCAGAACGTCCTGACATTTTTGTGTACGTTCACAAGATTGGAATTTGTATAGTTGGCTACTGTCTTTTAATACTTTTGGTGTTCGAGAAATAAAACCATGCTAGCAGTCCAAACGCCTTTAGCCTCTCTTTCCTTCGGACTCCGAGTTCGATCCTTTCTTGGCGTTCCCACTTGCAGGCCCCCTTCGGCCAGCCAGAGCCCCACGGGACTTGTTTAAGCTGCGTGGGCTGAGGCACCGCCAGGGGTGGCCCCGAAGCGCTCAGCCTGGGACGCGGGGAAGGAGCTCGGGAAGCCGCCCTGGGTCCCGGACAGTCAGGGGCGGAGGCTTGGGGGAGCCTGGGCCAAGAGGCTCGAGCGGACAGTGACCGGCCAGTCTCCCCCGTCAGGCAGTCCAGGGACGGCCACTGCAGCAAGCGGAGCTGCGGAACTGCATGGCCACGCAGGAAAACGGAGCCGGAAACATCTCCCACCCTGCAACAGCCTGTGCAGACTCCAGAAGACAGCTGAGGCTCTGTCTCTCCCGCCGCCCGCGTTCGGGAGTCTCAGGCCGGTTCCCCACCCCGGGGAGGGCGATGGCGATGGGCGGGCGGAGGAGGGACACGAGGGCCAGGCGGTTGGTGTCCGTTGCAGCTTATTCCCTGCCCATCTCCGTTCCTCTCCGCCTCTTCCTCCGCCATGCTATGTCATTCTCCTCCTCGACCCTCCTTCATCTTCCTTCTCGCTCTGGAATCTGGATCTGGATCTTCGTTCTCCTCTTCTGGAGCCTGGATCCTGATGCCCCAGCCCGCTCTTACAGTCTCCTTAAATCCCAACATATGAGGGGTTTGGGCTTACATATACGTGTGGTCACAATCAACAGGGGTCAAGTTCTTTCCCTCGGGGAAAGCCGCTTCCAGGACAGATACTCTCTCAGCAGAGCAACCCACCCAAGAGCCGAATCCCCTGCTCGAGGCAATCGACGAACAACAGGATGGCCGTGATCGTGAATATTAGCAGTCTTCCTCTATCTATACAAAAGGGAAATTGCTTTCAAGTAAACTATTCAAAAGACATAAGGGGAGGAGAAAGGCAATATTAGCTTGCAATACAATTTCAGTGTCCCAGAAGGATCTGACCTTACAAATGAACAAAGTCTGATTAGGGGAAAAGCTGATTGACTGGTTGGGGAGGAGAGCATGGAAGTGGGGTCAGATAAACAAAGGAATGGGAGTGACTCGGGAGCACTGTGAGTGATGGGTGTGCCCCGATAAACCTAGGCTCCTTGTGGCAAGGGAGAAAGGACAGATCAGCCGTAATCCTACCAAGTCAACGCACAGTGGCCCAGAAGACCTTGAGATGCGACCAGAGCCCACAGGGAGACGGGCAGAGCTCTGCAGGGCACAGGCCCGAGAGGCGCTGCAGTGACCCACCACCGGCTCGCGTGGGCGAGGGGGCTGACCACGAGACCACGGCTGCGTGACAGCTCCTCCTTCCGGGCTGATCTTGAATGCGCCCAACAGCAGCAGCTATGGGGGCAGCCCCCCAAGGACCTCCACAACCCCAGAGCCCCAGACAGTGTCCTGGCCGCTCACGTCTGTCCGTCTGCCCTCCCCTGGCTGTTTCTGCTAAGGTGGCAGCCGAGTCATTTCTGCTCTCTGGTAGCAAACGCGGCGTTACCGAGGGTCCGGGCGACAGCCAATCAGACGGAGGAGGTCCGACACGGAGGGACCCGCTGGGACTCTGGACTACCCAGCCCCTCCCTGCCTTTCTTCCTCCCTAGCCTTGCACTGCATTTACTGGCATGCGTTTTCACGGCTGCGTAACATTGCCCTGGGGGAAACGACCAGATCGGCTTTCCTTGGGCTGGACATTGGTTTTGTTCCCTGTTCTTTCAGCTACGAGAAACAAGATTTCTAGAACATTCTCTCAGGCCTGTGTGTCCGAATGGATTTGGTGGCTTCCAGAACTTAGAAACGTTTAACTGTCTTGGATGATGCCAATGTGACTACACATGATTTTTTTTATAAGAAAACATGCATGTTTATTATGAAACTTAAAACCATTATCGAAACATGTTTTTCTGCATACTCAAAGGGGTCGACATTGAATATGGACAGCAAGTTAGCTCACAAGAAAGAAAGCGAAAGGCACAGATGCAGTCGGCTGGTAGACTTCCAGCAGCCTGGTATAAAGTGCAGCCAAAATGTCCTTCTGTTGAGTAAGAAGTCCAGTCGCCTCTGAATATTTTTGGTAACGCTGAGTCAGGAAAAGCCACTGCGGTCTGGAGGTTGGCAAACTTGAGACTTCGAAGACTGGCTTCCAGGGAACAGCACGGTGAACTGTTAGAACTGGCACCGGTGAGAAACACTGGGTTGGAAAGGGACAGCTGTCCTCCCAAATGCCAAACTCTCTTCCACAGATGTTTAGCATACCATGACTTAACAGCTCTACATTGATACACCAGCAGGGATACACGGCAACATGACTGATACCTTGAGCATGTAAAGAACACGCTTAACAGAAATCCAAAACCAACATTTAATTCTTGAACCCAGCTGTAGAAAGCAAATCACTTCACAATGCTTTTTCAGCATGTCTGATTTGGGGGGGGGGGGTAAACTCTAAATAATAGTGGTGAATCTTTTATTGAAACAGTGAATCTAATCAAAGCAGATAGAGTGTTAACTAGAATTCATCTGCTTCACAGGGACGGGGAGGGGTGGGGGGTGGGGTTTTATTGGGGTTCTTCATGGTAAAAAATAAGTATTGGTAAAGGGAAATGTGTTTGATATTTGCATGACTGAGACCTAAACCTGAAAGCTTTGTAACCTTTCCCACAGTGATTCAATAAAAAAAAAAAAAAAAAAGAACACGCTTAAAAATAGGCAGCGAGAACTCCCATGCCAGCTCCCGAGACAAGTTACTCCTACCTCCTGCACCCAGCCCGTGCCAGTGAGGACCAGCCCGCAGTCCGGTGTGTTACTGTGGAAACACACCGTAAAAACGGTGACGTACTGATAATCAGAAAGTACTCAAAAAGTGACAGAAAGTGTATGTTATTAAATGACACAACATGTTAGAGGCTCTACTTAAAAATCTCCCATTGTTCCTTATCAATGTTACAAGATTGTTTGCAAACCAACAGACTGTAAACAAAGGAAATTTTCATTAGGAAAGATGGGTCTGCTGTACTTTCATCTGTTACCAAAAAATCAGTGGAAGTTACTGATAGTAGAATTTCTCTTTTGCTTTCGTAAGTCTCATTCTCTTGAAAATCAAACCAAAGATTCCTCTCCCTTGAGCCAACGTTCAACTATGGTCACCTTAGAAAATACCCGTTTCCTTGTCAATCAGACATCAAATCGCGTGGCAGCTATTTCCATCTTCTCTTGGGCCAGAGGTCTTGGCTTCATTGTTATCTGACGAGAACACGGAAGGCCGGCGAGTGGCCCTGCCCCGTCTTTCTTTCCTGCTGCAGTGGAGGCTGGGTCACGGCAGTGGGGGGCAGCAGGTGGCGCACGGGCAGGCCGGCCCAAGGCCTTGGCTCACGTGGCCTCTTTCTCTCCTGCTCGGCCCGTCGCAGGGTTTCTGGCCAGGGTGCTTCCGCTAAACCCGACTGAAGCAGAAAGGTGACATGCTTGGGTAAATCCTGTGTCAAGGTGATTCCGCGGAGGCCATGGGTCGAGCCGCCAATCTGTTGGCTGCGGGATGATACTGATAGGAAGAAAATCATCCGGGTAGCTCAGATGTTCGCGCCGCCACGGCAGCGGTGTTTCCAACATCGGCTCAGCTCCGTGAATCATCACCTGATTCCTCCTTTCCCCGTCTTCAGGACTAATTGCAGGACAAACTTCTTTCAGGAGACCACCTAGTGTGGTCACCTATCCGTCTGCAGCCATAAGACAAAAAGCTTCTGAACAAAAGGCCGTTCCACTGTCATCTGATATATTCTAAAAGGGATGTATCGAAATCCATTTTCTTCTGCAGGATATTCCACGCGTTTCCGATCGATGGCCCAGAATCGGTCAAGTCTGTCTGCCGGGGCAGACGCTAGATAATATATTTTCCAGAGCTCACTTGGAATAGCCCGAGATCTCGCGTGGCCACGACCGTGAATGTCAATTTCGAGATCGTAAATGCTTGGGGTCCAGAGACATCTCTGTAGGCACCAATCCGTTTTGGATTCAGTTGGGAGCCCCTGGGCCAGGGCTGTTGGTGTGCTAAGACGACGTCCAGAGGGAAATTGTGGGAGTGACAGACAGTCTTGGTGAGGTCCGTCCTGAGACAGTGGACTCAGGCCTGGGGTATGCGGCAGTTTTAGATTCTGGGAGCAAGTGGCTACCAGGGACCCCTCTTGGGTGGGCACAGGCCCACACGCCCCCTCCAGTTCGCTCGGGTCTGCTCAGTCATGAATGGGTCTGAGCTTAACCGCCGGCCCCGATCTCCCCGAGACCCATCTAGGGTCTCTGAGGCAGGCCAGCAGCAGGGCCCGCAGGGTAGCGCTGGACTTGGTGCGTGGGGGTGACCACCAGTGCTTCTGTGTGCGCTGGGAAGTGGGCGAGGGAGCCCATCCCAACTGAGAGTGAGCTTGTGTAGCTGAGCCGGAGGTGGTTTGTGGGTCTGACTCCCACAAACCTAACTTTCGGCCGTTTCATTTCTTGGTAAACGTGTTCCCAAGTTGTTGGGGTTTGGCCAGGGGCACAGTGGCAATTTTGGGGTGTCAGGAAGCCTGAAGGCAAGATCAGGCTGCTGGTGCCCTCGCCGCAGGGGACAGGTTGGCCTGCTGGTGGCACCAGAACCCCCACATGACTTTTTTTCTAAGGACCACTTCTCCCACTAGCTCGTTAGATATTTAAGACTAAAATAGTCTCAAGAGATTTTGGTCTGGAAACGGTACGTATTTAATAAAGAATTCTTTTAGCACTGCAGCACTGTCCTCCCGTTGTTCGATTTACTCGAGCGGGCCCAGTAACGTCTCCATTGTGAGACTTGTTGTTACTGTGTTTGGCATATCGAATATGTCACGGGGAGCTTGCCAGGCTTTGCCGTGCTGGTGGGATACTCCGGTAGCTGGCCTGGCTCTCCGAGAGGGGCAGAGGAATCGAACTCGGGTCGGCCATGTTGGCTGCATGCAAGGCAAAGGCCCTACCCACTGTGTTATCGCTTTTATTTTTACTAATTTATATCAGAAAATTTAGGGCACCTTTTTTTCTCTCATCTTCATAATGAGAAGTCCTAGGGGAAAATCAAGTGCAAGAATGATTTTTTGATTTATATGATTGATTTTGAAGTTAAGAGGCAAAGTTCTCTGTAAACTTTAAAAATAAATTTAAGGGAATAGTCAAATCACAAATCACAAATCATCCTGTTATTCGTCGATTGCCTCGAGCAGGCCCCAGTAACGTCTCCTTCATCCTAGCCCTGAGATTATATTCAAGGCTCTTTAGGAGAATGAGACCCATCATAGTTACTGGTATTTGGCATATTGGGTACGCCAAGGATTTTGCCAGACTCTGCCGTGTGGGCAGGCTACATTCGGTAGCCTGCCAGTTTGTCCAAAGAAGGAATGACATAATAAGATGTCAAAATAAGATGTCACACGGCCGCAAATGCTTGTTTTTAATAGTAACTTAAGATAATTTAATAGTAATTTAAGATAAAAAAAAAATGGGTCCCACCCGGTGATGCACAGGGGTTACTCCTGGCTCTACACTCAGGAATTACTCCTGGCGGTGCTCGGGGGACCATATACGATGCTGGAAATCGAACCCGGGTTGGCCGCGGGCAAGGCAAACACCCTCCCTGCTGTACAACTGCTCCCGCCCCCAGTTTTAACAATTCTCCCTAACAAGTTCTTAACAGTTCCTAGACCAGGAATGTCGGCTGCGGCCTTCTCCGAAAGACTCTAGCACGTCCTGTGCTCGATGGACCCAGCCCCGTCCTTCCAGCTCCTCAAGGTATACAGCAGTTCCTGAGCACTGGGTCGCTTCGAGGGGTCCAGCGCGAGTAATTGCTCCAGGAGAGCTTTCTGGAACGAGAGCACAAATCACCATAGAGTGAAAGAGCGCATTTTCACGCACAACACGCGGAACCAAACGCCACTCGGCTGCCGAACGCTTACTTTTCTGCCGCTGAATTCTTTGGGGATTTCTCCTTCCTTTAGCTGTGAAAAGATCTGAAAACGAAACATGAACATGGTCGTTAGGAAGCTGTTGGCTTGGGGTGGGAATTCACCAATGGGGACCCCCACCCCGGCCAGGGCTCCCTCACCCCACCCCACACCACCTTGTCCCAGATCTGAGCCAGGAAGGACGCTGCCCCCGCGGGAGGCCCGTGCTCCTCAGGCCCGCCGCCCCTCTGTGCTCCTGCCGGCCACGGCCCCTCTGCCTCAGGGCTGCCGCCTCCAGGGAAGCCACACGCCAGCCCTGTGCGGGTCACTTGGTCACTCCCTGCCAGAGGCAGGCGGGCACACCCCACTCTTCAGGAGTCGCTTTTTCCTGTCTCCTGCCTCCGGGCCACACCCAGCTCAGCACTTACTCAGACTCTGCGCTCAGGGTCACTCCTGGCCGTGCTCAGGGGACCAGGTGGGGTGGGGTGCCGGGTTGGCTGTGTGCAAGGCAAGTGCCCTGACCACTGTCCCCCTCTCTCTTTTCTCTCTCTGTCTCTCCCTCCCTCTCCATCCCTCTGTCTCTTCCTCTGTCTCTCCCTCCCTCTCCTCCTTTTCACCCCCTCTCTCTCCCTCCCCCATCTCTCTCTCACCCTGTCTCTCTATGTCTCTTTCTGTCTCCCTCCCCCCCCCAAGTATCTTAAAGATGGCAAAGCAGGTCATCCAACAAATCCCTCACCCCATGGGCCCGAGAGCCAGCAGGGGCTCCGGCTCGCCTTGTACACCACTGACCTGGGTCCAGTGCCCTGGCACAAGGAGTGACTCCTCAGCACCGCTGGGTGCGGCTCAAAACCCAAACGGGACAGACTGGCTTCAAGAAGAAGTGCCAGCAGAAGTCAGCCAGCTTCCAGGGGGCGAGACTGCCGGGTGTCGGGCCTGGGCCTCTGAGGGACCCAGCACTCCCTGGGGCACTGGCAGTGCAGGGCGGAGATGTCACGCGGCAAGCAGGCGCTTGCCTGAGCCAGGCTGCCCGGCTCTGATCCCGGACACCGCCTGGTCCTTCACGGAGCGGCTCGGGACAGGGACCCGGCCCCAGGGTTGGTCTCTAGGAGAAACTCTGACTTCAGGAGCAGCCAGAGATCAAGTCCCTCTTGACTGCAGCCCGCAGCTGCCCGGTCCAGCCCGAGTGGCCCTGGCGACTCCCCCCAGAAGATTCACCTTTGCCATTTCCGAAGAAGTTTTACAGATGTGAGTAAGTTCCAGGAAAATGATCCCCAAGGCATAGATGTCCACTTCGCTTCCATAATCGGTTGAGGAATTCTAAAGAAACCAAATTGTATTTCCCCTTAGGACGCTCTTGATAATAACATACATGCCTTCCCAAGCCAAAAGTATTATTTGACCAAAATGTCTTTTTGGGGGGAGGAGGGCTCAGGGCTCACTCCCAGCTCAGTGCTCAGGGCTCTGGGCTCAGACTCAGCCCTGGCAGGGACAAGCCTTCAGGTGTGCCCTTGCCTGTGGCTGACCCCAGCTGACCCCCATCGTGGCACCACAGTAGCCGGAGCACCCCAGAGGAGAGCCCGGAGGCCCCCAAGAAGCCCGTGGCAGCCCAGGGAACTTCTGGTCCCTGGCACGGACCAGCCGTGAGCCGGGAAGGGCCTGGGTTTCCTGAGCACCAAGCCCCGAAGGGAACGAAACCAGTGAAATAATATCGGGCAGGAGCGGCCGGAGCCAAAGTCCACTGGGCAGGGCATTTGCCTTGCATGCGGCCGACCCAGGTTCGATCTCCGGCAGTCCGTAGGGTGCCCCGAGCACAGCCAGGAGTGATTCCTGAGTGCAGAGCCAGGAGGAACCCCAGAGCATCGACGGGTGTGGCCCCAAAGGAAAAAACCCAAAACAAAACCACCAAAGAATATGGGGCAGGAGAGACAGCTCAGACGGTATGTCTGGGTCCCTGGGTTGCACCCCTGCAACACAGGGCCCCGCATCCTGCAGAACGCGACCCCCGCCAGAAGCGTTCCAGGCAAGGCCAGAGCCGCCAAGGGCAGGGCACCAGGCCGAGCACGGAAAAAGAAAAAGAATAACATGGCACTGGAGAGACAGTACCGGGGAATGCCCCATCCTCAGCACGGCTTATGGCCCTGAGCACTGAGCTGGAGAATAATGTTAAAATAACAAGATAAAAGTGTGGGTCCTGAGGAGACAGTACAGGAGTTAAGGCAATGAACCGTCTTCAGCACCCAACCCAGGTCCGACCCCCACGTGGGCCCCGAGGACCAACCAGCATCACTCTTGGGCAAAGAGCAAGGCTGATGTGGCCCCCAACCCAGCCCAGCCCCCCAAAGGGAAGAGCCCCAAGGCGGGCAGGAGGGCACTGGCCTGTTCCGGGCTCGTGTACCAATCGGTCCCTGTGTCCGTGGTCCGTTGGCTGTCGTTTTCCAGGGAGGTGACAAACCCAAAGTCTCCGATCTTTATTTGCTTTTCATCCACCAGAAATATGTTCGACGGCTAAGACAGGGACAAGAGCAGCACCGTTTCACGGACGCGCCAGCCAGCCAAAGCCCCTTGAGCAGCGGCTGCTGGCATGTGGGCTCCTGAGGGCGCCACTTCCCGGGCCCCAGCAAGCAAGCTCATGAAGAACTGTGCCGACCCCCACCCCGACCCCCAGCCTAGAGCACCCACTGCAGAGAGACGCTGAGAGTCTCTCTCGAAGATCAGGGCCCCGAGAGAAATTTCCTTTACCGCTGTGGGCCCAGCGGTGCCCAGGACTTCCACACCCCTGGGTGCTGCTGGGGACAGAACCGAGTGGCAAGCGCCTTACGCCCGCTCGTCTCTCGGGCCCTGCCTTCCACTTTCGGAGGGTCTGGGGGAATGCGGGTTCTCGGCAGGGGCCCGGGCACAGGCGGGCTGGAGGCCGCAGCCCACTGCTGGCTGAGCGTCCGCCAGAGCAGGCCAGACACGGCCCACAGACCCGGGCTCACGAGGATCCACGGGGGCCCAGAAAAGGCGTCTCCACCACAGAGGCTGTTCTCGCCTCCTCTGCCTCCCGGGGACAGTGGGGCTGAGGACTCTCACCCTGTCTCGCTCTTCATCTCCTTTTGCTATTTGTTTTTTTTAGAATTTTATTTTGGGGCCAAACCCGGTGGTTCTCAGGAATCGCTCTGGTGGGGGGAGGGAGGGGCGCAGAGCATATATGGGGGTACCAGGGATCCATCAGGGGTGGCCATGCGTGAGACAAGCAACCTCCCTGCCAGACTAAGGAGTCCCCCCCCAACCCACACCCCGCAGGGTCCTTGCTCCAGGCCAGTCCTTGCCCCCTGATGCTGATGGACACTGACAGGGCTTTACTGCACCCCATTTGTTTAGGGGGAAGCTGTTTCGGGGGACTCCTGAGTCCTGGGGGCCTCCGGTGAGTCTCGCCCCAACGTGCCGTGCATTGGCCTTAGGTGTTTTCCTAGAGGCTCCAGGCGAGCATGGACACGACATTCTCCAGGGGACGCCAGCAAGACGTGTGCAAGGCTAGCCGGTGGCCTGACCGGCAGCTCTGTCTCACAGCACCTCTGACCCAGGAGGGGACATGCAGCACTAGACATGGCCTGTCTGGGGGCACGAATGCCCAGGAAGACCCCAGACTCGGGCCTACAGCTGGAAGCTCCTCCTTCCCCAAGAGGTGAGGGGCCGGGCCTGGTGTCCCCTTTCGAAAGCACCAGAATAGGAACTCAGAGGTCATCATCACCAGCGAGAGAGAGCAGGGGGCCGGGGGAGGGAGGGGAGTTCAGGGTCACCCCAGCCTTCAGGAATCAGACACAGCTCGTCCAGACTGGCCATGTAAAGGCTGCAGCAACAGTACAGTGGGAGGAGGCTGGCCCTGCGCAGCCGACCGGGGTTCGAGCCCCACCAGGAGTGATCCCCGAGTCGGAGCCAGGAGTCGTCACAACCATGCCGCTGGGCCCTGAGCCAGGCTGATTCACTCGGGGCGCCCCGGAGGAGGGCGGGTGGGACCCGTCCCTGCCCCAAGGGACCCAGCCCAAGCAGCCCAAAACCTCCAGAACTCAACTGCCGCCAGGCTCACGGCCCCTTTCCACACCTCGGGCCGAGCCTCACCCTCAAGTGAACCTATTCCTGGACCGCACAACCAGCCCTTCACACCACACAGCCCACCATACTCCAAGAGCACCGCACCACATTTGATGGGGCTCAAAGCAGGAGGCAACCAGTCTTAGAGGGAAATATTTTTTTACAGATATATAGATAGATCGATAGATTGATAGATACATAGGTAGGTAGATAGATATAAACCACATAAGGCTCAACCCTTAGCAATATGTTAACGAGCTCTTACAGAAGGGCTTAATGGCCCCTGGGTAGAAGACAACAATCTTCACAGTCTTTCCTCTAAGGAAACCTTTTTGTAGCATTTTCAGCGATACAAAAGTACTATTTCGGGCAGGAATTGGGACTCGGAATGGAAACATCCGAAATATGGTAGGAGGAAGGTGTGATGGTGGTGGGGTTGGTGTTAGAATATTGAATGTAATCAAAGATTGTGGACTACTTTATAAAATAAAAAAAAATTGAAGGGAAAAATAAAAGCTGAGAAGACAGATCTGGAATTCCTGAAACGCTACCGCTCAATTCCTGATGAAACTTTCACCGCTTACCTTGAGGTCTCTATGAATATATCCTTTTTCGTGTATGTAATTCACACCTTCAACTATTTGTTCAAAAAACTGTAATGCCAGGGCCGTGTCGGGCTCCTGTTTCCTCATCCTGTCGATCCACTCTTCCAGGGTCCCCTGACCACAGAATTCCATTTTGATGAAAAGGCATTCAGTCTCCGGCCTGGACCCAGGATTCACAGCAACAGAGAGAAGGAAACCCAAACGCAAAGGTTTAAGAACTACGCTTTGTCTTGCAGAGGCTTTCAAAACACTTTTGGTTCTACTCATTTCTGATGTTTAGAGATGGTATTCGGGAAGGAGGGCCACAGCCGGCGATGCTCGGGGCTGACTCCTGGCTCTGCACTCCGGAATCCCTCCCGGCGGGTTCTGGGGACCAAACCCGGTCACCCGTGTGCAAGGCCCTGGTCGTACTTTAGTGTTTAGTGACAGAAAAAAAAGGTGAGAGCCCGGGGCCTCCCACCTGCAACGCTTACTGCTGCTGTGGCTTCTCCGTGCCCCTCTCGGGACAAGCCTTTCCGCTCAGAGCCCCACCACACTCTCTGGATTCCCCGTCTTGCCCAACGCTGAGCGGTCAGCAGCTGCCCGTGGCGACATCGGGCCCTGGTGCGCACGCCCGGGCCCGGCCTGTCTCCAAGGCAGTGGCTCCTGCGAGCCTGATCCTCGGCTCTCACCGATCTGCCTCGGGCGCACAAAGCTGTCCACATTAGCACGAGGGGGCAGAGAGGTCGCACAGCGGGCAGGGCGCTGGCCTGCCACCGCGTCTGGCCCCTGACCCCCACGAGCAGGGGTCTCTGAGCACAGAGCCAGGACTTAGCCCTGACAGCTGGGGACCAGGAGTGGCCCCCAAACAAAGTAACCATTTTTCTTCTCTTTGGGTTCACACCCAAAATTGCTCAGGGGTTCCTCCTGGCTCTGCACTCCGGAATGACTCCTGGCGGTGCTCGGGAGACCCTCAGGGATGCTGGGAATCGAACCCGGGTCGGCTGCATGCAAGGCAAACGCCCTCCCCACTGTGCTGTCGCTCTGGCCCCCCAAGTAACCATTTTAAGATGCCTGTCAGCCGTGGGGTCTCTTCCTGCGAGCTCTCGCCTCCTGTTCCCGTGTCCCCAATATTCTTGGACACCTTCTTACCCGCTAGCATGAGGAGATTCTTCCTCATCTTCAAGTGGACTGCTGCAGAGAAAAAGGAAAAAAGAGAAGTATAAATTCAAAAATAATTTGAATAAACAGCAAAATTTTGACTGACACATTCTAAAATTTGGCTGGTAGGTTCCCAGCTGCCCAGAGCACAGTTTGGCTAACAGGCCTAGTGGTGTAATGGGCCACACCTGGCAGCACTCATCACTGACTGTCGGCTCTGTGCTCAGGGCTGACTCTTGGCTCGGTGCTCAGGGCTGACTCTTGGCTCAGTGCTCAGGGATGACTCCTGGCTTGGAGCTCAGGGCGGACTCCTGACTCGGTGCTCACGGCTGACTCCTGGCTTTGTGCGCAGGACTGATTCCTGGCTTGGAGCTCAGGGCTGACTCCTGACTCGATGCTCACGGCTGACTCCTGGCTTTGTGCACAGGACTGACTCCTGGCTTGGAGCTCAGGGCTGACTCCAGGCTCTGTGCTCAGGGCTGAGTCCTGGATGACTCCTGACTCAGTGCTCAGGGATGACTCCTGACTCAGTGCTCAAGGCTGACTCTTGGCTCGGTGCTCAGGGCTGAGTCCTGGCTCTGTGCTGGGGCCTGCAGAGGGGCCGTGCCCCTGACCTGCCTTGACCTCCGCCCTCTCTCATGTGAGGCCCCCCACACATGGGAAAGGTGCGTCCTGGCTCTGAGGAGCAGCTTCTGCAGGTGCGTCCGGGCGGGCTCTGGAGCCGAGTGTCTGGGTGTGGGGCCAGTTCAGTGCTGGGCTCCAGAAGCTCTGCTACTGGGGGACACACTGGCAGTGCCCGGGGGCCCCGGGACGACCAAGCAGTGCTCAGGGGTCCGCCCTGGGGGTGCTCGGGGCCACGTCCGGCGCCGAGACGGAGCCCAGGCGAGCCAAGGCGAGGAGAGGACCGTCGCCCTGTGCGGCGTCCCAGCCCCTTCCCGAGACCTCGGCGAGTTACCTCCACTCATAGTCCCTGAAGCAGCGGTCGGGCCCCTTCCAGCAGTCGTGGTAGAGAACGATGTTCGGGTGCCTGAGCTCCGCCAGAGCTTCGACTTCACGCTTCACTTTCCTGGGGAAAAGAAACAAAGAAGCCAAAGTGAGGAAGAGCACAGGGACGCGGAGTCCCCCCTGACAGCACACGCTGCCTCCCCGGCCCTTCCGAGGTCCCCGCAGCCCGTGGCCCAGAAAGGATGCTGCGGCACTCACCAGGGAAAGAAGCGTCGCGAAGCCACTGCCCTCCGCATGAAAGAAGCAGCAGGAGCCCCTGGCCGCATGTGCAGAGCCCAGGGGTCAGTCCCAAGCCCCCGCCCGGGGCCCCCTCGGCCCTGCCTCGAGCCCCCACACGGCAGAGCGGAGGGAAGCCGGCGGCAGCGGCTTCTGCCGTGCCCAGAAAGGGATTCCGGGGCCAGGCGCGCGCTGGGATTCTGCAGCCTGCACTGATGTCACGTCACGCTGGATTCCGTGAGCAGCCCCCTTGGGTGGCAAGCACTGACTTCCCCTCTCCACCCCTCCCTCCTTCCTACCTCCTCCTCTCATCCTTCCTCTCTTCTCTCCTTCTTTCCCTCCTTTCCTTCCTTCTCCTTTCTCTCCTATATCCCTCTTATTTTCCATCCATCCTTCCTTCCTTCCTTCCTTCCTTCCTTCCTTCCTCCCTCCCTCCCTCCCTCCCTCCCTTCTTTCCTTCCTTTCTTTCTTTCTTTCTTTCTTTCTTTCTTTCTTTCTTTCCTTCCCTCTCTCTTTTTTGCAGTGCCCAAATTTGACCCAGTACTCAGGGAAACTCCCATCTCAGTGCTCAGGAGATGCTTTTGCTGGTGCTCGGGAGACCACCCAGTGCTGGGGCTGGACCCTGGGGCTTTGACCACAGCCGCCCCCTGAGCTGCCTCCGCAGCCCAACAACCACCTTTTGTAATTAAACAAAGTCCTATGGACATAAAGTTTCTAGAAATCAAGGGGGCGTTCGATGAGATAGTAGCACAGAAGCCAACTGTGCTCCATTACAACCAACACAGTAACCCAGAAGGCCAGCCACCCACAAGCAGCGCAGAAACCCCCAGGCAGGGGCTAATGACTCCACAGCGAAATAGGACAATTTTCACCAATTTGCTTTTGCTAAGTTATTTTTTGATAATCTACTTCAACAAGTCTCATGATGGAGACGTTACTGGGCCCGCTCGAGCAAATCGATGAACAACGGGAGAACCATGACCATGACTTGCCATTTAGTCATAAGAGGCGATATAAAATGAATTCTTATGGGTCTGCTAAGAAGGAAGACTTGGGAAGTGGTTGAGGAAATGGGGACGCTGGGGAGGAGGAGGTCACACTGGGCTTGTGCTGGAACAGTGACTGCCCAAAGTAGCTGGGTTATGAGTGATTTTGTAAATTATGGTATTGACATAAATATTAATAAAAATAACTTACTGTGTCTGGCATATCGAATACTCTCGGTAGCTTGCCGGGCTCTCAGTTAAGTTAAAAATAACTTAAGTTTTAGGGAGGACGTATTCCTTGCACGCGGCTGACCTGGGTTCGATTCCCAGCATCCCATTGGGTCCCTCGAGCACCACCAGGAGTCATTCCTGAGCGCAGAGCCAGGAGGAACCCCTGCGCATCGCTGGGTGTCACCCAAAATGAAAAAAAAGTCTAAAATTTTCAAAAGAGAATTGTCTCCATAGGCACAATCAATGGTCATGACCCCCTTCAGCTTGATTTCTTCTGAAACGCTTTTTCATAAAGAAGCATTTAAAATGCGTGTGAAGCGGAGGGGGCAGTGCCACCTTCAGTTCCGGTCCCCGCTTCATCTCCGGATCTCAGTCTCCTCTTTAAAATAAGGGAAAGGGCCGGAGAGCGCTTGCAACACGCAGGACGCTGGCCCTGCACACAGTGACCCGGGGCCGACCACCGACACCCCGCAGTTCCCTGAGCCACATCACGTTGCTAATCCCTGAGCACAGAGCCAGCAGTCAGCCCTGAGCACCGGCCAGGGGTGAATCCCCCCACGGTTCCCCTAAAAATCGCCCAACGAGGTCCTGTGTGTTTGGGTTGGAGAAGCAACCCAGCAGAGAGCTCCTGCCATGAGGTCAGCCGACCTGGGTGCGACCCCCAATATCCCATAGGGTCCCCTGAGCACTGACAGGAGTGGCCCCTGAGCACAGAGCCGGGAGTCAGCCCCAAGCACAGCCAGGCGTGCCGTGGCTCAAAGACAGACAAAAGACCTAAACCAAAACGAAAATAAGAAGAAAGCAAAAAAAAAAGAAAACTCCCAAAGGACTCTTTTGTCTAAGCTCAGTGATTCTCTGACTTCAGTTTTCATCCAGACACTTTTTCTTTTTGGCGGAGGGTTGGCTTTCTGGGTCGTAACCAAGGATCGAACCCAGGTTGACAAGGCCAGTGCCCTCCCAGCTGTCCTGTGGCTCCAGCCCCTCGCCCAGACAGTCTAAGGAACCACCGTGCAGCAGGACCGGGGGCAGCTAGCCGAGACAGAAACCCTCCCAGGCGGGGGATCCCCTGCAAAGTTGGGGCCGCCAGCTGTCGCCCCTGTGGTAACCAAGCACGGGGATGTGGAGCTACAGGGCGCCAGGCCGGGGACTCAGGACAAGGCTCCGGCCCAAGTATTCTCCCCAGCCCTGGAAGGACTTTTTTTTTACGTTTCAGGTCATACCTGGCAATGCTCAGGGCTTACCCCTGGCTCCACGCTCAGGAATCACTCCTGGCAGGGCTTGAGGGGGCCATATGGGATGTCAGGGATCAAACCAGGGTCGGCCGCATGCAAGGCAAAGGTCCTCTCCACTGTGCTATCGCTCCAGCCCAGAGAATGACATTTTTTTTTTGGTAGGAGTACTGCTACTTATTCAGCCACTGATTAGCTGATTGAATTGGGCATGAACTCCACCTCAATTTTTTTTAATTTTATTTATTTTTTTCTTTTTATATTTATTTATTGAATCACTGTGGGGAAAGTTACTAAGCTTTCAGGTTGAAGTCTCGGTCATACAATGATCAAACACCTTTCCCTTCAGCAGTATTCATTTTTCACCACCAAGAACCCCAGGATACGGCCCCCTCCCAGCCCTCCAAATGCCTGTGAGGCAGATGATTTCTACTTAACTCTTCTCTACATTGATTACATTCATAATTTTGACAAAAGATGCACCATTATTGTTTAGAATTTCCCCCCAGACAATCAGAATTGCTGAAAATGCATTGTGAAATACTTTGTTTTCTATAGCTGGTTATGAGAATCATATAATGTCACACGGCCACGATTTTGGATTTTGGCAAAGAGCCAGATAATTACGAGATGGTTTCTGTGTATCTGGTGTTATGGCCGTGCTGAAGAGCCACTCGTGGGGGGTAACTCATGACATCGGTAGGGCATGAAGGACGAGCTGGTACCGCCCCCCTTCCCATGAGACTGCAGTTGCCCCATCACAGCCAGCTCCTACCTGGCTTTCCTGTAAGCTCTGAGGCAGCGACCACCTTGCTGCCAGGGGGGGAAAAGGCAGAAGGGAGCAACACCCTCTCCCTCCCGGGGAGGCACGGCGCCGTAGTTGAATGCACGGTCCAGAGAATGACATTTTTAAGGCCAGCTAGAAAAAGTCAGTAATGCTCCTTCATACAGTACTATTATTCTACACAGATTATTATACTGAAAAAAGGAATAGTCAGACAACGGAACGAACATTCGCTACTTACTCGTTGTCGTATTTTACGCGCTTAATAACATAAGTCTTGCCATCAATCTTGTGACGAGCTTTGAAAACTTGCCCGTATCCTCCAGTGCCAATTGGTTTGATGTCTGTGAAGTGCTCAAGAAAGCTTAAGAGACAAAGGTCGCAGTTACTCTCCCGAGGTGTGAGCCCACCCACCGCTCCACTGACCCTCCCTTAGCCTGGAGCAGCCTCCGAGCCAGAATCTTCCATTTGCTTGTTTTGGGCTCACCCCTGGCATTCCTGGGGCCCAGTCCCAGCTGCATGGGGTGGAGGATGGGGTCCTGGCTCCATCACGGGGGTGCTGTGCTAGGCCACAGTTCCAAGCCTGGGCTCCTGCATGCAAAGCATGTGCCCTGCCCACTGAGCTCTCTGGCCCTCTAGCCCCAGAACAAAAGCACGTCTGCCACCATGGGAGAACCACATCCCGCCCGAGAGCAAGAGCGTGAGCAGGAGGGGCTGACACTCAGAAAGAGGGCCACTGTTTTTGGTTATGTTTGGGGGTCCTCCCTGGCAGTGCTCGGAGCTTACTCCTGCTTTCACCCAGGGACCATGATTCTGGCGCTTGTGGGGTCACGTGGGGTGCTAAGGATCAAACAGGCAAGCGACCAAGCACCGTATATTGCCCCAGCGCTAAAAGGCGTCCTGTTACGTCCGAGGCCCTGAGCACACTGGTGGGAGCAATGAGCGCAGGTTGACCCGAAACGCCTGCCGGCTGCCCCTCCTGAACCTACCCCCCACGTGAGACAGGCTAATGTGTTCACTGACGCAGAGACTCATAGATGAATCTCAAAAGAGAACAACAAGTTACAGAGGCTCTTCTGGACCCCACGCCAGGCTGAGTCGTCCAGGGCACCCTGGAGGGGCGGCGGTCAGCCCAGCGCCCACACAAGTAGAACCCCAGCAGTGGAAACTTCTAGACTCCACAGTTGCCACCCTGCTACTGGCCAGACCCCACTGCTTAGGACGAGCCTCACCTAGAATATAATTTGCTGAAAAACTCAGGTATGCAGGTTTTGTGGCTGAAATCTCCAGGCTCTCAAGGAGTCAGGGATGGGTGACCCCCCCCATCTCTCTGTATGTCCAGAAGCCCAGATAGTCACACACATATACCCCAAAGCTGCCACCCAGTTAGAATTTAACTGTATCAGCTCGTTAAAAATGTTGGACTTCCAACATTTCAAACTCTACAACCCTGATAAACCAGAGTAAGTCACATACATTCTCTCTCTCTCTCTCACACACACACCCACAGACAAACACACACACACACACACACACACACACACACACACACACACACACACCACACGTGCGGGCCCTCATCTGAACCCGCTCTCAGCAGCTGCCCCTCCACTGGACACGCGACTGCCCTGCCCCCACCCTCCCTGCTCTGGGGTCGGTCCCCAGCACCCCGCACAATGGAGTCTCGCCTGACTGTCCCTCCCTACGAGAAGGACCCAGCACCAATTTTCGCGCTTGATCAGACGCAGAAATTTCCGTGGCTGCCTCCCCTGGCAGGGCTGACACGGCGTCCTGCGCAGGCAGGCTCCTCCTGGCTTCCTTCTCCCCAGGTGCACCCCTTCCCGCCCCAGCCACACCCAAGGGCCCCACGTCCTCCTTTCTTGTGTCCCTCGGCTCGTGGCCTGGCCCCGGCATCCGTGGCGGCGCCTCCCACGCCCGAAGCCCCCAGTGGCCACACGAGTCTCTTCCCGATTCGGTTCCCAGCTAAGGGCTCTTGATTCTTTCCACTCCAGGCAACCCCCTGTGGCAAAAGGGCCCCCGGAATTTCATTTTCATGTTTTCCTTCCAGGGCCTCTCAACGGGTCCTGGGGGCCTCCGAGTTAATCCTGGTGACTCTCGGTCAACCAGGCCAGCAGCTCAATGCTGAGGCCAGGACTGGAGACAGACAGCAGGGGGGCTGACCCGGGTTCAACTCCAAGCACCACACTGGATGCCCGAGCCCCACCAGGAACGACTCCTGAGCACTGCCGGGTGTGGCCCCCAAAGCAAAAAGCGGCAAAACAAGCGGCTGTGTCCCCATTCTCCGCCTGCGCCTGCGAGCGCCTTTGCTCCTGGAATAAGCCCGGGGGCAGGGGCGCCGGCCTCCTCCCCGCGCCCCCGAATGGACAACTGCCGTGGTCTTCCGTGCTCGCCTCAGGGCCTTCTCGGAGACCAAGTGCCAGGAAGCTGAGGCTGCGTGTGCGGAAGGCCCTCGGCTCCGACCCCTGCACACTCACACACATCCACACAGATGAACTCCGCACTCTTACACACGCAGACACGCTCACACTCTCACACACGCACTCTCACCCACCCAACCTCACACATATTCTCACACACATTCTTACATGCACTCACACACACATACACTCACATATACACACTCACTCACTGAAACACACTCCCATAAATACAAAATCTATTGTACAGTCACACACATACACACACTCTCACACACACACTCTCAGCCACACAACCTCACACATACTCTCACACACACTCTTACATGCACTCACTCACATGCACACATTCTCATACACACTCCCACACATGCCCACTATCATACACTCACACATATACACACACTCACACACACAAACCCTCACATGCTCACACACACTCCCACACATGCCCACTATCATACACTCACACATATACACACACTCACACACACAAACCCTCACATGCTCACACACACACTCACACACACACACCTTCACACACAGTCACTCTCACACATACATGCATTCTTACACACACACAAGCCCTCACACACTCACACCCTCACAAGTTCACACACACACACACACACACACACACACACACCCTCACATACACTCACACCCTCACACATTCCCACAACACTCGCTCACTGGCTGCACCCAGACCACCAGGAACTGCCCCGGCAGAGGTCGGCCTGCCTGCAACGCCCCCGCCTCTCCTCACCTCTTCTCCGTGGTGTACAGGCAGCTGTCTGCTGCTGCTGCTGCTGCTGGAGGTGCCCTGAAGTTCAAGAGCAAAATCAGAGGGAAGGAGAATCTGTAAAGAGCAACGGGGCTGGCCGGGAGGGTGCTGGAGGGGGCTTGTGTGACGCCAACAGCTACGAAACCTCCCACTTGAGGGTCTCCTCTGCCCACCTACAGCCTACGGGCCTCTCCTGGCTCCTTCTGGGGCCCTCAAAGCCCCAGGGGGCTCTTGGCGCTCCCCGCCACTGCGTCCTCTGTGCCGGGGGCGGGGGGCCGCAGCCGGGGGTCCCTCTGCCCGCCCCTCGCAGCCGTCTGCTGCCTTCTCCCTCGCAGCCGTCCTCCTCGGCCCCTTCCCTCCCGGTATCCTGGCTGCAGCCTCCTGAGCATCCTCGAGGCCAGCGGGTTTCTGACAAAGGCCCATTCCCCGGAACTATACCCGGCCCTTCCCGGTACAGTTCTTCACACACATCCCAGACTTGGCGCATGAGGCCTCCCTGCTGTGCTATCGCTCAAGCTGCAGTTCTGATTTTAAAGGCAGAAGGAAAACTCTCCGAATGAAACTAATTTTGTTGCTGTCGTTGTTGCAATGGCCAGGATCAATCCCAGGATCTCACACCTGCAAAGCGGGTGCTCCACGGATGAGCTGCATCCCTGGGCCCTGATGATTGTTCACTTGCCCTGTGATCCTGGGGCTCAAACCCCGGACTCTGTGCGTGAGAATCACAAGCTCCCTGGAGTAGCTCCGGCCCCCGCCCCAAGAGCCCTCCTAAGAAGCCTCTTCTAGAGGTTTCTAGAAGGAGCAAGACCAGAAACATATGGGAGAACACGGAGGCAGGGCTGGGGATTCGGCGGGAAGCACGGACGGAGGCACGGGCGGCACCCTGACCGCATCGACAAGGCGGCCCGGGTGCAGGGGACACATGGAGCTGAGCCTGGAGCACTTACCAAGGACGGGGAGGAGTCCCAGCCATCACTGCGGCAGTTTCTGTCAAGGGAGCTTCTTCCAGAGAGCGACTCAAGGGTGCTGCAGGAGGGGATGGCTGAGTTGAGGAACACCCTGTGTCCCCCGGGTCCCCTCATCCTGCAACCGCCCTCTGGTCGCGCCTCACCTGAGCCTGCGGGATCTGAGCAAGGAACTGCTCTCACTGCTGGACGCGATGGACGCCTCCGGGGGCACTTCGGGTCTCTGGAAGGCACCACGGCTGCGATCAGGCCCCACTGCAACCTCACCACACTGCCCAGCGCCCAGGGGACATCCGTCCGCCCCTAGTGCGTGTCCGGTCCAAAAACGCTTTGGGGGGGCCTCAGCACCGAAACCCCAAGGCCCAGAGGTGGGAAGAGAGCCCTGGGGTCTGCAGCATGACCGGGGCACACAGGCAAGACTCAACACGACACGCAGGGAGCAGCGCCAAGCCCAGGGCGACGCCTACCGCGGCCGCGTCCTCCGAGTGGAACTTCTCAAGGGCCCTCTGGGCGGCCAGCTGCTTGGCCTTCTGCTTGGAGCCAGCCAACTCCCTGCCGTAGACTTTCCCGTTGATTCTGCACGTGACCCGAAACCTAGGGGCAAGGGCAGAGAGAGCAGGGCCGAATAGCTGCAGAGCCCTGCCCGGTGTGGTCTGCTTTGGGGGCCACCCTGCCGGTGCTCAGGGGCCACTCCGGGTCCCACACTCAGGGATCACACCTGGTGGTGCTCAAGGGACCACATTTGATGCCAGGGGTCAAACCAGGCTTGGCCGAGTGTCTGGGCAAGAGTGATAGCACAACGGGTCAGGCGCCTTGCACACACAGTGACCCGAGTTTGAAGCTCAGGACCCCATTTGGCCAGGAGTCATCCCTGAGCTCAGAGCCAGGAGTAAGTCCTGAGTGCCACCAGTGTGGCCACCGCTTCCCGAAACAAGAGCCAACAACAAAACCCCCGTACTGCCTCTCCAGCCCGGCACCAAGAAGTCCTGAGTCTGATTTACGACTTGAAAGGAAAAGTCAAACCCAGTAACCAGCCAAAGTCTCATCAGAACAGTGATGGGGGGGAGGGTCCTGTTTCAGCCCCCTGCGTCTCGGCCTCTGCCTTTCCCAGCTGGTTTCTAACGCTCCGGCCATCGAAAGCTCAGTCACAAAAGCACGGAATGCTGATTTTGTTTTTAATTCCCCAAATATCAAATGCTAACTCCATGGAGGAGGAGGAGGAGGTGGAGGTAGAAGAGGAAGAGGAGGAGGAGGAAGAAGAGGAGAAGGAGGAGGAGGAGGAGGAGGAAGAAGAGGAGAAGGAGGAGAAGGAGGAGGAGGAGGAGGTGGAGGTAGAAGAGGAAGAGGAGGAAGAGGAGGAGGAGTAAGAAGAGGAGGAGGAGAAGGAAGAGGTGGAGGAGCCCTGGCGATTGTTCAGAGGTGCGTGAAGGGGAAGGTGACCCGGACATGGTGGGGACCCCACTGTCCCCGTACCCTCAGTCACCAGGCTTTTGTGATGGGCGAGCAGCACAGCCAATTCCGAGAGCACTGGGCTAGGAGCCTTGGGAGTGAGACCGCCTGGACCCTGCACAGACTATGTAAAACCCAGGTTTAGAATCGTCGGCCATTTCTTGTCCGGGAGGAGTTGGCAGAGGCGCTGTGCCAATGCCTGGTCACTCCTCTACGAGGGGACATGCGACCACATCAGTCTCCAGCAGGCACATGCCCACCCCCTCCCCCGGCCCCATGAAGGAGGCCCAGTGGTTCGTGCCATCCTCTGCCTCCGGGGGTGGCAAGGGCCAGAGCCTGGGTGGACCCACTCACATCCCGTGTGTTTGCGTGGGAGCCACAAGGTCACGAGTGCAAACACGGGTGCCGGCACCCAGCCTAGGGAGGGGTCAGGGCGAGGGACACCCAAGGCAAATGTGGGGGTGTGGGTTCTGAGCGCAGAGCCAGGACACACGCACACGCACACACGCACACACACGCGCACACACACGCACACACGCACACGCGCGCGCACGCTCGAGGCGGGTGCCCAGGGCTCAGGGAAGACCGGCGACCCGGGTACCCAGACGCGCGGGGTAGACGGGGCCTTGAGGGAGGCGGAAGAACGTTCTGGAAGGCGCGCAGCGGCGCGGGGCGGCGCGGGGCTGCGCGGGCGCGGGACTTTCCGGCGCGCGGGAAGTAGCGGGAAGCCGCTGGAGGACGCGGCCGGCGCGCCCCGTCGGGCCGAGCCGGGACGCCGGACGCCGCCCCGGAGGCCGCCCCCAGGCCCGGGTCGCTCCCGCGGGACCCCGCGCCCCTTCGGCCCGGGACAGCGCCCCGGGTCCCCAGCGCGCCCTGACCGCCCCCCGCAGCTCCCCGCGCGTCCGGGTCACGCCCTGCCCCCCGCGATGCCCCGCGCGACCCCCCGGACCCCAAACCGCCCCGACCGCGGGCTGCTCCCCGCCGACCCCCCGCCCTCCCGGTGGGCACCCAGATCCGCCCCGCCCGCGCCCGCGGCCTGCCTGGCCGCCCCGGGCCCCGTCTGTGTCCCCCCCGCCGTGCCCGGCCCGCTGGCCCCGCTTACCCGGCGAGACCCGGGCCCGCAGCGCGCGCCCCCGATGCCCCCGGCCCCGTCTGTGCCCGGCCGCGCCCGCGCGCCCGTCTCCTCGGTCCCGGTCCGTCCCGGTGCGCCCGCGGCCGAGTCTGTCCGAATCCCTCCCACCCCGCGCGTGGTTTCGTTTTCCCCGCGGGCTCCGCCCCGGACACAGGCCGCCCGCGAATCCGGGCGCAGCCTCAGAAAGTGGCCGGAGAGCGCGCGCGCGCACACACACACGCATATACACTGTCACTTTCACTGTCCTCCTGCTGGTCACGGATTTGCTTGAGCGAGCGGGCACCAGTTCCGCCCCGGACACAGGCCGCCGGCGAATCCGGGCGCAGCCTCAGGTCCCCCCTGGCTGGAAACCTGGACAAGTGCCCGGAGTGCGCGCCCGCGCGCGCACACACACATATGCACTGTCACTGTCACTGTCACTGTCCTCCCGCTGGTCAGCGATTTGCTCGAGCGGGCACCAGTTCCGTCTCCATCGTGCAGGAGGGCCGAGGGCCCGACTCACCCTCCGAGGAGACGAGCAGACGCCCCAAGCCCTGAGCACCCCCACTGCGACTTCCGTTCACATTCAGTGGTTTTCCCTATCACAGCCCGTGAGCCCTGATTGGGTTACGCCCTCAGCCACTGGCATAATTTCTTTCTGTTTTGACTCTCCTTGTGTCTTTTTTATTTTTTTTAAACTTTTCTACTTGGGTATGTTAAGTCGCAATTTCTAATCAATTACTGAAATCAAAGCATTTATTTATTTATTTAGCGGGCTGGAGCGATAGCACAGCGGTAGGGTGTTTGCCTTGCAAGTGGCCAGCCCAGCAGAGCGGGGTTCGTTTCCTCCAACCCTCGCGGAGAGCCCCGCAAACTACCGAGAGTATCTCGCCCGCACGGCAGAGCCTGGCACGCTACCCGTGACGTATTCGATATGCCAAACACAGTAACAACAAGTCTCATGATGGAGACGTTACTGGGCCCGCTCGAGCAAATTGATGAACAACGGGAGGACAGTGCTATTTATTTGGGGGGGTCCCACCTGGGATGCTCAGGGGTCCCTCCTGGCTCTGCACTCAGGAATTACCCCTGGCGCTGCATTTCCCTCCTTTCTCTTGGCACCGGGCTCATTTTCTCCTCCCCCGGGCAGTGGTGTCGCCTTGGAGGTGTGATGTCTCGGTTTTGCCGTTAAACTCTGACCTGGGTCCCCCGCCCTCCCCGCCCTCCTCTGGGTGCAGTCTCCGAGAAATTCCCCCGGGGCTCGAAGTCACTGCCACAGGAGTGCGTGTCGTAGCCGCCCTTTGCTGATCCTGTGGATGCGCACGGGGCTGGGGCGGAGGAGCAGGGATCCGGCCTGGGGACCGCGGGGTCCTCAGGAGCTGGTGGGGCTGCGTGCTTGCGTGCAAAGAGCGAGTTGGCAGCTGAGGGTTTGTGTTGGGATCCGCATCGTGACAGCACTCGAGCAACGGGGCTTCCCCGTGGGCGGTATAAAGTCGCGCGTTCTGCTTTGTCTTTCAGGTGCTGGGATTGTTGAACCGATTCCTCTTAATGTCAAAACCGGTAGGTGATCCTTTTCGAGCGTCTCGGCTGTTCCACTTTGCCTTGACGTGTGTTTGCCAAACAGATGCCTTTCCTCGAACGTGGTGTCGTCGCCGATCTTGTGCCATAGAACCGCCTCGGGGACGTGTCTGAGGTTAGTGTAGCTGGTCAGGTGCTTGCTTTACACACGTCTGACCAGATTTGGTCTCTGACACCCCATGAGGTCCCCAAGTCTCACCAGGAGTGACCCCTAAGCGCAGAGCCAGGAGTAAGCCCTGAGCACTGCTGGGTGTGGCCCAAAATAAAACAAAGAGTCTGTGTGGTATTGCTGCCTTGTTTGAGCAGATCGTGAGCTTGGGAAAAATCAGACTGTGCATTTGGGTTCTAGTAAAAATAAACTCAAGAGTCGGACTGGAGCGATAGCACAGCAGGTTGGGCTCTCGCCTTGCACACAGTCCCCTGCATCCCTTATGGTCCCCCAGCACCGTCCGGAGTGATTCCTGAGCGCAGAGCCAGGGGGAACCCCTGAGCATCGCCGGTGGGACTCAGAAAGCCCCAGCCGAAAAGAAGCCTCGGGTGTCATTTCGTGTCCTCCTTCCCGGCGAGAGACCTCGCCTGCCGGCCGGAGGGCGGGCGGGGCTCACGGAGTTCTGTGTCGAGCAGGGAAGAGCGGCGTGGGCCACGAGGCGCTGCTGAAGCGGAGAGCGGCGCAGAGGCGGGAGCGCGCGCTGCGGTGGGCGCGGCTGCAGAGCCTGGCCGCGGAGCGCGCCGCCGAGCAGTTCCGGTGCGGTTCTGGGTCTGGGGAGAAGAGAACCGAGGGTGGAGCTGGGGGCGGTTCCCTCGGAGGCGTGGGGCTTCCTGCGCGCAGCCCCCCGGCTCGCCCGGCCCGCCGGAGCCCAGGGCCCAGGGGTGCGGGAGGGGCCGCGGCCAAGGGACCCCGGGGCGCCGGAGGGGGCCGCGGCGGACTCTGCCCTCTCGCCCAGATTGCGCCTCAAGACGAAGCAGGACGAGGCGAAGCTGGACGCCGACCTGCGCAGGAGCCAGCGAGCCTGCCAGCAGCTGGACACGCAGAAGGCAAGACCCACCCCCCACCCCGCACAGTCGGGGTCAGCCGTGGTCCCCACAGCCCCTTGGGACATGGCTGCTGTCACAGGCTGCGAGTCTCCCGCTGTGGGTCGGGCTTTTGACTTCCCGGCCCTGGTGTCTGGGGGACTCTTCACCGCAGTGCTCCGTCCCAGCAGCCTCCGAGCTCCCCGCCTGTCCCAAGGGAGCAGAATCGCGCTCAGGCCCCCTTCGGCCAGCCAGAGCCCCACGGAATTTGTTTAAACTGCGCGGGCTTAGGCACCGCCAGGGGTGGCCCCGAAGCGCTCAGCCTGGGACGCGGGGCAGGGAGGCTGGGAAGGAGCTCGGGAAGCCGCCCTGGGTCCCGGACAGTCAGGGGCGGAGGCTTGGGGGAGCCTGGGCCAAGAGGCTCGAGCGGACAGTGACCGGCCAGTCTCCCCCGTCAGGCAGTCCAGGGACAGCCACTGCAGCAAGTGGAGCTGCGGAACTGCATGGCCACGCAGGAAAACGGAGCCGGAAACATCTCCCACCCTGCAACAGCCTGTGCAGACTCCAGAAGACAGCTGAGGCTCTGTCTCTCCCGCCGCCCGCGTTCGGGAGTCTCAGGCCGGTTCCCCACCCCGGGGAGGGCGATGGGATGGGCGGGCGGAAGAGGGACACGAGGGCCAGGCGGTTGGTGTCCGTTGCAGCTTATTCCCTGCCCATCTCCGTTCCTCTCCGCCTCTCCTCCTGCCTCTTCCTCCGCCATGCTACGTCATTCTCCTCCTCGACCCCCTTCATCTTCCTTCTCTTCTGGAGCCTGGATCCTGATGCCCCAGCCCACTCTTACAGTCTCCTTAAATCCCAACGTATGAGGGGTTGGGGCTCACACATGCGTGTGGTCACGATCAATAGGGGTCAAGTTCTTTCCCTCGGGGAAAGCCGCTTCCAGGACAGATACTCCCTCAGCAGAGCAACCCACCCCAGAGCCGAATCCCCTGGGTGTGTTTCTCCTCTCCTTGTCCAACAAACGTATAAGCACTCCTAATATTAATCATTTTGTATGCACACAGAAATACATTAAGCTTGTAGAATTGCTCTCCTAGGGCCCTCTCGATCTCAGACTGCAGTGCTCAGGCCAGATAGTCTTTCCTGTCCCTAGCAGGGTCCTAGTCTCGTCGTTACTTTTGGATCACGACAATATTTGTCTGTGATCAAACTCTTATAGTTAAGAATCGTGGCACTTTGGCCAGGCCCATTTCGACGACAGGGTCGCTCACAGCTTGCCCTGGGTCCATTCAGTCCCTCGTCGGGACCCTCCCTTTGGGGTGCTAGGAAGGAGGGCAACTGAGGCTAAAGTTGAGAAAGCAGATGCCTGGGGGTGAATAATGTGCAAAGCCAATTAAATCCTAAGTTACAAAAGCATAATATTAGCAGTCGCAAAAATCCATTTAATGTATTGTCCTCGGAGAGAGGACATATCAGATATTAAACTGATAAGAACAGATACTACCCATTTGCGGCCACGCGGCATCTTATCATCTCGTTCCTACTTTGGACAAACTGGCAGGCTACCGAATGTAACCTGCCCACACAGCCGAGTCTGGCAAACTCCCCGTGGCGCACCCAATATGCCAAATACCAGTAACAACGATGGGTCTCATTCTCCTAACCCTGAAAGCGCCTTGAATATGGCACTTTTTAAAAAATCTCAGGGCTAGAACGAAGGAGACGTTACTGGGGCCTGCTCGAGGCAATCGACGAACAACAGGATGGTTGTGATCATCTTCCTCTATCTATACAAAAAGGAATTTGCTTTCAAGTAAACTATTCAAAAGACATAAGGGGAGGAGAAAGGCAATATTAGCTTACAATACAATTTCAGTGTCCCAGAAGGATCTGAACTTACAAATGAACAAAGTCTGATTAGAGGAAAAACTGATTGACTGGTTGGGGAGGAGAGCATGGAAGTGGGGTCAGATAAACAAAGGAATGGGAGTGACTCGGGAGCACTGTGAGTGATGGGTGTGCCCCGATAAACCTAGGCTCCTTGTGGCAAGGGAGAAAGGAGAAATCAGCCGTAATCCTACCAAGTCAGCACACAGTGGCCCAGAAGACCTTGAGATGCGACCAGAGCCCACAGGGAGACGGGCAGAGCTCTGCAGGGCACAGGCCCGAGAGGCGCTGCAGTGACCCACCTCCGGCTCGCGTGGGCGAGGGGGCTGACCACGAGACCACGGCTGCGTGACAGCTCCTCCTTCCGGGCTGATCTTGAATGCGCCCAACAGCAGCAGCTATGGGGGCAGCCCCCCAAGGACCTCCACAACCCCAGAGCCCCAGACAGTGTCCTGGCCGCTCACGTCTGTCCGTCTGCCCTCCCCTGGCTGTTTCTGCTAAGGTGGCAGCCGACTCATTTCTGCTCTCTGGTAGCAAACGCGGCGTTACCGAGGGTCCGGGCGACAGCCAATCAGACGGAGGAGGTCCGACACGGAGGGACCCGCTGGGACTCTGGACTACCCAGCCCCTCCCTGCCTTTCTTCCTCCCTAGCCTTGCACTGCATTTACTGGCATGCGTTTTCACGGCTGCGTAACATTGCCCTGGGGGAAACGACCAGATCGACTTTCCTTGGGCTGGACATTGGTTTTGTTCCCTGTTCTTTCAGCTACGAGAAACAAGATTTCTAGAACATTCTCTCAGGCCTGTGTGTCCGAATGGATTTGGTGTCTTCCAGAACTTAGAAACGTTTAACTGTCTTGGATGATGCCAATGTGACTACACATGATTTTTTTTATAAGAAAACATTCATGTTTATTTCATTTCATTTCATTTCATTTCATCATCCTGTTATTCGTCGATTGTCTCGAGCAGGCCCCAGTAACGTCTCTTTCATCCTAGCCCTGAGATTATATTCAAGGCTATTTAGGAGAATGAGACCCATCATTATTACTGGTATTTGGCATATTTGGTACGCCACGGGGAGTTTGCCAGACTCTACCCTGTGGGCAGGCTACATTCGATAGCCTGCAAGTTTGTCCAAAGTAGAAATAAGACAATAAGATGTCTTAAAAAAAAAAGTTCTGTTAAGATGTCGCGAGGCCGCGAATGCGGCCGCGCGGTTCCGGGATCTGGATTTTATAGTCTCTGAGTCTTGGCCGCTGATGGGATTACACGGCGCCAGGGGGCCAGGTGGTGGGTGTGACCCCCGCCTACTGGAATTTGGAGGATCTGGGTGGAAGATGCTCGACTCCAATTCGAGTAGGCTTGGAAGTCTCGGCCCCGGAACCCGCGTGGCTTTGTCCCTCTGCCAGTACCTTCATGTGTGCGGAGAGTGGTCTCAGCATGGTGGTGGCTGGTCCTGGAGGTCTTCGGCTGCTGTAGCCCTGGTCGGTGCGGGGAGGAAAGCTCAACCCGCTCCCCTCCAAGGGACTCCGGGAAGGAACACCCAGGCGCGGGGGCAGAGACTGCACTGTTCTCGTCCGGGATCTGGATTTTATAGTCTCTGAGTCTTGGCCATTATCGAAACATGTTTTTCTGCATACTCAAAGGGGTCGACATTGAATATGGACAGCAAGTTAGCTCACAAGAAAGAAAGCGAAAGGCACAGATGCAGTCGGCTGGTAGACTTCCAGCAGCCTGGTATAAAGTGCAACAAAAATGTCCCTGCAGGATATTCCACGCGTTTCCGATCGATGACCCAGAATCGGTCAAGTCTGTCTGCTGGGGCAGACGCTAGATAATATATTTTCCAGAGCTCCTTTGGAATAGCCCGAGATCTCGCGTGGCCACGACCGTGAATGTCAATTTCGAGATCGTAAATGCTTGGGGTCCAGAGACATCTCTGTAGGCACCAATCCGTTTTGGATTCAGTTGGGAGCCCCTGGGCCAGGGCTGTTGGTGTGCTAAGACGACGTCCAGAGGCAAATTGTGGGCGTGACAGCCAGTCTTCCGGGCAGGTGGTGACTCGGTGAGGGACAGCCCAGTTCCTCTGCCGCCAAGCGGCCTGGAGATTTAGTCCTGGAACCTGCAAACCTGGGCCCTGCTTGTGGAAGCTCTTGGTCACCGGGACTCCATCTGGAGCAGGTGGGGAGACTGCACCTGCTCCATCCGGGGTGCCCTGTGATATTAGGTTGGTATGGGGCCCAGAGAGATCTCCGGCACTGCGGTGTCTTCTGGGACTTGCCTCTGTGTCTCTGGGCCAGGTATGTGGGTGCGCTATGATCCACATTACCAAATTTTCAGCAGATTGTGTCTTGGTGAGGTCCGTCCTGAGACAGTGGACTCAGGCCTGGGGTATGCGGCAGTTTTAGATTCTGGGAGCAAGTGGCTACCAGGGACCCCTCTTGGGTGGGCACAGGCCAACACGCCCCCTCCAGTTCGCTCGGGTCTGCTCAGCCATGAATGGGTCCGAGCTTAACCATGGGCCCCGATCTCCCCGAGACCCATCTAGGGTCTCTGAGGCAGGCCAGCAGCAGGGCCCGCAGGGTAGCGCTGGACTTGGTGCGTGGGGGTGACCGCCAGTGCTTCTGTGTGCGCTGGGAAGTGGGCGAGGGAGCCCATCCCAACTGAGAGTGAGCTTGTGTAGCTGAGCCGGAGGTGGTTTGTGGGTCTGACTCCCACAAACCTAACTTTCGGCCGTTTCATTTCTTGACAAACTTGTTCCCAAGTTGTTGGGGTTTGGCCAGGGGCACAGTGGCAATTTTGGGGTGTCAGGAAGCCTGAAGGCAAGATTAGGCTGCTGGTGCCCTCGCCGCAGGGGACAGGTTGGCCTGCTGGTGGCACCAGAACCCCCACATGACTTTTTTTTTAAGGACCACTTCTCCCACTAGCTCGTTAGATATTTAAGACCTAGAATAGTCTCAAGAGATTTTGGTCTGGAAACGGTACGTATTTAATAAAGAATTCTTTTAGCACTGCAGCACTGTCCTCCCGTTGTTCGATTTACTCGAGCGGGCCCAGTAACGTCTCCATTGTGAGACTTGTTGTTACTGTGTTTGGCATATCGAATATGTCACGGGGAGCTTGCCAGGCTTTGCCGTGCTGGTGGGATACTCTCAGTAGCTGGCCTGGCTCTCCGAGAGGGGCGGAGGAATCAAACTCAGGTTGGCCGTGTTTGCCACGTGCAAGGCAAATGCCCTACCCACTGTGCTATCGCTTTTACTTTTACTAATTTATATCAGAAAATTTAGGGCAACTTTTTTTCTCTCATCTTCATAATGAGAAATCCTAGGCGAAAATCAAGTGCAAGAATGATTTTTAGATTTATATGATTGATTTTGAAGTTAAAAGGGAAAGTTCTCTGTAAACTTAAAAAAAATGTTAAGAGAATAATAATTTAAGATAAAAAAAAATGGGTCCCACCCGGTGATGCACAGGGGTTACTCCTGGCTCTACACTCAGGAATTACTCCTGGCAGTGCTCAGGGGACCATATAGGATGCTGGGAATCGAACCTGGGTTGGCCGCGGGCAAGGCAAACACCCTCCCTGCTGTACAACTGCTCCCGCCCCCAGTTTTAACAATTCTCCCTAACAAGTTCTTAACAGTTCCTAGACCAGGAATGTCGGCAGCGGCCTTCTCCGAAAGACTCTAGCACGTCCTGTGCTCGATGGACCCAGCCCCGTCCTTCCAGCTCCTCAAGGTATACAGCAGTTCCTGAGCACTGGGTCGCTTCGAGGGGTCCAGCGCGAGTAATTGTTCCAGGAGAGCTTTCTGGAACGAGAGCACAAATCACCATAGAGTGAAAGAGCGCATTTTCACGCATAACACGCAGAACCAAACGCCACTCGGCTGCCAAACGCTTACTTTTCTGCCGCTGAATTCTTTGGGGATTTCTCCTTCCTTTAGCTGTGAAAAGATCTGAAAACGAAACATGAACGTGGTCGTTAGGAAGCTGTTGGCTTGGGGTGGGAATTCACCAATGGGGACCCCCACCCCGGCCAGGGCTCCCTCACCCCACCCCACACCACCTTGTCCCAGAAAAGAAGCTGCCCCCGCGGGAGGCCCGTGCTCCTCAGGCCCGCCGCCCCACTGTGCTCCTGCCGGCCACGGCCCCTCTGCCTCAGGGCTGCCGCCTCCAGGGAAGCCACACGCCAGCCCTGTGCGGGTCACTTGGTCACTCCCTGCCAGAGGCAGGCGGGCACACCCCACTCTTCAGGAGTCGCTTTTTCCTGTCTTCTGCCTCCGGGCCACACCCAGCTCAGCGCTTACTCAGGCTCTGCGCTCAGGGTCACTCCTGGCCGTGCTCAGGGGACCAGGTGGGGTGGGGTGCCGGGTTGGCTGTGTGCAAGGCAAGTGCCCTGACCACTGCCCCCCTCTCTCTTTTCTCTCTCTGTCTCTCTCTCCCCCTCTGTCTCTCCTCTCTCCCCTTCCCTCTCTCTCTGACTCTCTCTCCCTCTCTCTCCACCCCCCATCTCTCTCTCAGTCTGTCTCCCCCTGTCTCTTTATGTCCCCACCCCACAAGCATCTTAAAGACGGCAAAGCAGGTCATCCATCAAATCGCTCACCCCATGGGCCCGAGAGCCAGCAAGGGCTCCGGCTCGCCTTGCATGCCACTGACCTGGGTCCAGTGCCCTGGCACCAGGAGTGACCCGTCAGCACCGCTGGGTGCGGCTCAAAACACAAAGGGACAGACTGGTTTCAAGAGGAAGTGCCAGCGCGAGTCAGCCGGCTTCCAGGGGCCGGGACTGCCGGGTGTCGGGCCTGGGCCTCTGAGGGACCCAGCACTCCCTGGGGCACTGGCAGTGCAGGGCGGAGATGTCACGCGGCAAGCAGGCGCTTGCCTGAGCCAGGCTGCCCGGCTCTGATCCCGGACACCGCCTGGTCCTTCAAGGAGCGGCTCGGGACAGGGAACCAACCACAGGGTTCGTCTCTAGGAGAAATCTGACTTCAGGAGCAGCCAGAGATCAAGTCCCTCTTGACTGCAGCCCGCAGCTGCCCGGTCCAGCCCGAGTGGCCCTGGCGACTCCCCCCAGAAGATTCACCTTTGCCATTTCTGAAGAAGTTTTACAGATGTGAGTAAGTTCCACGTAAATGATCCCCAAGGCATAGATGTCCACTTTGTTTCCATAATCGGTTGAGGCAATCTAAAGAAACCAAATTGTATTTCCCCTTAGGACGCTCTTGATAATAACATACATGCCTTCCCAAGCCAAAAGTATTACTTGACCAAAATGTCTTTTTGGGGGGAGGAGGGCTCAGGGCTCACTCCAGGCTCAGTGCTCAGGGCTCTGGGCTCAGACTCAGCCCTGGCAGGGACCAGCCTTCAGGTGTGCCCTTGCCTGTGGCTGACCCCAGCTGACCCCCATCTTGGCACCACAGTAGCCGGAGGACCCCAGAGGAGAGCCCAGAGGCCCCCGAGCAGCCCGTGGCACCCCAGGGAACTCCTGGTCCTTGGCACGGAGCAGCCGTGAGTCGGGAAGGGCCTGGGTTTCCTGAGCACCAAGCCCCGAAGGAAACGAAACCAGTGAAATAATATCGGGCAGGAGCGGCCGGAGCCAAAGTCCACTGGGCAGTGCATTTGCCTTGCATGCGGCCGACCCAGGTTCGATCTCCGGCAGTCCGTAGGGTCCCCCAAGCACCTCCAGGAGTGATTCCTGAGTGCAGAGCCAGGAGGAACCCCTGAGCATCACATCGGGTGTGGCCCAAAAAGAAAAAACCCAAAACAAAACCACCAAAGAATATGGGGCAGGAGAGACAGCTCAGGAGGTATGTCTGGGTCCCTGGGTTCCACCCCTGCACCACAGGGCCCCGCATCCTGCAGAATGCGACCCCCGCCAGAAGCGTTCCAGGCAAGGCCAGAGCCGCCAAGGGCAGGGCACCAGGCCGAGCACGGAAAAAGAAAAAGAATAACATGGCACTGGAGAGACAGTACCGGGGAATGCCCCATCCTCAGCACGGCTTATGGCCCTGAGCACTGAGCTGGAGAATAATGTTAAAATAAAGGTAAAGGTAAAGGCCCTCCCGTTGATCGTCGATTTGCTCGAGCGGGCCCAGTAACGTCTCCATTGGAGACTTTGTTGTTACTGTGTCTGGCATATCGAATACTCTCGGTAGCTTGCCGGGCTCTCCGAGAGGGGCGGAGGAATCGAACTCGGGTCGGCCATGTTGGCCGCTTGTAAGGCGAACGCCCTACCGCTGTGCTATCACTCCAGCCCGTAATGTTAAAATAACAAGATAAAAGTGTGGGTCCTGAGGAGACAGTACAGGAGTTAAGGCAATGAACCGTCTTCAGCACCCAACCCAGGTCCGACCCCCACGTGGGCCCCGAGGACCAACCAGCATCACTCTTGGGCAAAGAGCAAGGCTGATGTGGCCCCCAACCCAGCCCAGCCCCCCAAAGGGAAGAGCCCCAAGGCGGGCAGGAGGGCACTCGCCTGTTCCGGGCTCATGTACCGTCGAGTCCCCATGCCCGTTGTCCGTTTGCTGTCGTTTTCCAGGGCGGCGACGAGCCCAAAGTCTCCGATCTTTATTTGCTTTTCATCCACCAGAAATATATTCGACGGCTAAGAAACGGACAAGAGCAGCACCGTTTCACAGACGCGCCAGCCAGCCAAAGCCCCTTGAGCAGCGGCTGCTGGCATGTGGGCTCCTGAGGGCGCCACTTCCCGGGGCCCCAGCAAGCAAGCTCATGAAGAACTGTGCCGACCCCCACCCCGACCCCCAGCCTAGAGCACCCACTGCAGAGAGACGCTGAGAGTCTCTCTCGAGGATCAGGGCCCCGAGAGAAATTTCCTTTACCGCTGTGGACCCAGCGGTGCCCAGGACTTCCACACCCCTGGGTGCTGCTGGGGACAGAACCGAGTGGCAAGCGCCTTACGCCCACTCATCTCTCGGGCCCTGCCTTCCACTTTGGGAGGGTCTGGGGGAATGCGGGTTCTCGGCAGGGGCCCGGGCACAGGCGGGCTGGAGGCCGCAGCCCACTGCTGGCTGAGCGTCCGCCAGAGCAGGCCAGACACGGCCCACAGACCCGGGCTCACGAGGATCCACGGGGGCCCAGAAAAAGCGTCTCCACCACAGAGGCTGTTCTCGCCTCCTCTGTGTACCGGGGACAGCGGGCTGAGGACTCTCACCCTGTCTCGCTCTTCATCTCCTTTTGCTATTTGTTTTTTTTAGAATTTTATTTTGAGGCCAAACCCGGTGGTGCTCAGGAATCACTCCGGGGTGGGGGTGGGGGAAGGGGTGCAGAGCATATATGCGGGTACCAGGGATCCATCAGGGGTGGCCATGCGTGAGGCAAGCAACCTCCCTGCCAGACTAAGGAGTCCCCCCCAACCCACACCCCGCAGGGTCCTTGCTCCAGGCCAGTCCTTGCCCCCAGATGCTGATGGACACTGACAGGGCTTTACTGCACCCCATTTGTTTAGGGGGAAGCTGTTTCGGGAGTTTCCCGAGTCCTGGGGGCCTCCGGTGAGTCTCGCCCCACCGGGCCGTGCATTGGCCTTGGGCCTTTTCCTAGAGGCTCCAGGCGAGCGTGGACACGACATTCTCCAGGGGACGCCAGCAAGACGTGTGCAAGGCTAGCCGGTGGCCTGACCGGCAGCTCTGTCTCACAGCACCTCTGACCCAGGAGGGGACATGCAGCACTAGACATGGCCTGTCTGGGGGCACGAATGCCCAGGAAGACCCCAGACTCGGGCCTACAGCTGGAAGCTCCTCCTTCCCCAAGAGGTGAGGGGCCAGGCCTGGTGTCGCCTTCTGAACGCACCGGAAGAGGAACTCAGGTGTCATCACCACTGGCCAGAGCAGGGGGCCAGGGGAGGGAGGGGAGTTCAGGATCACCCCAGCCTTCAGGAATCAGACACAGCTCGTCCAGGCTGGTCATGTAAAGGCTGCAGCAACAGTACAGAGGGAGGAGGCTGGCCCTGCGCTGCCGACCAGGGTTCGAGCCCCACCAGGAGTGATCCCCGAGTCGGAGCCAGGAGTCGTCACAACCATGCCGCTGGGCCCTGAGCCAGGCTGATTCACTCGGGGCGACCCGGAGGAGGGCGGGTGGGACCCGTCCCTGCCCCAAGGGACCCAGCCCAAGCAGCCCAAAACCTCCAGAACTCAACTGCCGCCAGGCTCACGGCCCCTTTCCACACCTCGGGCCGAGCCTCACCCTCAAGTGAACCTTTTCCTGGACCGCACAACCAGCCCTTCACACCACACAGCCCACCATACTCCACGAGCACCGCACCACATTTGATGGGGCTCAAAGCAGGAGGCAACCAGTCTAGAGGGAAATGTTTTTTTACAGATATATATATAGATAGATAGATCGATAGATACATAGGTAGGTAGATAGATATAAACCACATAAGGCTCAACCTTTAGCAATATGTTAACGAGCTCTTACAGAAGGGCTTAATGGCCCCTGGGTAGAAGACAACAATCTTCACAGTCTTTCCTCTAAGGAAACCTTTTTGTAGCATTTTCAGCGATACAAAATATACTATTTCGGTTCTACTTTGGGGCAGGAATTGGGACTCGGGATGGAACCATCGAAATATGGTAGCGGGAAGGTGTGATGGTGGTGGCGTTGGTGTTTGAATAGTAAATGTAATCAAAGATTGTGAACTACTTTATAAAATAAAAAAGAAATGAAGGGAAAAATAAAAGCTGAGAAGACAGATCTGGAATTCCTGAAACGCTACCGCTCAATTCCTGATGAAACTTTTACCACTTACCTTGAGGTCTCTATGAATATATTTTTTTTTGTGTATGTAATTCACACCTTCAACTATTTGTTTGAAAAACTGTAATGCCAGGGTCTTGTCGGGCTTCTGATGCCTCATCCTGTCGATCCACTGGTCCAGGGTCCCCTGACCACAGAATTCCATTTTGATGAAAAGGCATTCAGTCTCCGGCCTGGACCCAGGATTCACAGCAACAGAGAGAAGAAAACCCAAACGCAAAGGTTTAAGAACTACGCTTTGTCTTGCAGAGGCTTTGAAAACACTTTTGGTTCTACTCATTTCTGATGTTTAGAGATGGTATTCGGGAAGGAGGGCCACAGCCGGCGATGCTCGGGGCTGACTCCTGGCTCTGCACTCCGGAATCCCTCCCGGCGGGTTCTGGGGACCAAACCCGGTCACCCGTGTGCAAGGCCCTGGTCGTACTTTAGTGTTTCGTGACAGAAAAAAAAGGTGAGAGCCCGGGGCCTCCCACTGCAAAGCTCTACTGCTGCTGTGGCTTCTCCGTGCCCCTCTCGGGACAAGCCTTTCTGCTCAGAGCCCCAGACACTCTCTGGATTCCCCGTCTTGCCCAACGCTGAGCGGTCAGCAGCTGCCCGTGGCGACATCGGGCCCTGGTGCGCACGCCCGGGCCCGGCCTGTCTCCAAGGCAGTGGCTCCTGCGAGCCTGATCCTCGGCTCTCACCGATCTGCCTCGGGCGCACAAAGCTGTCCACAGTAGCACGAGGGGGCACAGAGGTCGCACAGCGGGCAGGGCGCTGGCCTGCCACCGCGTCTGGCCCCTGACCCCCACGAGCAGGGGTCTCTGAGCACAGAGCCAGGACTTAGCCCTGACAGCTGGGGACCAGGAGCGGCCCCCAAACAAAGTAACCATTTATTTTCTCTTTTTGGGTCACACCCGGCGATGCTCAGGGGTTCCTCCTGGCTCTGCACTCCGGAATGACTCCTGGCTCTGTGCTCAGGGCTGAGTCCTGGATGACTCCTGACTCAGTTCTCAGGGCTGACTCCTGACTCCGTGCTCAGAGCTGACTCTTGGCTTGGTGCTCAGGGCTGACTCCTGGCTCTGTGCTGGGGCCTGCAGAGGGGCCGGGCCCCTGACCTGCCGTGACCTCCGCCCTCTCTCATGTGAGGCCCCCCACACGTGGGAAAGGTGCGTCCTGGCCCTGAGGAGCAGCTTCTGCAGGAGCGTCCGGGCGGGCTCTGGAGCCGAGCGTCTGGGTGTGGGGCCAGTTCAGTGCTGGGCTCCAGAAGCTCTGCTACTGGGGGACACACTGGCAGTGCCCGGGGGCCCCGGGACGACCAAGCAGTGCTCAGGGGTCCGCCCTGGGGGTGCTCGGGGCCACGTCCGGCGCCGAGACGGAGCCCAGGCGAGCCAAGGCGAGGAGAGGACCGTCGCCCTGTGCGGCGTCCCAGCCCCTTCCCGAGACCTCGGCGAGTTACCTCCACTCGTAGTCCCTGAAGAGTCGGTCGGGGCCCTTCCAGCAGTCGTGGTAGAGAACGATGTTCGGGTGCCTGAGCTCCGCCAGAGCTTCGACTTCACGCTTCACTTTCCTGGGGAAAAGAAACAAAGAAGCCAAAGTGAGGAAGAGCACAGGGACGCGGAGTCCCCCCTGACAGCACACGCTGCCTCCCCGGCCCTTCCGAGGTCCCCGCAGCCCGTGGCCCAGAAAGGATGCTGCGGCACTCACCAGGGAAAGAAGCGTCGCGAAGCCACTGCCCTCCGCATGAAAGCAGCAGCAGGAGCCCCTGGCCGCATGTGCAGAGCCCAGGGGTCAGTCCCAAGCCCCCGCCCGGGGCCCCCTCGGCCCAGCCTCGAGCCCCCACACGGCAGAGCGGAGGGAAGCCGGCGGCAGCGGCTTCTGCCGTGCCCAGAAAGGGATTCCGGGGCCAGGCGCGCGCTGGGATTCTGCAGCCTGCACTGATGTCAAGTCACGCTGGATTCTGTGAGCAGCTGCCTTGGGTGACAAGCACTGACTTCCCCTCTCCACTCCCCCCTCCTTCCGACCTCCTCCTCTCATCCTTCCTCTCTTCCCTCCTTCTTTCCCTCCTTTCCTTCCTTCTCCTTTCTCTCCTATATCCCTCTTATTTTCCATCCATCCTTCCTTCATTCCTTCCTTCCTTCCTCCTTCCTCCCTCCCTCGATCCCTCCCTCCCTCCTCTATTCCTCCCTTTCTTCCATCCTTCTTTCCTTCCTTCTCTTCTTCCCTTGTTCCCTTCCTCCTTTCTTTCCTGTATTCCCCTGATTTGCCTTCCTCCCTCCCTCCCTCCCTCCCTCCCTCCCTTCTTTCTTTTCTTTCTTTCTTTCTTTCTTTCTTTCATTCTTTCCTTCCCTCTCTCTTATTTGCAGTGCAGATAATTTCTACTTAACTCTTCTCTACATTGATTACATTCATTATTTCGACAAAAGATGCACCATTATTGTTTAGAATTTCCCCCCAGACAATCAGAATTGCTGAAAATGCATTGTGAAATATTTTGCTTTCTATAGCTGGTTATGAGAATCATATAATGTCATGCGGTCACGATTTTGGATTTTGGCAAAGAGCTAGATAATTATGAGATGGTTTCTGTGTATCTGGTGTTATGGCCGTGCTGAAGAGCCACTCGTGGGGGGTAACTCATGACATCGGTAGGGCATGAAGGACGAGCTGGTACCGCCCCCCTTCCCATGAGACTGCAGTTGCCCCATCACAGCCAGCTCCTACCTGGCTTTCCTGTAAGCTCTGAGGCAGCGACCACCTTGCTGCCAGGGGGGGAAAAGGCAGAAGGGAGCAACACCCTCTCCCTCCCGGGGAGGCACGGCGCCGTAGTTGAACGCACGGTCCAGAGAATGACATTTTTAAGGCCAGCTAGAAAAAGTCAGTAATGCTCCTTCATACAGTACTATTATTCTACACAGATTATTATACTGAAAAAAGGAATATCAGACAACACTTTCAGACAACGGAATGAACATTCGCTACTTACTCGTTGTCGTATTTAACGCGCTTAATAACATAAGTCTTGCCATCAATCTTGTGACGAGCTTTGAAAACTTGCCCGTATCCTCCTTTGCCAATTGGTTTGATGTCTGTGAAATGCTCAAGAAAGCTTAAGAGACAAAGGTCGCAGTTACTCTCCCGAGGTGTGAGTCCAGCCACCGCTCCACTGACCCTCCCTTAGCCTGGAGCAGCCTCCAAGCCAGAATCTTCCATTTGCTTGTTTTGGGCTCACCCCTGGCATTCCTGGGGCCCAGTCCCAGCTGCATGGGGTGGAGGATGGGGTCCTGGCTCCATCACGGGGGTGCTGTGCTAGGCCACAGTTCCAAGCCTGGGCTCCTGCATGCAAAGCATGTGCCCTGCCCACTGAGCTCTCTGGCCCTCTAGCCCCAGAACAAAAGCACGTCTGCTACGATGGGAGAACCACATCCCGCCCGAGAGCAAGAGCGTGAGCAGGAGGGGCTGGCACTCAGAAAGAGGGCCACTGTTTTTGGTTATGTTTGGGGGTCCCCCCTGGCAGTGCTCGGAGCTTCCTCCTGCTTTCACCCAGGGACCATGATTCTGGCGCTTGTTGGGTCACGTGGGGTGCTAAGGATCAAACAGGCAAGCGACCAAGCACCGAATATTGCTCCAGCTCTAAAAGGCGTCCTGTTACGTCCGAGCCCCTGAGCACACTGGTGGGAGCAATGAGCGCAGGTTGACCCAGAAGGGCCGCCGGCTGCCCCTCCTGAACCTACCCACCACGTGAGACAGGCTAATGTGTTCACTGACGCAGAGACTCACAGATAAATCTCAAAAGAGAACAACAAGTTACAGAGGCTCTTCTGGACCCCACGCCAGGCTGAGTCGTCCAGGGCACCCTGGAGGGGCGGCGGTCAGCCCAGCGCCCACACAAGTAGAACCCCCGCAGTGGAAACTTCTAGACTCCACAGTTGCCACCCTGCTACTGGCCAGACCCCACTGCTTAGGACGAGCCTCACCTAGAATATAATTTGCTGAAAAACTCAGGTATGCAGGTTTTGTGGCTGAAATCTCCAGGCTCTCAAGGAGTCAGGGATGGGTGACCCCGCCCCATCTCCCTGTATGTCCAGAAGCCCAGATAGCCACACACATATACCCCAAAGCTGCCACCCAGTTAGAATTTAACTGTATCAGCTCGTTAAAAATGTTGGACTTCCAACATTTCAAACTCTACAACCCTGATAAACCAGGAGTAAGTCACATACATTCTCTCTCTCTCTCTCACACACACACCCACAGACAAACAGACACACACACACACACACACACACACACACACCACGTGCGTGCCCTCGTCTGAACCCGCTCTCAGCAGCTGCCCCTCCACTGGACACGCGACTGCCCTGCCCCCACCCTCCCTGCTCTGGGGTCGGTCCCCAGCACCCCGCACAATGGGGTCTCGCCTGACTGTCCCTCCCTTCGAGAAGGACCCAGCACCAATTTTCGCGCTTGATCAGACGCAGAAAGTTCCGTGGCTGCCTCCCCTGGCAGGGCTGACACGGCGTCCTGCGCAGGCTCCTCCTGGCTTCCTTCTCCCCAGGTGCACCCCTTCCCGCCCCAGCCACACCCAAGGGTCCCACGTCCTCCTTTCTTGTGTCCCTCGGCTCGTGGCCTGGCCCCGGCATCCGTGGCGGCGCCTCCCACGCCCGAAGCCCCCAGTGGCCACACGAGTCTCTTCCCGATTCGGTTCCCAGCTAAGGGCTCTTGATTCTTTCCACTCCAGGCAACCCCCTGTGGCAAAAGGGCCCCCGGAATTTCGTTTTCATGTTTTCCTTCCGGGGCCTCTCAACGGGTCCTGGGGGCCTCCGAGTTAATCCTGGTCACTCTCGGTCAACCAGGCCAGCAGCTCAATGCTGAGGCCAGGACTGGAGACAGACAGCAGGGGGGCTGACCCGGGTTCAACTCCAAGCACCACACTGGATGCCCGAGCCCCACCAGGAACGACTCCTGAGCACTGCCGGGTGTGGCCCCCAAAGCAAAAAGCGGCAAAACAAGCGGCTGTGTCCCCATTCTCCGCCCACGCCTGCGAGCGCCTTTGCTCCTGGAATAAGCCCGGGGGCAGGGGCGCCGGCCTCCTCCACGCGCCCCCGAATGGACAACTGCCGTGGTCTTCTGTGCTCGCCTCAGGGCCTTCTCGGAGACCAAGTGCCAGGAAGCTGAGGCTGCGTGTGCGGAAGGCCCTCGGCTCCAACCCCTGCACACTCACACACATCCACACAGATGAACTCCGCACTCTTACACACGCAGACACACTCACACGCTCTTACATGCGCTCACACACACATGCACTCACAAATACACACTCACACACTCAAACATACACACTCCCATAAATACATAATCTATTGTACAGTCACACACAAACACACACTCTCACACATGCACTCTCAGCCACACAACCTCACACATACTCTCACACACACTCTTACATGCACTCATACACAGATACACTCACATATACACACTCACTCACTGAAACACACTCCCATAAATACAAAATCTATTGTACATTCACACACATACTCTCACTCTCACACATGCACTCTCAGCCACACAACCTCACACATACTCTCACACACACTCTTACATGCACTCACATATACACACACATTCTCCCACACAGGCCCACACATGCCCACTATCATAGACTCACACATATACACACACTCACACACGCACTCTCTCACACACACACACCCTCACACATATTCTCATACACTTACATGGGCACTCGCACACACACAAACCCTCACACGCTCACACACACACACACACTCACACCCCTTCACACACACTCACACCCTCACACACCCCCACAACACTTGCTCACTGGCTGCACCCAGACCACCGGGAACTGCCCTGGCAGAGGTCGGCCTACCTGCAACGCCCCCGCCTCTCCTCACCTCCTCTCCGTGGTGTACGGGCATTTGTCTGCTGCTGCTGCTGCTGCTTCTGGAGGTGCCCTGAAGTTCAAGAGCAAAATCAGAGGGAAGGAGAATCTGCAAAGAGCAACGGGGCTGGCCGGGAGGGGGCTCAGGGGCTTGTGTGACGCCAACAGCTACGAAACCTCCCACTTGAGGGTCTCCTCTGCCCACCTACAGCCTACGGGCCTCCCCTGGCTCCTTCTGGGGCCCTCACAGCCCCGCGGGGCCCTTGGCGCTCCCCGCCACTGCGTCCTCTGCGCCGCGGCCCCCGCAGCCGGGGGTCCCTCTGTCCGCCCCTCGCAGCCGTCTGCTGCCTTCTCCCTCGCAGCCGTCCTCCTCGGCCCCTTCCCTCCTGGTATCCGGGCTGCAGCCTCCTGAGCACCCTCGAGGCCAGCGGGTTCTGACGAAGGCCCATTCCCCGGAACTATACCCGGCCCTTCCCAGGCCCTTCCCGCGGGACAGTTCTCCACACACATCCCAGACATGGGGCATGAGGCGACGAGCCCTCCCAGCAGGAGGCTCCTGTTCCAGCCAGACTCACCCCTCTGCCAGCCTGGGAAGGCACTCAGGACTCTGAAACACAAGAAAGCAGGAGGACGCCTCAGCAGGGCGCCACCCTCCCTCCTCCCCCTCCTCGCTGGCCCTGGCCGCATTGCTGTCCGTGAGACAAATAATCGCACCCGTTTCCGCATCCTCCTTCGATCCCTGGCCCCATGAGGGTTCTCACACAGATACATGCATCCATGTTGTCCCACGGACAAGCGGACACACACAGCAGGCAGGGCAGAGACGCCCACAGTGAGCCGTGACTGCCAGGAGCCCCGGTTCTCGAGGGTCCCGGAAGGCCCATTTGAAGGTTCGTCCTCGGAGCTGAGAAGCTTCTAGTCTCACTGGACCCTCGGGGCTTTCTGGCCTTCTCAAGACCGCAATGATGGTGTGGAGAGACGGGACGGGGGTGGGTGCACAGCCCACACGGGCTCCCTCAATTTCCCAGCACCCCAGAGCACCCCCGGGGCCCACAAGGAGGGAACAGTGAGCACAGAGCCAGAAGTAAGCCCTGGGCAGAGCAAGACAAGCAAAAAGGTCCCGCACTGCCAACGTGTCCGTCTCTGGACGACTTTAGTGCCAAATCCAAAAGCCGAGTCTTTAGAGCTCACTGGTGGCAACATCCTGAACGCACAATCCTCATTTTCACTCAGTTCTCATTCTTTTTTTCTTTTTGGGCCATATCCAGCAATGCACAGGCGTTACTCCTGGCTCTGCACTCAGGAATTACCCCTGGTGGTGCTCAGGGGACCACAGGGGATGCTGGGAATCGAACCCGAGTCGGCCAGGTGCAAGGCAAACGCCCTCCCTGCTGTGCTATCGCTCCAGCCGCAGTTCTGATTTTTAAAGGCAGAAGGAAAACTCTCCGAATGAAACTAATTTTGTTGCTGTCGTTGTTGCAATGGCCAGGATCAATCCCAGGATCTCACACCTGCAAAGCGGGTGCTCCACGGATGAGCTGCATCCCTGGGCCCTGATGGTTGTTCACTTGCCCTGTGATCCTGGGGCTCAAACCCCGGACTCTGTGCGTGAGAATCACAAGCTCCCTGGAGTAGCTCCCGCCCCAGCCCCAAGAGCCCTCCTAAGAAGCCTCTTCTAGAGGTTTCTAGAAGGAGCAAGACCAGAAACATATGGGAGAACACGGAGGCAGGGCTGGGGATTCGGCTGGAAGCACGGACGGAGGCACGGGCTGGGCCCCGACCACACCGACAAGGCAGCCCGGGTGCAGGCGACGCGTGGAGCTGAGCTCGGAGCACTTACCGCTAACTGGGATGAGGCCCAGCTTTCACTGCAGCTGTTTCTATCAAGGGAGCTTCTTCCAGAGAGCGACTCGGTGGTGCTGCGGTAGGGGGTGGCTGAGTTGAGGAACGCCCTGTGTGCCCCTGGGTCCCCTCGTCCTGCAACCACCCTCTGGTAGTGCCTCACCTGAGCTCGCGGGATCTGAGCAAGGAACTGCTCTCACTGCTGGACGCGATGGACGCTGCCAGGGGCCCTTGGGGTCTCTGGAAGGCACCACGGCTGCGATCAGGCCCCACTGCGACCTCACCACACTGCCCAGCGCCCAGGGGACATACGTCCGCCCCTAGTGCGTGTCCGGTCCAAAAACGCTTTGGGGGGGCCTCAGCACCGAACCCCCCAAGGCCCAGAGGTGGGAAGAGAGCCCTGGGGTCTGCAGCATGACCGGGACACACAGGCAAGACTCAACACGACACGCAGGGAGCAGCGCCAAGCCCAGGGCGACGCCTACCGCGGCCGTGTCCTCCGAGTGTAACTTCTCAAGGGCCCTCTGGGCGGCCAGCTGCTTGGCCTTCTGCTTGGAGCCAGCCAACTCCCTGCCGTAGACTTTCCCGTTGATTCTGCACGTGACCCGAAACCTAGGGGCAAGGGCAGAGAGAGCAGGGCCGGGTAGCAGCAGAGCCCTGCCGGTGCTCAGGGACCACTCCGGGTCCCACACTCAGGGATCACACCTGGTGGTGCTCAAGGGACCACATTTGATGCCAGGGATCAAACCAGGCTTGGCCGAGTGTCTGGGCAAGAGTGATAGCACAACGGGTCAGGCGCCTTGCACACACAGTGACCCGAGTTTGAAGCTCAGGACCCCATTTGGCCAGGAGTCATCCCTGAGCTCAGAGCCAGGAGTAAGTCCTGAGTGCCACCAGTGTGGCCACCGCTTCCCGAAACAAGAGCCAACAACAAAACCCCGGTACTGCCTCTCCAGCCCGGCACCAAGAAGTACTGAGTCTGATTTACGACTTGAAAGGAAAAGTCAAACCCAGTAACCAGCCAAAGTCTCATCAGAACAGTGATGGGGGGGGGGGGGGAGGGTCCTGTTTCAGCCCCCTGCGTCTCGGCCTCTGCCTTTCCCAGCTGGTTTCTAACTCTCCGGCCATCGAAAGCTCAGTCACAAAAGCACGGAATGCTGATTTTTAATTCCCCAAATATCAAATGCTAGCTCCATGGAGGAGGCGAGGAGGTGGAGGAAGAGGAGGAAGAGGAGGAAGAGGAGGAAGAGGAGGAAGAGGAGGAAGAGGAGGAGGAGAAGGAGGAGGAGGAAGAAGAGGAGAAGGAGGAGGAGAAGGAGGAGGAGGAGGAGGAAGAGGAGGAGGTGGAGGTAGAGGATGAAGAGGAGGAAGATGAGGAGAAGGAGGAAGAAGAAGAGGAAAAGAAGGAGGAGGAGGAAGAAGAGGAGAAGGAGGAGGAGAAGGAAGAGAAGGAGGAGAAGGAGGAGGAGGAGGAGGAGCCCTGGCGATTGTTCAGGTTGTGCGTGAAGGGGAAGGTGACCCGGCCATGGTGGGCACCCCACTGTCCTCTCACCCCCAGTCACCAGGCGTTTGTGATGGGCGAGCAGCACAGCCAATTCTGGGAGCACTAGGCCAGGAGCCTTGGAAGTGAGACCACCTGGACCCTGCACAGACTCTGCCCTCCCGAGTCTCCAGAGAGGGTGGGACACCCCAGGGTGTCCCCTGCATTCCTCTCCCTGGGCACCCCCAGGCGGGTCTGTCCCAGGGACCTCACCGGGGCGCCAAGGGTTCGAGGGTAGGAGACTGTTCTCGGGCAGACTGACCCTCACCCCGCCTCAGGGAGCACCTCATGCCTCCTTCCAGGGAGCACCTCATGCCTCCTTCCAGGGAGCACCTCCAAACTTCCTTCCAGGGAGCACCTCCATGCTTCCTTCCAGGGAGCACCTCATGCCTCCTTCCAGGGAGCACCTCCATGCTTCCTTCCAGGGAACACCTCATGCCTCCTTCAAGGGAGCACCTCCAAGCTTCCTCCCAGGGAGCACCTCCATGCTTCCTTCCAGGGAGCACCACATGCCTCCTTCCAGGGAGCACCTCCATGCTTCCTTCCAGGGAGCACCTCATGCCTCCTTCAAGAGAGCACCTCCAAGCTTCCTCCCAGGGAGCACCTCCATGCTTCCTTCCAGGGAGCACCTCATGCCTCCGTCCAGGGAGCACCTCTATGCTTCCTACCAGGGAGCACCTCATGCCTCCTTACAAGGAGCACCTCCACGCTTCCTTCCAGGGAGCACCTCAGCCTCCGTCCAGGGAGCACCTCTATGCTTCCTTCCAGGGAGCATCTCATGCCTTCTTCCAGGGAGCACCTCTATGCTTCCTTCCAGGGAGCATCTCATGCCTCCTTCCAGGGAGCACCTCCATGCTTCCTTCCAGGTGGGGGCAGAGATGGCGGCCCGGCCTGGCCTCCCCTGCAGCTCGCTCCGGCCCACTCTGCTCCCCCCACTCCAGCACCCCTCATGCCAGTCACCCCAGGCTCTCGCTGGCACCCTCCCAGCATGCGGCCTGCTCTGGAGAGCGACACCTCGGCCGCCAGAACCGGGTCAGCCCTGCTCGCAAGAGGAACCCCGCCCGCACACCCCCATCCCTCAGGCCAAGACCACCCGTCTCACTGGGTCCTGCTCTTCAACCTCTATTTTTATTTTTTTTTTTGGCTTTTTGGGTCACACCCAGTGATGCACTGAGGAATCACTCCTGGTGGTGCTCAGGGGCCCATATGGGATGCTGGGGATCGAACCCGGGTCAGCCGCGTGCAGGGCAAACGCCCGCCCCACTGTGCTATCGCTCCAGCCCCATCTTCAACCTCTTCACCCTGCGCCGGCGCCTTTCGTAAAGACCAGCCCGTGGGCCGGAAGCCGTGGCAGACAGGGGGCTGAAGACCACCGAGCTGGCGGAGCGCAGACAGAGGGTCGCCCAGATCTAGTCAATCGCCAGACAGGAAGCCCAAGACCCAGGCAGTGGAGCATCGAAAAATACTTTCCGAAGAGGACCCCTGGGGCACCCGCAGTGATTTCTGGGGAATCAGTCACGGGAGAAGCCCCGCCAGAGGCCAGACTGCAGAAACCACCAGCTGGGAACTCACTGTTGGGGGCTCCGTTCTTCACAGTCGTATAAGACCTGCAGGCCGTTCTTCTGGGCATACGTGTTGAGCTGACCCACGTGGTTCCCAGCACCGGTGCCTTGCGAAGGCAATTTCGCGGCCGGTGAGAAAGAGCTTCTGACCTACCGAGGAAAAAATAAAACCCTTCTTTTCTTTTCTTCTTTTTCTTTCACTTTTGGGTCACATCCGGCGATGGTCAGGGGTTCCTCCTGGCTCTGCGCTTAGGAATCATTCCTGGCAGTGCTCGGTGGACATTATGGGCAGTCGGTTCTCATCACTTTGTGGCGGTTCCGGAGTCCTCTGGCAGTGGCCAGCAGGGCTGGAGGCTCAGTGCCAGTGCCCCGGCCTGCCCCGAGGCCGAAATGGGCCCCCGGGCTGCACACTGGGAGCCCCTGCGGAGCCCAGGGGGAAGTCACCTCCCCCATGGTGCCACTTCAGCCGGGACCCTTGACTTGGCATCAGAAACTTTCCCGAGGCTGGGAGAGCCTGTCGGAGCCTCCTGGCCCTGGCCCTCGGCGTGCCGGCCTGCGGTGTCCTGGCCAGGCAACCGCGCCAAGCCGGCTTCCCAGGAGCGCCCCCGCGGCCCCGTCCTCTGCCGCCTCCTCTCCTCCCCGCCACTGCCCACGGGGTCCCGGCTCTGTGCCTCAGTGCTCAGTGGGCTCAGGGGACCTGCAGTGGCCGGGCCCGGAGTGGCCCCAGCGGGCACGGCAGACGGTCCCCACACCCTCCTCCCTCGTGCCGCCTGTCTCCCAGGTGCTCAGGGCTTTCAGTGACTCAGTTCTGTCACGGGTGGGGGTGCTATTCCCCGACCCTGTCGCTGTGCTCATCCCCCGGATGGTCTTTGTCTCAGAAACACCTTCAAGGGAGAGCTCTTCAGAAAGCGTCTCTGTTGTTTTTTGGGGGGGAGTGGGGAGGTGTTGGGGTGAGAGCCAGCAGTGCTCCGGAAACAGTGCTCAAGGATCCAAACGCAGTGCCAGTTGGAGTAGGGTCGGCCCCTTACAAGACAAGCACCTCAACTCCTGTTCCGGATCTCCGAGCCCCAGAGGGCTTTGCCGGACGCTCTGCCCTCCTTGCAGACATGGGCTGGACCTCTGACCCCTGGTCCCCTCCCTCTCCTGCACCTCCGCCCTCCGCCAGCAGGGGGCCAGGGGGCGCAGTCCTGGCAGCCGGGTCCTTCCCACCCAGACACCCGACCTGGGCCTGACTGGCTGTCCCCGCTGGCTCCTCCAGGGCCTCTCACTGGCGGGTGGGGGCTACAGACCTCAGAAGGCAGAGGGCCGACGGGGGGAGTCTTTCCTCAGCACCCACCCAAGTGACGAAGCATGTTTGTGAGGCCCTCGGTGCCTGTGTGTGTGTGCACGTGTGCGCGTGTGCGTGCGTGTGTAGTCTGGGTGTCCATCCGTAGGGCTGAGAACCTACTCATGACCCGTGTGTGAGTCTGTGTATCTGTGTGTGTGTGTGTGTGTGTGTGTGTGCATGTCCATGTGTGTAGACTGAGGACCCACACACGCTCTGTGTTCATGTGTGCGTGTCCATGTGTGTAAGCTGAGGACCCACTCACGTCCCATGTGTGAGAGTCTGTGTGTGTGCGTGTGTGTGTGTGTGTGTAGGCTGAGGATCCATTCATGTTCTGTGCGCATGTGTGTGCGTGTGTGTGTGTGTGTGTGTGTGTGCGCACGCGCACAGGTGTCTGTGTGTAGTGGTAAGGACCCACTCACATCCCATGTGTTTGAATCTGTGCATGTGTGTGTGTGTGCATGTGTGTAAGCTGAGGACCCACTCACGTCGTGTGTGTGTGTGTGTGTGTGTGCATAGGCTGAGGATCCATTCATGTTCTGTGCGCATGTGTGTGCGTGTGTGTGTGTGTGCGCGCGCGTGTGTGTGCACGCGCACACGTGTCTGTGTGTAGTGGTACGGACCCACTCACATCCCATGTGTTTGAGTCTGTGTATGTGTGTGTGTGTGATGTGCGTAAGCTGAGGACCCACTCAGGTCCTGTGTGTGTGTCTGTGTGTGTGTGTGTGTGTGTGTGTGTGTAGGCTGAAGACTCACCTGCGCGTTCAGAATCTCGAGTGCGATCTTGGCCGCGCCGTTCTTGGCTTCCTTCTTATTGCTGCCCCCTGCTGCGGGGAACTCTTTCCCGTCGATGACCACCTGAAGTGCAAACCTGACGACGGAGGAGAGTCACAGTCTGGTGTGTGCTGTGAGGACCGGAGCCCGGTCACCCTCCTGCCATGGTGCCCACGGCTGGCAGAGGCCACCGGTGTCCGGTCCAGAGCCCAGCGGTGTCCCCGGGAACAGGGAGCCTGTCTGAGTAAGTCGTTTCATGCCGGGACCCTCCTGGACCGTCAGGGCTACAGCCCGAGCCCAGTGCGGTGACTTTAAACAGACACAGGGGCTCCCAGTTCCCAGGGTTGTCCCTTTTTCATATAAAAATGGGGGGCCACCCCCAGGCGCGATGCAGGACAGCGTCCCGGCTCTGGGTGGGCCAGCGGCCAGGGGACACCAGAGCCGTGCGTGGGTCACAGGTGCCACGGCAGGGCGGGCTCTGAGTGGAGACCCACCTGAACTTCTTCAACAGGGGCGAGTCGGTCAGCTCCCGATACTGCACCTCTCCGCTGTGCTGCTGTTTGAATTTGTTAAGTTCTTCTATGTAAAACCCAGGTTTAGAATCGTCGGCCATTTCTTGTCCGGGAGGAGTTGGCAGAGGCGCTGTGCGAATGCCTGGTCACTCCTCTACGAGGGGACATGCGGCCACATCAGTCTCCAGCAGGCACATGCGCACCCCCTCCCCCGGCCCCATGAAGGAGGCCCAGTGGTTCGTGCCATCCTCTGCCTCCGGGGGTGGCAAGGGCCAGAGCCTGGTCTGGGTGGACCCACTCACATCCCGTGTGTTTGCGTGAGAGCCACAAGGTCACGAGTGCAAACATGGGTGCCGGCACCCAGCCTAGGGAGGGGTCAGGGTGAGGGACACCCAAGGCAAATGTGGGGGTGTGGGTTCAACCCCCCAGAGCTGCAGCCCACGCCGTGGCAGCCCCCACAAGCCACATGTCCAGGGTCCCCCAGCAAGGGGTAGAACTAACCCAGCAGGGCCAGCCTGCCTGAGGAGGTCCATGGGGGGCTCAATGGGTAGGGCACTTGCCTGGCACACCGGACCTGGGTTCAGCCCCCAGCCCCATACAATCCCCAGGGTGCCACCCTGAGCACAGAGCCCAGAGTTAGCCCTGAGCACCACCAAGTGTGGCTCAGAAACAGAGGGAGAGAGGGAGAGAGAGGCGGCGGGGAGAGAGAGAGAGAGAGAGAGAGAGAGAGAGAGAGAGCGCCCATGTGAGTGGCACTGAGAAGGGAACAGCTGAGAATAGAGGTATAAAGTGAAGTTTGTGGAACCTGGAAGGGATTTAGCGCCACGGAAATAGGTTTCCCATAAAACCCTGTTCTCCCAGTCTGAAATCTGCAGCAGGCGGTTCTGGGGTGGGGGCTCCATGGAGTGTTGGGGGTACCCAGGGGCCATGCGGGCTGGGCCGAGCATTCAGAACGCAGGTCAAAACGCTGAATCTCTAGGGGGGAAACTCAAGGACCACTGGGCATCCCACGGGATCTCACTGATGCCAACCGAAGCCCCAGCAACCCAAGTGAAACCCAAGGAAAAAGAGAAGTGCACTTCCCGGAAATGAAGATGTTTATGCCAAAGGACAGTATGAGGAAAAGGAAAGGAAATGTGGGGGGTGGGGGGGCACTTCCCAGGGGGACAAGGGCAGCTTGAGGCTGCACAGCTTCCCTGACACCACGGCTGAGCCGGGTTCGATTCCCGAAGCCCACCAGTAGAGGCTCCTGAGCGCAGAACCAGGAGGGAGCACTGAGTGCAAGCGCGCACACACGCGCACACGCGCACACGCACACGCGCACGCTGGAGTTGGGTGCCCACGGCTCAGGAAAGGCTGGCGACCCGGGTACCTAGAGGCGCGGGGTAGGCGGGCGCCCTGCGGGAAGCGGAAGAACGTTCTGGAAGGCGCGGGGCGGCGCGGGCGCGGGACTTTCCCGGCGTGCGGGAAGTCGCGGGAACCCGCTGGAGGACCCCGCCGGCGCGCCCCGTCGGGCCGAGCCAGGACGCCGGACGCCGCCCCGGAGGCCGCCCCCAGGCCCGGGTCGCTCCCGCGGGACCCCGCGCCCCCTCGCCCCGGGACAGCGCCCCGGGTCCCCAGCGCGCCCCGACCGCCCCCCGCAGCTCCCCGCGCGCCCGGGGCACGCCCTGGCCCCCGCGATGCCCCGCGCGGACCCCCGACCCCAAACCGCTCCGACCCCGGGCTGCGCCCCGCAGAGCCCCCGCCCCCGGGCCTGGACCCGCCCACCCTCCAGGCGGGCACCCCAGAGCCGCCCCCGCCCGCGGCTTGCCCGGCCGCCCCCGACCCGCTACCTCCGGCCCCGTCTGTGTCCGACCCGCCCGTGCCCGGCCCGCTGCAGCCGCCGACCCCGCGCTGCCCCCGGCCCGCTGCCCCCGGCCCCGTTCTGTGTCCGGCCCCGCCGTGCCCGGCCCGCTGGCCCCGCTTACCCGGCGAGACCCGGGCCCGCAGCGCGCACCCCCGATGCCCCCGGCCCCGTCTATGCCCGGCCGCGCCCGCGCGCCCGTCTCCTCGGTCCCGGTCCGTCCCGGTGCGCCCGCGGCCGAGTCTGTCCGAATCCCTCCCGGCCCGCGCGTGGTTTCGTTTTCCCCGCGGGCTCCGCCCCGGACACAGGCCGCCCGCGAATCCGGGCGCAGCCTCAGGTCCCCCTGGCTGGAAACCTGGACAAGTGCCCGGAGTGCGCGCCCGCGCGCGCACACACACATATGCACTGTCACTGTCACTGTCACTGTCCTCCCGCTGGTCAGCGATTTGCTCGGGCGGGCACCAGTTCCGTCTCCATCGTGCGGGAGGGCCGAGGGCCCGACTCACCCTCCGAGCAGAGGCCCCGAGCCCTGAGCACCCCACTGCGACTTCCCTTCACAGTCAGTGGTGTTCCCTAGCATGGCCCGTGAGCCCTGATTGGGTTACGCCCTCAGCCACTGGCATAATTTCTTTCTGTTTTGACTCTAGTTGTGTCTTTTTTTTTTTTTTAACTTTTCTACTTGGAAATGTTAAGCCGCAATTTCTAATCAATTTCTGAAATCAAAGCATTTATTTATTTATTTAGCGGGCCGGAGCGATAGCACAGCGGTAGGGTGTTTGCCTTGCACACCGCCAGCCCTGCTGAGCCGGGTTCGATTCCTCTGCTCCTCTTGGAGAGCCCGGCAAACTACTGAGAGTATCTCCCCCGCAAGGCAGAGCCTGGCACGCTACCTGTGACATATTCGATATGCCAAACACAGTAACATCAAGTCTCACAATGGAGACATTACTGGTGCTTGCTCGAGCAAATTGATGAACAACGGGAGGACAGTGCTCCAGTGAAGTGCTATTTATCTGGGGAGGGGGTCACACCTGGGATGCTCAGGGGTTCCTCCTGGCTCTGCACTCAGGAATTACTCCTGGCAGTGCTCGGGGGACCATATGGAATGCCCAAGCATTGCCAGGCGTGGCCCCCAAATCAAATGCGGGGTCTAAGGGCTCCAAACCTGACCCCCCAGCCCAAGGGGCAGTGCTGTGGGGACGACCCCTGAGCCCCACCCCTGGGGTGCCCTGGTGCCCACACCCCACACCCCAATGGTGGGTGATCTTCATTGTTCAGTTTCGGTTTCGGTTTCGGTTTTGTTTTCCACTTTAGGTTTGGGGCCCCCAAACTAAGACTCCCCCTCTGAAAGGAGAGAAGGACGGAGCAGCCTCGAACAAACAAAGGCGTGGCTGTCTCGTGGCACCTGTGGCTTCTCCGGCGGGCACGGCGCCTCTGCCCTGTGTGTCCGGCGCCCTGTCCTGTCGGCTCTCTTGACTCTGGAAGTGTGCGGTCACTAGGGCCAGTGTGCAGGCGGGCTGCCGGCCACTGCACTGGCCCCGACACCGGGCTCTCCTGGTGCCCTCCCCACTCCGGTCTCCCTGAATCCTTACTTGATTCTCTGATCCCACTTTGATTTTGTTTTGCATTACATTCAGCGATGCTCAGGGGTTACTCCTGGCTCTGCACTCAGGAATCACTCCTGGCTGTTCACGGGGACCCTATGGGATGCCGGGGATCGAACCCAGGTCAGCCGCGTGCAAGGCAAATGCCTCCCCGCTTCGCTATCGCTCCAGCCCTTATATATGTGTGTGTGTGTGTGTGTGTGTGTGTGTGTATACATATATATATACATATATATATAGTAACCGTCAGGAGAAAACCATTTTCCTTCTTTGTTTTTATTTAATAATAATAACGATGATAGTCATTATTATGATTAGGGTTGAGGTGGGGCTCAGGGACTCAAGGGTGCTGTGGCTTGGCCACTGCCTCCCCCGTGTCGTCTCTGCAGTTCCCGGAAAGATTTCCCGAGCCTCCATCTGGTCCCTGTCCTGGGAGCAGGGAACAGGTCGCTGTTTGTTTTGTGTGCCAGGCCTGCGGCCCAGGGCCTGGAACATTCCACCACCGAGGCCCAATGCTCCCAGCCCAGGAGAAGGGTTGGGGCTCTGAGCCACCCTTTGCTCGGTGCGAGCGTGTGGACCGTCCCTCTGCAACCTCCAAATCTCACGGGCTTGGGCTGTGGGGACGCACTAGGCAGAGTGGAATATGGGGACTGTGAAGGGCCCAGAGCGTGGCGGCCTGGGAGGGTCAGGCTGCGGGTTCCAGCCCAGGGGCCCGAACGTGACTGAGTTCCTTTGGGCAGCTGTGCTGTGGCTGGCCAGTGTCTCACCACAGCCCGAGATGGTGAGACCCTGGAGAGCACCCGTCAGCCAGCCCACCTGTTAGCCCAGTGCACCCATCAGCCAGCGCACCCATCAGCCCATGAGTGCACTGTACCCATCATCCTGGTGCCGTGTATGCGGCTAACCCCAGTTCAACCCCTGGCACCACCAGGAGTGATCCCTGAGCACAGAGCCAGGAGTAAGCTCTGAACATGGCCAGAAGTGGCCCCCTCACAAAACAAACCACATAGAAAGTTCCTGGACCGGAGCCATAGCACAGTGGGGAGGGCGTTTGGCTTGTGTGCGTCCGACCCAAGTTCAATTCCTGGCATCCCATAAGGTCCCCTGAGCACCGCCAGGAGTGATTCCTGAGTGCAGAACCAGGAGGAACCCCTGAGCATCACCGGGTGGACCCAAAAAGCAAAAAAAAAAAAACCCAAAACAAAAACAAAGTTCCTGGAAAGTGGGGTGACATGTGAAACCAGCATTTCTTCTTTTGAATTGCCTTTTGATTCTTCTGAATCATCAGGTTTCAGTCACACAACGCTCTAGCACCCGTCACTCCACCAGAGCACATTCCCCACCACCCATGTCTCCCGCTTCCCTCCCTCCACCCCCGCCGCAGACACCCAGCCCGCCTCTACACACCAGCCTCTATGACCCTGCCGCTTCCAAGCTTGTTTCCTCTCTGTGGTTCCCCTGGCCTGCAGCTGACCCCCAAGTCTCGGGCTGTGGCCTCCCGTTTATGTGATTTTTACCTGTGACCCCCTTGGAATATCCTGGGGGTTCACGTGACGCCCCCATGGAGAACATTGGTCTACGCTAGTCACGATTCTCTTCGGATCTTCTCGGACATTTCCTCTTGGAAGTATCCCCGAAAAGGGAACACAGGGATGGGGTCAGAACTGCAGGACACTGGGGAGGGCGTGTGCCTTGCTGGCAGCTGACCCAAGTTCGATTTCTGGCTCCCAATATGGTCCCCTGAGCACCTCCGGGTGTGGTTCCTGAGTGTAGAGCCAGGAGTAACCCCCGAGTATTGCTGGGTGCAGCTCATAACAGCAACAACAACAACAAATGAGCACAGTGAAATTTATACTTAGGAAATCAAGTCTGACGGTGATTGCTAACTTTGTGTTAAGTAGCTAAGTATTATGAATATTATTTGCCCAGTGGATTAAGCTGTTGAATCAAATTCAATCATTACTAGTAACTCGACGAAGTCACGCCTGGCAGTATGTGTCATACTTCAGTTTTGCCCCCAGGCTGGTGCCCGCTAAGCACGCTTTGAATTTTTCATCCATTTCTTGGTTCTGAGCTTCACTGAACAAATTTTTCCAATCGCCGACTTCACCTACAAAGTACCAAAAAATGGTTAGAATATTTGAGTTCCCCTTTTCTTGGCACAGTGTCTCACTCTGTATCTGGGTGTGTGGCCAGTGGCACTCAGTGACACTCGGGCCCACCCCTGCTTGGGGGCCATGTGAGGTGCTGGGTTTCCGGCAATCGTGCAGGCAAGCACCCTTGGACCCCTCCGTCACCGTCAGTACTTCTTGGGGAAAAAAACCATTTTACAGCAGGTTTAGGCGAAGACCACGGATGGGTACTAAAATTTTTAAGACTTATACTGGGACAGGAGCGGGGAAGGCACTTGCCGTGCACACGACCCATCCAGGTTCGATCCCCATAACCCCATAGGGCCCTCAGAGCACTGCCAGGAATGATCCCTGGGTGCAGAGCCAGGAGTGAGCCCTGAGTATCACGGAGATGAGCCAAACCAAACCAAACCAAACCAACAACAACAACAAAAATAAACAAAACCCAAAACAAACAAACAAACAAAAAGTTAGCAAAATTCCCAATTGCGGGCAGAAGAATAACTTGCAACTGGGAATTTTGCTAACTTTTTTTTTTCCTTTTTGGGTCACACCTGGTGTTGCACAGGAGTTACTCCTGGCTCTGCACTCAGGAATTACTCCTGGCAGTGCTCGGGGGACCATATGGGGTGCTGGGAATCGAACCCGGGTCGGCCGCGTGCAAGGCAAATGCCCTCCCCGCTGTGCTATAGCTAACTTGTTTTTAAAATTGAAGGATGTCACTCCTGTCGCTAGATGATTTGCGCTAAACTTCTCAGCTGCCTGCGTAGACGTTGGCGTGTGTCCGAAGAAGATGGACTGTCGTGAGGAAGCACAAAGCAGAAGCCTGTTTAGAAATGTCACCAGCTAGAAAGTAGACTATGGACCAAACATGATGGCCACTTACTACCTATATCGCAAACCATAGCACCTAAAAAAAGGAGAGAGAGAGAAAAAGGGAATGTGCCTGCCACAGAGGTGGGGGGAGCGGGGGGTTGGGGTGGCGGGAGGGTTACTTGGAACACTGGCGGTGGAGAATGAGCACTGGTGGAGGGATGGGTGCTCTATCATTGTATGACTGAAACATAATCACGAAAGTGTCTGTAACTGTATCTCACAGTGATTCACATATATATATATATGCAGTGTCTTCCCATTGTTCATCGATTTGCTTGGGCGGGCCCAGTAACGTCTCCATTGTGAGACTTGTTGTTACTGTATTTGACATACCGAATACGTCACAGGTAGCTTGCCAGGCTTTGCCGTGTGGGCGAGATACTCTCAGTAACTTGCCGGGCCCTCCGTGAGGGGCAGAGGAATCAAACCCGGTTCAGCCCAGCTGGCAGCTTGCAAGGCAAACACCCTACTGCTGTGCTATTGCTCCAGCCCTCATATATATATATATGTATATATGTATATATATATGCGTGTGTGTGTGTGTGTGTGTATAAATGTCACCAGGTGATGAGGCCGCAGAGCGTAAGGCTGGAAGGAGC